TAGATGGGAGAGGACGTATGGGTCTAACGATAAATATATTTGTCCCAGTAGTAAAAATAAATATGTAAGTCCAAGATGCCCAAATAGAGATTATAACTTCTGCCCATATTGGTCTTGTGTGGGGTGGGCGACTTGGGGACAGACAGCAGACAAGGACATGATTGTGACTAAGTTGCCTACTGATCCATATTGTAAGTCTATGGAATGCAATCCAATCCATATACTTATAAATAACCCTGACAAGTTCTTAGATAAATATGGTAATTTATTTGGGTTTCAAATATATGGGACGGGTTTAGACCCTGGGACAATATTGTTTATAGGGATAGAGACTGATACGGTAACCTCCCAAACTCATCAAGTATACCATTCCTTTTATGAAGAGATGAGCATAGATAATAAGATCCCCCATAATGCTAAAAACTTGTTCATTGATTTAGCCGAGAGTATTGCCGGTAGTCTTAATGTTACCAACTGCTATGTGTGTGGAGGTACTAACATGGGAGACCAATGGCCTTGGGAAGCAAAGGAGGTAATGTCCGGTTCTGAGGCAGTTGACCAATTAATATCTACACAAGCCGACTATCATATGAGTGTTAGAGGTAAATCTGAGTGGAGATTGAAGACCTCCATCATAGGTTATGTTTGCATAGCGAGGAAAGGAATGATGTATAATACTTCTGTAGGAGAATTAACTTGTCTAGGGCAAAAAGCTTATGATGATGATACAAAGAATACAACTTGGTGGTCGGCTTCAAATGTCTCAGAACCATCTAACCCGTTTGCAAGATATGCCAATTTAAAGGACGTATGGTTTGATCTATCCATCACATCTAACTGGAGAGCCCCAGCGAATTTGTACTGGATCTGTGGTAAGAAGGCCTATTCGGAGTTACCACAGGACTGGGAAGGGGCATGTGTGTTGGGTATGTTAAAACCATCCTTCTTCTTGTTGCCTATTGAAACAGGTGAGACTTTAGGTGTTAAAGTGTATGATGTGAATCATAGGAAGAAAAGGGGACCCATAGAGATAGGTGCCTGGGAAGATAATGAATGGCCTCCCCAGCGTATTATAGATTATTATGGGCCAGCCACGTGGGCAGAGGATGGTACCTTTGGTTATAGAACCCCTATTTATATGCTCAACCGCATTATAAGGTTACAGGCGGTGGTTGAGATCATTACTAACGAGACATCACAAGCGCTCAATCTTCTAGCGAAGCATAATACCAGGATGAGGACAGCAGTTTACCAAAATAGATTAGCCTTGGATTATCTTTTGGCAGTAGAGGGAGGTGTATGTGGGAAGTTTAACCTGAGCAATTGCTGTCTTCAAATAGATGACGAAGGGCAAGCAATAGCTGAGCTTACTAGCCATATGGTTAAACTAGCGCATGTGCCTACTCAGGTATGGAAAGGGTACAATCCAAGTAGTTGGTTTGGTAGCTGGTATGAGTGGTTTGGAGGGCTTAAGGCAGTGGTAGGTGGAGTCCTACTGATTTTAATGTTGTGTCTACTCCTGCCGTGTCTTATACCCTTAGTAGTTAGGTCTGTGCAAAGCCTGATAGAAAATATAGCAGAGAGGAAGGCTGCTGCACAGATAATGGCAATTTATAAATATAAGGCTCTAGATCAGGGAGAACCAATGCAGGAAGACGAGTGTTGAAGATTCACATCATAGGATAAGTCTGGTCTGGTTCAAAGGTAACTTGTGGTGTATGCAAACCAAGGTTAAGTGATGCCTCAAGTAATTGTAAAATATCAAGAGGCATCAAAGGGGGGAATGTGGTGGAATCTCGGTAAAAATAAATTTAGTAGGCCGAGATTACCACGTGGCATGTGTACGTGCATATGCTGACGTATCGATCAGTTGGTTGCACGAGGCAAGATACGATCAGTAGTGTACGGAGCATGTGCAAGAATACAGGATGTAGTATTCCCCTCCTCCATTGTGCTGGACAAGCCATGCGGTCAAGCAGGAAGTTAATTCTTATTTGTAATGATTGGTCAAGAGAATGTGCGGGTGGAGCTTAATATGGGAGGAGTTATGTGCCTATATAGGGAGCCTGCACTATTGTTCAGGGCTCAGAACTTGCTGTATTTTTGGTGACATTAGTCCCTCTGAGTCCCGATCGGTGATCCAATAAAGAATCTCTTCCTTCCTGAAGAAACCTGTGTCCATCTCTCTGTGCTTTGCTTCCGTCAGTTTCTCCGGTATCAATATACTCTTCCCACCTATTATCGTATTATCCAAAGCACGTGATTATGTACTTCCCATGTTAATGGTCTGAAACAATCTGATATCTGGTCAGGAACCTTTATCCAGGAGTACAAATTCAGCTAGTAACTGCAACTTGTCTTAATTTGCTGATTACACCCTGTTCCAAATTATTATGCAAATTATATTTTTCTCATTTACCTAAATAATTGATGTAAATAACAGTCAGCATAATTCTCATGTTATCAACTATAAAGAGTACAATTCAAATTTTATTGAACAAACCTCCTAATGATAACAGTATTTTTTTTTTAAACATAAAAAACTTGCACTGCACTGTTCCAAATTATTACGCACAGTAAGTTTCAAAACACTTTATAAATTGTAAAGAACTGAAATTGTCATTTGTTGTGTTTGCAGCATATTTACTGAAATCAAATGCTATTTCAATCAAACTTATAACAACATTTTAACTTTTTAAACATTTTAAGAGGTCACGTTACATTTTAACATAGGACCCCAAGTCTTGCATCCATTGAACTTGTGAGTTTTTGGACAGTTTCTGCTTGAATTTGTTTGCAAGATGTCAGAATAGCCTCCCAGAGCTGCTGTTTGGATGTAAACTGCCTCCCACCCTGATAGATCTTTTGCTTGAGGATGCTCCAAAGGTTCTCAATAGGATTGAGGTCAGGGGAGGATGGAGGCCACACCATGACTTTTATCCTTTTATCCCCATAGCAGCCATTGATGCAGAGGTATTCATTGCAGCATGAGATGGTGCATTGTCATGCATGAAGATGATTTTATTATGGAAAGCACACTTAAATAGAGTTTGCATAATAATTTGGAACAGGGTGTAGATGTAAAAAAAAATATTAAAAAGGCATTCAAGGGACACTCCAAATGCCATAAAAGCATGTGGTCCCAGAATGTTTTATTTTGGATGAGGGTTCCCTTTCATTGTCTCCCTGCACAGAGTCTTATAGACACAGTAATTTGCAAAAAAAAAAAAAATAGCTTCAATTATAATCCCACCCTGCACTCATCTGCATGTATTATTCTGAGATTCTTTTCATCAAGGGGTTTTGGGGGCTGTATATAAATTGCGGCCTTCTCTTTACTGCTACTTATAGCTAAACCTCAACTTCTGTATATTCCAGCTGTGTCTGTAATGCCCTGCTTTGCAGGAATTTATAGAATATGCTTAGAAATATATCTGAACTTCAGGATTGACTGAGCCAATTCATGATTGTTGCAGCAATCACTGCAAAACCTGGGATTTGCTGCAAGGTATGGAAAGAGACGGTCATCTTCCATTCTGTTTGGAACATCAGACCAGGCAGTGAAAATGTTTAATAAATAAAACAAGTCAGGATGCAGGTAACCCATGATCAGATAAATGAGTGTGCCAATCTACATGTCTCGAACAAACTTAGTCTGAGTCAAATCCACGGATGTCGGTCTCTGACCCTGTTAGTGACACAGCCGTGACATATTGGCACATATCAGCAATAACTATGATTGCCAAGATAAAGAGCCACCTGGCCTGGGTCAATTAACATCTAATGTTTTTCTGTGCAATAGTACAAATCCTTTCAAATATTACTTGTTCTGTGCATGGTTTGTGTGTTTTCTGATATTTTTCATTGCATGTTTTTCCCTAATAAGATGCAGACAGCTGTTAGTTGTTTACTAAATCCAGGTAAAATTGACTTAAATCTCAGCAATTAGATTCTCATTTCCTTATTTGATTTTGACCTAAAAATATGCAAAACTATAGTTTATAGGATCAACTCATTATCTTAACTACCGACCAGGTTGTCTGAATGACCTTTACTCATGATATGAGTAACAAGGAAATATAAAATGGTGTATGCACCACAGGCAAGGCTCTAAATGTTCACTTACAATTAGCCGTTGACTCGTGTAAATTTAGCCCGGACAAGTAAAAATTCACCCCGGTGAGTGTGCCATGGAACCTCCAGACTAGCAGTGCTGAGTCACTTTTAATGACGGTCTTGTAGCTGTCACAATAATATCAGGCCCAACACACAGAACTTAGGAAGCACCTAGCTACCGTAGAAAATAGGAATGGACAGAGGCAAACTATCGGTCCTTACAGTTGGTCAGGCTTAATGCTGAGATAGAAAACAAGTAACCAGAGTAGGAAATAGCGATGTCAAAAGCTAGCCAAGTTCTGGGATCGCAGAAATAAGTAGCAACAATGGTATATAAGTCAGTGTCGAGGATTACAGAAAGGAGAAGAGAAACCATGACGGTGGAGTATGTAGTGTAACTCCAACCCTTCTAATAACAATAAATGTTTACACTATAAATGGCCTATGGGGCATTACTGTAAGAAAGAATTTTAAACTTAATTTAAAATGTTGCCAGTACTGATCTTCGATGCCTCGTCATGACGTCACTCAGCACTCACACAAAGCCTAGGATTGGGCCGTTTCACCGACTGGAAATGGGAAGGGTTATTCTAATTATGAATTCAAAAAACAAACAAAAAAAAACAAAAAAAAACAACAAGGCAACTCAGTAGAGAATGGAATTAAAGGCTGTAATTTATTGAGCCAAATAGGCTGGTTAGCCAACATGTAGCCTTAATCATGTATGACATCATAGTGCCAAAGAACAATCATCATATCTATTTAACCAATAGCAGAAGTTACATGACTGCCCAAACACAAAATAACTGCCCCTTTAATGAAAATTAGCATAAACAAAATATACTGCAATAATAAGGTACCCAAAGATACAATATTACAATCACTTGGTATCTAAAAATGCAATGATATAAAAAAAGCAGATACTACAAAAAACATTAAAGGTTTTGCCCAGAAAAATAATATTGGAAAACCAAACAACATAACAAAGAAAGTATATTACAATTTAAATTTTTACAAAAATACAATACGTTTTTTTTAATTTCTTTTTCAACGATCATGTGATAAGTAACATGCCTACGTAATCTCCCAAATACATTTGGCAAGAGCTATTGCACAATTAAGTATTCGTATAATGGGAGGATGATAGTAAGTAATATCATCTGATATGTCATCTGATATGTTATACAGTAGAGATATGCCAAGTCAGAGATAGTTCAAGCAGCTGTTGGTGTCCTACCTCCGAAGACATCAAATCTAAGGAGATAGTGCACGGGGAATAATGTCACATGGGTATTACCCCAACTTACAGGACATGGAAAACCTGCAAATAGAGGGTCAAATAAAGACCTGTTACTGGGCCTTAGAGTGGCCAGACTTAACATTATATAAAGATAGAGACCAAGTCAGAAATTGCCACGGTCAGGATTATAGTCATACGGAATATGCAAATAAATAAGTCGGGTCAGGATACCAGAAATCCTCAATGTCACTGTACAAGCCAAGGTCAATATAAAAAATTGAAGAGAAACTTACTGTACGCACTATATGTGTATCAAGATAAAAACCAGGACAGGGGAGCGGAGCCAAGCAGCCGAGCTGAACAGCCGCATGAGAAAAGAGCTCCGGCATTTTCGGACCAAAATCCGTGTATTATACACAATTAACCCCGCTTTGGGCTCCCCTCAGGGTCCAAGGATGACAAAACACCAAGATGGGGCGCAAGACCAAGAAAATAAAACCGGAAAAACCATGACAGGGACCTAATATTGCGGATCTCCTGCTGCAGACACGCCGCACCTCCTGAGGCGCCTACTAGTGGCCCTTCTATCACCACGACAGGCAAAAGCTACTACGGTGGACGGTTTCTTCCGGGCCCCAAAGCCGGCCTTGGCACCAGCGGCAGTGCCACGGGACCTGATCGTGCGGTTCCTGCAATACTCAGCCAAAACCGCTGTATTGGCAGCGACCAGAAACTGCTCCCCCTACAAATTCAAAACAATGGAACTATCTTTTTACACAGACCTCACAGAGGGCACTTTGGCATGGCAAAAGTCGCTCAGACCATTCACGACGCTTCTGCAGAAACGTGGACTAAAATATAAATGGCACCAGACCCGCAAACTGATGGTCCTACACGAAGATACCACACATGTAGTGCGAGACCTCCGGGAAGCCAAGGCACTACTACCCACACTTGGATTCCCTCAGGACTCTCTGACTGGCTCTGAGACTCAAGGAACAATCCAGCCGGTACATAGATGGAACCCCGAAAGAGTGACACCCTTCGTCCTTCGCGGACCCACGGCGGACTTGATCGGGACTGTGACTACCTGAAACATGCTTGACACTGAACCGTGATATGCCGGACTTAATAGTTGAATATACTTACCTGTTACACAGCCACGGTTAGATTATTAGGCTGCCAAAGTTAAATTACCTGTTTGTTACACTCCTTTAACAGGAAGGTCCACCGACCGCATTGTTTTCCCCCCCGCCCGACACTAGTCCAGCATACCCTCCGTGCATAACCCTGCCATAGCCGGGCGTAACTATTACCAGATATAGGCACAACTCGCCCTAGAAAAGTCCTGGTGGCACTACAACAGTGAATAAACGCCAGTAATGCTCACTAAGATAGCGATACCAACCAAGATAAAGTACTGAATTATGTGGTTATCTTCATTTAATTTATTTTATTTTCTATTACACCAGGGAACAATAAAAGCACTCACAACATTTGAGTACATACACATCCATAGGTCAGCATACCCATGCACAAAGTATGTCCTCAAACGTTCCCTACAAACCCTCTAGCAATGTTACTCTTATGGAAAATGTATGATAAAGCATGCCTAGACCAGGATGTATCTTTTAGTCATCTCTCTATAAAACTAAAAATGTGCCTAGCATGTAAAACCACATGTTTACAATACTATGTTACATGATCTGTGTGTAATAACCGTTGTGGTAATGCACACTTGAATGTAATCCTCATGCACGACCTAAATAAAGAATAAAAAATTTAAAAAAACAGGACAGGGCATTGAATAATGGCCAAGCGTTATATAGATTTACATGGTTTCTGATTGATCTCATCTCTGTGACTCCAAAAAGTATGCGAATGATGTTACCTACATGACGTGGCCACTTAAAGACTGCATGTTACGTTTCACAAATATATAAAGATATATATAAAATTCGAGTGGGTAGCGTCCAAAGTTTTATGGGAAGATTGAAGACGAGGCTGAGCGGTGCATTCAACCCACATGAACAGAGAAGAGGAGCTGTTCATCAGCGTCAAATTGGTAAGAAAAATATTATTCGATTTCACATGTTTCAAGACGTGTGGCTGAGCAGTGCATTGGGCCCACGCAACTGGTGGAGAGGATCAGTTTGACATTGTCGAACAGGTAAGTATCGTGACAGATGAAGACCTAGCTATATCCTATCAAATAATATTTTGAACACGCTTTTATTTTCTAGCCAAAAAGCAAAATACATAAACATTCTGGATACAAAACTATTGTTAATTTGCAAAAAAATTTTTTTTTTCTTATTTTAAGGGTTTAGAGGAGAACTCTTTTTTTAGCAGGGTTATTAAAAGAATACGAGATGCATGCTAAAACTTTCCATGTTCTCTTCTGGTGTAACTTCGTTACTTACTCCAACCAGACTCCCATATTAAGGGGCACAGAACGTGCCATCTTTGCATTTTAGTGTGTTGGTAAAGAGAACGTTCAGGAAATTGTTATTTGCATACATCCTGAATCATAATGCAGAACTCTGCTTTTGCTCCACTGTTCTATGTGTGATGCAGGTTGCCCATAGAGATATCACAAAGGCTTGTTTCCTTTGTCAACGTATATTGAGATATATATATATATAGTTTGAATGGTGACTTATAGAAGGGAACCGTGGGGATAAAAAAAAAAAGTATTGAAACACAGGGCAGGTATGTGCTACAACGCTTCCACAGGACAGCCAGAAACATAGTGATTGAATACTTATGGGCAATTTGGAAGTCTGCTAACTAAATGTAGTTACATTAAGGGTCAGGACACATTGCGAGGCAAACGCTAGGTAATCACAATGAGGACAGCAATAGATGGAAAGAGTGGGGACAATTTAGGATTGACGCAGAGACTGCCTAAGATGAAAACAAGTAATGCAGGATGCTAGGCTGAGGAATAACTCAGCGGAGCAGAGAAAACGGGATCTGGCTTATTATACAACATAAAACACTGAGCTAAACTAATAACTGCCCAGATAGCCACTTATAGTGTATGGTTTACTGCCACCCTCAGAGTGTAGATCAATGGTCCCCAAACCACTCTTCATGCCCTCTCCTATATAGATTAAAGCACAGGGGTCGCTTGAGGGATGAATCCAGATGTGAAGTTTAGTAGCTTACATCGCGCAGGCTCTTCGCAAAGCAGCTGATGTTCTTATTTTAAGGGGAGATTTGGTACCCACCAGGTGACTGTCGAGAGGGTGGGCTGGAGAACAGATTATTGTTGCACTCTCCTATGTTAGTAACGTAGGGTGGCAAGAAAGCATTGATTACCTGGCTGTTCAGCATGTCCTTGTTTCTGGCTATGCTTTCATTGAGATCCAGGATATACTCAGCTGTATGTTGTTCATGAGCAGAGAGGACATGACATAGAAAGGTATCCATACGGCTCTGGTGCATAGAGGGCATGAAATTATCCTTTGAGCTCATGCCTCGTGTTTCTGCAACCAAGCAACACCCCTGCTATGAAGTAATTTGCAGATTCTAGAATCTCCGCAAGTCAGTAGATCTTTGCATGTGGTGAAATAATGCAGACATGCTGGAACACAGAAGATGCATGCAGACATGCCATTTGTATAATGTAATTTATCATTCATATAGCGCCAAAATATTTCACAGCTCTTTGCAATTATACATTGGGGATATAAAACTACAAGTATTGGCATGCAAAGTAGTGTGGACAGTGACAAGAGGTGAAGAGGGCCCTGCTCAAACAATCTCACAATATAAGAGGAGGATTAGGGGGGTGGGGGAGGAACACAAAACATTTCTGAGGGGAGGAGAAGACTAATATGGTGCCTGTGTTCAGGGGAGGACTGGCCCACATGGATACAGGAAATGTGAAGACATGAATGCTTGCAATACGTGCAATGTTTTAAAGATGGAAGTTACATGATTTGGATAGATTGGAGTTAGGGGCAAAGGTGAGGCCAAAGTTGAAAGACACCAAGACCGCATGCTTGGGAAGTTGGGATAATATGTGTTCCATTGACCTGAAGGGAAGAAGACAAAGGAGGAGGGGTATTTGATGGGTACCCCACTTTCCATTGTCTATAAGAAGTTTAGTTTTGGAAAGATTATGTTTTTAAAGAAGAGATGGGGGGTGGGCGGAGCCAGCAGCCACACAGAACGGACGTGTCTCTCAGGAGCTCCGTGCAAGCCAGGGAAAAACAAGCTGTTCCTGCCCAATTTACCCTACCACACCAGCCCCACCAACTTCTTTTTTTTTTTTTTCTCATTTGTCTTTTTATTGGTACAAGCATATTATCAGACTTTGTGCATCGCAGTGCACTCTGGCATTCACACCCCGCACAGTCGCAGCTGTGTAAACCATTTGCCCCACATGGTATCGATCTAATATCTACTGTGTGTACATTTGATTATACTTTTGAAGCCTGTGATGCTTCCCAGGTAGGTTCACTCCCTTTGGAACTCTCTGCTCGAGGGCACTGTGTTATGTGATTTGCCTAGTATCTTTGTGTGTTGGTGCGGTACACATGACAATTACTGCTTTTGATGCACGTCCGACAAGCTTTACCTATTCTTTCATTTTGTAACAAAACTTAGGTTGGGGGGGGGATACAGAAAGGAAGAAGGGAGAGGGGGGTACCCTAGACAGCATTTTATACATGTGATGATTTAATCCTATGCATCCATTTGTATCTTGGCCTTGTTCCCATCTGGACCTTGTTCTATGTGAGTGTAGGCATCGCCTTTTCAAGGTTCCCGTTTTACTACCTAACTTTCCGCTGGCCAGCAACTCCATTCTCTGTCGTATCTCATACTACTACCATTTACCCTATTTGCCATTTTTTTCATATGCGCTAATCATATCCATTCTATGTGTTATAGCCTCTACTACTGGTATTTTGTTGCTCTTCCAGTTGCTGGCTAGCAGTATTTTTGCTACCGTTAGAATGTTTACCGCTACTTTCCTATGGGGGTGAGTTGCTATGCTGGGTATTATGTGAAGTATGTAGTGTTCCGGCTTCTTGGGGAGAGTGATTCCCGTCCTGCTTAGTAGAAGCAGATGGACCGCCTCCCAGTACTCTGTCAGTGAGGGGCATGTCCAGAAAATATGGATCATGGTTCCCTATCCTATGTTACACCTCCAACACTTCCCGGACGTACCCGGGTACATACTTGCTAGTCTATGTGGTACCAAGTACCACCTCATTAGCACCTTGCAATACGCTTCCCAGAGTGTGAGGCTTTGCGATGCTTTTTTCGTGATTTCCAGAGCCGTTAGCCACTCTGTTTTGGGAATTTGGAGTCCCAAGTCCTTCTCCCACAGATTCATGTATGTGGTTTTATGATTGTCGGGGGCTGCCGAATTGATTAGTGCGTTGTAACATGCTGAAAGCGGTTTGATTTGTTTGTGGAGAAGTGCCTGTTTAAGCGTTATGTGGGGTTTGAGGGAATGAGTAGTGCAGAGTTGAATGTGCGAGTGCACTATGTTTTTTATTCGAAGGTATTGGAAGATATCCCTTGCTGGTAGCTGTAGTTCCCTTTGCAGGATGGGGAATTGCTTAATCTTTCCTCCCTCTAGTATGTCCTGGACCCGGAGTTCACCCCTCCCTTTCCACCGGCCCATCGGCAAGTCTTGGGATAGTACTTCTAGTGTTTCCAAGGGTGCTGCTCCCACCAACTTCTTAAGATGATGGGGCACAAAAGCAAAAAATACCGGATGGAAAAACACCGCCGATATCGGCGAACTTCTGTGGAGGCCGCAAGCATCCCTGAGACCTGTCATGGTGCAGCTCTCGGACGCACCGTCCAGATCATCCAGCAAAGACTTACTCTCCAACCTGGAAATGATGGCGGAGACGCAGAGAGCAGGCAAGACTAAGGCACAAAGCAACCCTCCAGTCACTGAAGACAGACTGAAAGCCCTCTTGGATGATCTCCGCCGACATATCGCGGCAGACATTAATTCATTTAAAGAGGAAATTCATGGGGTGTCGGTGAGACTACATGACACAGAAATCAGCACAGCAGCACACGAGGCCCGCATTAATAACCTTGAGAGCGAGCTGACTAAGACCAAGAACGATGTGATCCAAACCCAGCACCAAGTTGCAGCAATGGAAGATCGTAGGCGATGGAACAATGTTAAAATAGGGGGCCTGACAGAGCGTTACAACCGCAGAAATCCCCCACCTCATCCGAAGACTGCTATCCAGCTTATTCGTGCCAAAACAAGCCAAAGCCATGTTGCTGGAGGGATGCTACAGGCTACCAAAACCGCAGGTGAACTCCCAGCAAACCAGCAGGGATGTAATAGTGCGTTTTCAGCATGGACCGGACAGGCAGGCCTTTCTGTCAGCGGTCCGCAACACCACTCCTTACAATTTGAGGGACATTCCTTATTATTCTACCCGGACATCTCCAGGGCCACAATGACATGGCGGAGATCCATGAGACCACTTACCACAGTGCTGATGCAACATAGAAGACCCTATAGATGGGGAGCACCACAAAGCCTTTTGATACCCAACGAGACTGGGACTCAGAGTTGCTGACATATCCGAAATGGGCTCCATTCTTCAACAACTTTGTCTCCCCCCCGCGGAGACTGGGACGCAACCACCAGTGCCTAAGCCAAAGTCGCAGACATGGGACCTGGCCACTATCCGCCCTTTTGTCCCGGCTACCCAACGGAACAACAGCGCTACCACCGAGACAACTTGAATGTCCTCCACTACCACGCAATGCTTGCAGTACTGCTTTTATCCAAGTTATTGTTTAATATGTTGCACTGTTTATTAGATAATTAGGTACAAAAGCATGCACAATGTGCAGGCAGATAGCTGTTCCTCGAGACATGTCTCACCAAACCCTCACCCGCTGGCTCTGAGGTATAAGTACCCCTTTCTTTCTCCCCCCCACCCCGATCATCGATCTCAGTACTAAGTTACATGTTTAAAAGGGGTGTTTCGCCTCTTGTGCTTTAGCCACAAATGTTAATGTCCTACACTCGCTGATCCCAAGAGGCTCATACCGATTACTGCCGTGTGACAACATAGGATTCTACCGATGACCTTCCAAAGACGGGCAGTCGGCATAGTTTAGCGGAGTTGATTAGCCACTGTTTCCTATAGTTTTTACGATAAAACCTTCAGACCTAATGTGTTCCACATGGTTAATTATGAGAGAATAGGCAGGATTGTTATATACTATTGTTACGCATGCTCCTAAAAATGCCTTGCATACTATCTTAACGGCACACAACCTCCAGTACACACAAACTGGTCTGTGAGCCACTCTTAGCCCAGTTCAAGATAACCTGTTTTATTGCACTGCTAATTAGTATGCAGCTTAACTAATTTCTGCTAGTAATAATACCAAAATGTCCATGAAAAGTATTTGCCATGTGAATGTAATATTATGTATAATGGAACGCTTGCATCCGCTGTCGTGGCAATGCAGGCCGCCTGTACACAACAAGCACAATAAAAAAAAAAAGAAAAAAAAAAGAAGAAGAGATGACATCCAGTTAGAGTAAGATGAACAGCAGTTGGTGGCTCTTCCCATGGTATTAGGGAGCTATCTACTAAAAGGCTGAAAGACCTAAATTGGTCTTTCAGCCAAATTTACTAATACTAAGTAAAAATTACGCTCCTACTCGCTATACCGCGAGTAGGGGCATGTCTATTAAACAGTGAGCAGCCTCAAAAAAAAACATTCCCCCCCCCCCGAACGGCGGGTGGGGGCCCTAAAGAAGAATAAGGGGGGAGGGACCTATTGTCCTCCCCCCCGGCCCCCACCACTGAGCGGCGGGTGGGGGCCCTAAAGAAGAATAATGGGGGGTCCTACTGTCCTCCCCCCGGCCCCCACACCTCAGCGGTGGGGGGGGGGGCCCTAAATACCAATAGGGGGGGACCTATTGTCCTCCCCTCTGGCCCCCATCCCTGAGCGGTGGGTGGGGGGCCCTAAATTAGAATAAGAGGCATGTCTATTAAACAGTGAGCAGCCTGCTTACTGTAAAAACAAACAAAAAAAACATTTCCTCCCCCTGAACAGCGGGTGGGGGCCCTAAAGAAGAATAAGGGGGGGGGACCTATTGTCCTCCCCTGCCCGGCTCCCACCCCTGAGCGGCGGGTGGGGGCCCTAAAGAAGAATAAGGGGGGTCCTACTGTCCTCCCCCCGGCCCCCACACCTGAGCGGTGGGGGGGCCCCTAAATACTAATAAGGGGGGGACCTATTGTCCTCCCACCTGGCCCCCCATCCCTGAGCGGTGGATGGGCGCCTTAAATTAGAATAAAGGGGGGGACCTATTGTTCTCCACCCTGGCCCCCACCCCTGAGCGGTGGGTGGGGGCCCTAAATACCATTAAGGGGGGGGCGGGCCTATTGTCCTCACCCCCAGTCCCCACCCCTGAGCGGTGGGTGGGGGGCCCTAAATTAGAATAAGAGGGGGGACTTATTGCCTTCACCCCCAGGCCCCCACCCATGAGCGGTGGGTGGGGGCCCTAAGTTAGAATAAAGACAAGCCACTCTGAGCAACTGCCCCAGGAAGCAACTCTAGCCGCCATCTGAGGAGTGGCCAGTGAAGGTATCCCTAGGCTGTAAAATAAACACTGCATTTTCTCTGAAAACACAGTGTTTACTGCAAAGAGCCTGAAGGGAATGATACTCACCAGAACAAATACAACTAGAAAAGCTACAATTTCTGGGGAAATTGTGTGAAGTGTTCTTGCCTCCACCAGTAGTCTACAACTGGAGTGGGCGGAGTAACTGTTATCATTTATATAGCACATTTAATTGCAACTTTGTTGCACAGTTACATTAAACCATACATTTATAAAAACATTAGCAGGTGTTCAATAGGCCCTGTCTATGACATCACTTGCTGCTGCAGCTTGACACAGGTCAGAGTATTTTGGCGGTTGCCATCTTCAAACGGTCGTATCTTAAAAACTATAACTCCTACAGCGAAGAGCTTTATATTGTGAGAATCACAAGACTCAGACCTACATTTTGATGCATAGTATGTCTCTGAAGTATTAAAATTGAAGGCACAGTCGCAGTTTAGAAATTGCACTTCAAATTTGAGCTTTGCAGAGTGAAGTTTCAATGAAAGTCAATGGACGGCGTTAGTTGCAAACAAATGATTATATTGTGAAAACTATCAGGACTATGGCTTAGCGGTTGACATGTTTAGTGGCAGGAGGGATAGCTGAACGTTTTGATATAAGATTTGTGTAGGTGGGCCTGAAAATAAGGGAGTGGTGGCAGTTTAGAAATCAGGTCCTGATTTTTCAGCTTTTGCCAGCTCCCACTCTAGCTTTGCCATTCATTCCTATGGGACAAATTTCGCCACAAGAACGACGATATTCCGTGAACCATTCGGCGAAACGTTCCACAAAGTAATAGCAATCCGATCGGGAACAATCTGCACGTTTTGGTAAATTTTTGGTCTATGTAGTGTAAAAACTGTGGGAGGAGTTAGGGTGGCAAATTTTGCTATAATAATAATAATAATAACTAGAAAAGCTACAATTTCTGGGGAAATTGTGTGAAGTGTTCTTGCCTCCACCAGTAGTCTACAACTGGAGTGGGCGGAGTAACTGTTATCATTTATATAGCACATTTAATTGCAACGTTGTTGCACAGTTACATTAAACCATACATTTATAAAAACATTAGCAGGTGTTCAAAAGGCCCTGTCTATGACATCACTTGCTGCTGCAGCTTGACACAGGTCAGAGTATTTTGGCGGTTGCCATCTTCAAACGGTCGTATCTTAAAAACTATAACTCCTACAGTGAAGAGCTTTATATTGTGAGAATCACAAGACCCAGACCTACATTTTGATGCATAGTATGTCTCTGAAGTATTAAAAATGAAGGCACAGTCGCAGTTTAGAAATTGCACTTCAAATTTGAGCTTTGCAGAGTGAAGTTTCAATGAATGTCAATGGACGGCGTTGGTTGCAAACAAATGATTATATTGTGAAAACTATCAGGACTACGGCTTAGCCGTTGACATGTTTAGTGGCAGCAGGGATAGCTGAACGTTTTGATATAAGATTTGTGTAGGTGGGCCTGAAAATAAGGGAGTGGTGGCAGTTTAGAAATCATGTCCTGATTTTTCAGCTTTTGGCAGCTCCCACTCTAGCTTTGCCATTCATTCCTATGGGACAAATTGCGCCACAAAAACGACGATATTCCGTGAACCATTCGGCGAAACGTTCCACAAAGTAATAGCAATCCGATCGGGAACAATCTGCACGTTTTGGTAAATTTTTGTCTATGTAGTGTAAAACTGTGGGAGGAGTTAGGGTGGCAAATTTTGCTATAATAAGAATAATAATAATAATAACTAGAAAAGCTACAATTCTGGGAAATTAATAGAATATTCTTACTTCCACCAGTAGTCTACAACTGGAGTGGGCGGAAGTAACTGTATAATTTATATATAGCACATTTAATTGCAGCGTTGTTTGCACAGTTACGATAAGCATACATTTATAAAACATTAGCAGGTGTTCAAAAGGCCTGTCTATGACATCACTTGCTTGCTGCAGCCTGGCACAGATTAAGAGTATATTTTGGCGGTTTGCCATCTTCAAGCGATGCGTGTTTAAAATTTTAAATCCTGGCGAAGGCTTTTACTGTTGTGAGAATCACAAGACCCAGACCCTACATTTTGATGCATGGTATGTCTCTGAAGTATTAAAAATGAAGGCACAGTCGCAGTTTAGAAATTGCACTTCACATTTGAGCTTTGCAGAGTGAAGTTTCAATGAATGTCAATGGACGGCGTTGGTTACAAACAAATGGTCATATTGTGAAAACTATCAGGACTACGGCTTAGCCGTTGACATGTTTAGTGGCAGCAGGGATAGCTGAACGTTTTGATATAAGATTTGTGTGGGTGGGCCTGAAAATAAGGGAGTGGTGGCAGTTTAGAAATCATGTCCTGATTTTTCAGCTTTTGCAGCTCCCACTCTAGCTTTTCCATTCATTCCTATGGGACAAATTTCGCCACAAGAACGACGATATTCCGTGAACCATTCGGCGAAACGTTCACAAAGTAATAGCAATCCGATGGGAACAATCTGCACGTTTTGGTAAATTTTGGTCTATGTAGTGTAAAAACTGTGGGAGGAGTTAGGGTGGCAAATTTTGCTATAATAATAAGAATAATAATAATATAATAATATATGTGAGATAACATTAAGTGGTCTTGCTATGCAAGAACACTTAATAACTAGAAAAGCTACAATTTCTGGGGAAATTGTGTGAAGTGTTCTTGCCTCCACCAGTAGTCTACAACTGGAGTGGGCGGAGTAACTGTTATCATTTATATAGCACATTTAATTGCAACGTTGTTGCACAGTTACATTAAACCATACATTTATAAAAACATTAGCAGGTGTTCAAAAGGCCCTGTCTATGACATCACTTGCTGCTGCAGCTTGACACAGGTCAGAGTATTTTGGCGGTTGCCATCTTCAAACGGTCGTATCTTAAAAACTATAAATCCTACAGTGAAGAGCTTTATATTGTGAGAATCACAAGACCCAGACCTACATTTTGATGCATAGTATGTCTCTGAAGCATTAAAATTGAAGGCACAGTCGCAGTTTAGAAATTGCACTTCAAATTTGAGCTTTGCAGAGTGAAGTTTCAATGAAAGTCAATGGACGGCGCTAGTTGCAAACAAATGATTATATTGTGAAAACTATCAGGACTATGGCTTAGCCGTTGACATGTTTAGTGGCAGGAGGGATAGCTGAACGTTTTGATATAAGATTTGTGTAGGTGGGTCTGAAAATAAGGGAGTGGTGGCAGTTTAGAAATCATGTCCTGATTTTTCAGCTTTTGCCATCTCCCACTCTAGCTTTGCCATTCATTCCTATGGGACAAATTTCGCCACAAGAACGACGATATTCCGTGAACCATTCGGCGAAACGCTCCACAAAGTAATAGCAATCCGATCGGGAACAATCTGCACGTTTTGGTAAATTTTTGTCTATGTAGTGTAAAAACTGTGGGAGGAGTTAGGGTGGCAAATTTTGCTATAATAAGAATAAGAACTAGAAAAGCTACAATTTCAGGGGAAATTGTGTGAAGTGTTCTTGCCTCCACCAGTAGTCTACAACTGGAGTGGGCGGAGTAACTGTTATCATTTATATAGCACATTTAATTGCAACGTTGTTGCACAGTTACATTAAACCATACATTTATAAAAACATTAGCAGGTGTTCAAAAGGCCCTGTCTATGACATCACTTGCTGCTGCAGCCTTGACAGGTCAGAGTATTTTGGTGGTTGCCATCTTCAAACGGTCATATTTTAAAAACTATAAATCCTACAGCGAAGAGCTTTATATTGTGAGAATCACAAGACCCAGACCTACATTTTGATGCATAGTATGTCTCTGAAGTATTAAAATTGAAGGCACAGTCGCAGTTTAGAAATTGCACTTCAAATTTGAGCTTTGCAGAGTGAAGTTTCAATGAATGTCAATGGACGGCGTTAGTTGCAAACAAATGATTATATTGTGAAAACTATCAGGACTATGGCTTAGCCGTTGACATGTTTAGTGGCAGCAGGGATAGCTGAACGTTTTGATATAAGATTTGTGTAGGTGGGCCTGAAAATAAGGGAGTGGTGGCAGTTTAGAAATCATGTCCTGATTTTTCAGCTTTTGCCAGCTCCCACTCTAGCTTTGCCATTCATTCCTATGGGACAAATTTCGCCACAAGAACGACGATATTCCGTTAACCATTCGGCGAAACGTTCCACAAAGTAATAGCAATCCGATCGGGAACAATCTGCACGTTTTGGTAAATTTTTGTCTATGTAGTGTAAAAACTGTGGGAGGAGTTAGGGTGGCAAATTTTGCTATAATAATAATAATAATAATATATATGTGAGATAACATTAAGTGGTCTTGCTATGCAAGAACACTTAATATATATGTGAGATAACATTAAGTGGTCTTGCTATGCAAGAACACTTAATAATATATATGTGAGATAACATTAAGTGGTCTTGCTATGCAAGAACACTTAATAATATATATGTGAGATAACATTAAGTGGTCTTGCTATGCAAGAACACTTAATAAGACTTTTGAGACAACTGACTTGTTAGTGTTGGTTAATTGGGATGTAGATGTCACCAAGGGTGATGGATAGAATGTCAGAAGAAAATGAGGTAGCCAAGCAGAGAATTGGTCAAGGAAGAGTAGAAGAGAGCCAGGGTGCGGTAGATCACAGCAATGTGGACATAGATGGGATTGAAAAGGCATATGGAATGAACCTCAAAAGTGGAAAAGGAGAGGGAGGTAATGGATGAAATGTGCAATGAGGTGAGAGCAAGAATCTCAATCTACCACCTTTAGCATATAAACTAGGAAGCATGAATACAACTTTACAGGAAAACCTGATGCGTATATATTTTACATAGAGACTTATAAATACAAGGAAGAGTCTTCTAGGACATATACTAGAGTCTAATACAGTGGAAGAGTTCAACATTAATAGACATATGACACCTCTGGAGGAGGAAACAAAATTGGCTTTATTCTTATATGTACAGATTAAAGTCTGTATTTATTTCATGTTTACCAATTTACTCAATGTGAGCCATTTGTAGTATTTGATTCTTCTGTTTTATCTTATATTTTGAGTCCTTTTTACCTTGTAGCTGGAATACTCACTGAATTGCATTAATTTACCATTACTCCGAACACAGGCACGCATGATTTATTCATGAATTCTACAATGTCAGATCCATTTCCTAAACTTTTAAATGAGGACGATGGCATTCAGCATTATCTAGCAGGAGAATGATGGAAAGGTGATGTTTAAATGAAGTAGGGGCCATCCAAACTCCCTCTGATCGAGATATCGGCCTGCTTATGAATGTTTCATATTATAAGTGGTCCAAATAAAATATTTAGGGACTAGACTGAAAAAGTAAAAGCTTTTTATAAGTTATCGATCATCCTCTTACAATCTCTGGCAGGAGACTTAAAAAAAGCAGAAGCACCTGACCAAAATAAATTCTTGGGTGCCTACTCAGGGGACATAATATTTATTATTACGGGAATTTCTGTCTTTTTTTTTTTTTCTCTTAAACACATTTTTATAGAACCAAATAAAAGGTACATGTGTAACGTGAATTGCACACATATGGATGACTTGCAGTATGGAAAAAGTGCATGAAGGATGCAAATGACCCAATAAAACCAGGAATAACATCCAATTAACATGAAATATGCTAAACATGTATATTAATTTTCAAGCGTGAAAGGACAAATCAATAAAGACTATATCAACCAGCACTAGATGTCATTTGTCTGAAAGTAATATTCAATAGTAAATAACTAAAGAGCATTAACAACTTATGGACACATGACGGAAATATTCCGTCATGATTCCCTTTTATTCCAGAAATTGTGTCCTTAAGGGGTTAACAACTTAACAGGGATGTTGAGGAGGGTATTTTCGTTATAGTTTCGGTCTTCGAAACAATGTTCTTACAAAATATAGTGAATTTAAAGGCTCACTGGTCTAGTGGTTTACTGCCTTTTTTGACACAAACTTAACTTACGGACAAAGGCGATTTTGAGATGCAATGCGTTTGTGACGAGGTTTTTTTTGGTACTTTGCGTTCATTCTACCACAATATTCCCCTTCCTGTTTAAGTACATATTCTCTCTATTTAAAAAAATAATAATTTTAAGGAGAAATAGGGCTCTCTTTTGATATTGTATAACTAACACAATATAAAATATGAAAAACATTTTTAGGAAAAAATTAAAATAAAATTTTTTTGTTTCAGGTTTACATTTAATAATTTTTACACAAAAAAGTGCAATTGAAGAAAACCAAATATAAAAATTGGTTCTGATTGTAAAAATGTCCATTATGTCTACAATTTCAATAAATTGTTAGACATTATGAAAACATATATTGTAAGGAGTTTATTACAGTTTTGAAGCTAAAATTTTGCATGCTGAGATTACAACTCAGCATGCCAAATGGAAGAAGAGAAAAAGGGAAACAACCTGTATCTCTCTGGACGATAATACAGGTGGTCCTCACTTTATGACGGCTCGCACTTAGAACCAGCTTTCTAGCATGGGGATTTAAGGGATTCCCCACTTTAGAGAGCTGGTCTTTGTTCGGAAAATTTCCCCCGAACATAGGCAAGCGCACCAGAGCAGATTTCCCTGCATTTATAAAAACGCACCAGAGCAGGGATTCCATGTTCGGGGAACGTTTCCCTAACATAGTTTTGAGGGATTCCCTGCTCTGCTGCGCTTGTCTATGTTTGGGGAAATTTCCCTGATAATAGACCTGCACTGGTGCGCATGCGCCTCACTTACCAATTAGTTTTAGGAACGGGTCACAAGAACAGAACCCGGTCGGTAAATGAGGAGCATCTGTAGCAGAAGAGTGAAAGAATCGGAAAAATGGGAAGAGATAAAAAGAGAAGTTGGGGAAGGAGAAAGAAAGGAAGAAGAGGAGGAAAAAATGGAGGGGGGGATAAGGAGAGGGGCAAGGGAGAGAGGAGTAGACGGAGGAGCTGGTTAGACACACCCATAGTGTCCCCATAGTGCCCAGGCCCATTGCAACCCATATCTCTAATCATTTCCAAGCCAGGAATGGCGCAAATGCCGCGGAGTAGAAGTCCAACCAGTAGAACCAGCTTTGTATTTTTCTCTCTCACTAATAGTAACAGTCTTGAGATACTCAAATCTTCCACCCATATCATGCTTATGTCCATAAAATCAGTAAGTTAATGTATTAAACTAGCATTTTATTGTATGAATCCTGCCTTGCCTAATCTATATTTCTCTGCTTAGCGTGTTGTGTGGGAACATGTGGTTTGCGTTTAAAATCGTGCTTGTGAGCTTCCCGGCTAAAATCGTTGCATTATTCTGGGATCATCATTGATAAAGGATTAATTTGTTCAGTCCAGTGCTTGTCAAAACATTCCCAAAGGACCATTCATATTGAAGGATTAAGTTATTAACCAACTATGATAATAAAGAGGTATTCACAAGGTCTATACCATTAGTGGTCTTTGATGACAATATGTAGAACTTAAAGAGACACTCCAGTCCCCTAACGCACTTTAGCTACATGTAAAGAATGTATCCTCTTTATTTTCATTTTACAAAAAGTGCAGATTTCTATAGAAACTGGCAATTTTATAAATTAACCTTTTTACATCTCCCTGGCATTCAAACAGACAACCGGTGAAGTTACTTCCTGGTTTGGTTAGCTCAGTGGAGCTAAACACATGAGGAAGATAATTGCAGAGCATCTGCCTTACAAAGAATTCTCATTGAGCTGCATTGGGCAGTTTGTGATTGGACAGCCATAGTGTCAATGTTTCTTAGCAACCCTTCCTTTCTCTGTGTCTGAGCTTTCAGCTGATTTTAAAGGACCACTATAGTGCCAGGAAAACATACTCGTTTTCCTGGCACTAGAGTGCCCTGAGGGTGCCCCCACCCTCAGGGTCCACCTCCCGCCCGGCTCTGGAAAGGGGATAAAACTTACCTTTTTCCAGCGCTGGGCGGAGAGCTCTCCTCCTCCGATCCTCCTCTTCTCCTCCCCGTCGGCTGAATGCGCGTGCGCATTCAGCCGGTCACATAGGAAAGCATTCATAATGCTTTCCTATGGACACTGGCGTGCTCTCACTGTGAAAATCACAGTGAGAATCACACAAGCGCCTCTAGTGGCTGTCAATGAGACAGCCACTAGAGGAAATAGGGGAAGGCTTAACCCATTCACAAACATAGCAGTTTCTCTGAAACTGCTATGTTTATGAAAAAATGGGTTAACCCTAGCTGGACCCGGCAGCCAGACCACTTCATTAAGCTGAAGTGGTCTGGGTGCCTAGAGTGGTCCTTTAACAATCAGCTCCTTCATTAATGTTGGCACGGTTACTCACCTGATTGTAGTAACCAGCCCTGCTGCTAATCAGTGCAGCCTATTTAAAGGAGCACTATAGGGTCAGGAACACAAACATGAATTCCTGACCCTATGGGGTAAAAACCACCATCTAGCCACCCTGACCCCCTCATGCCTCCCTAAATATAGTAAAATCTTACTTGTATTCAAGCCTGAAGCTGCTGGCTTTGTCTCGGTTTCCTTTAGACCTGCTCACTGCCTGCTGACATCATCAGAAGTGGTGGCCTGATCCAATCATAGTTCTTCCCCATAGGATTGGCTGAGACTGACAATAAGGCAGACCGGGGCAGAGCCAGCACAATTCAAACACAGCCCTGGCCAATCAGCATCTCCTCAGTGTCTGCATGCAGAGGGAGGAGACACAGAATGTTTGGATGCATTTTAGGCAGCCATGACCCAGGAAGAATCTCTAACAGCCATCTGAGGAGTGGCCAGTGAAGTTATCACTAGGCTGTAATGTAAACACTGCATTTTCTCTGAAAAGACAGTGTTTGCAGAAAAAAGCCTGAAGGTAATGATTCTACTCACCAGAACAAATTCAATAAGCTGTAGTTCTGGTGACTATAGTGTCCCTTTAAGCAGCAAGTTCCAGTACCTCCTTGCCCTTACGTGGTTTCCCGTTTCCCGGAAGACTCCCTGTTTCCTGACTTCTGGCCTTGTTCCTGACTCCGCTGCTCTCAGTTCTCCTGATCCTGGCTCGTCTGACTACCTGTTTTGGTGCCTGACCCCTGCTTGCCTCCTGGACTTTGCTTTTGGTTTATGTTTATTGATTATTTGCTATTTAATAAAGGTGTTTTGCATCTACATTCTGTCTCTGTCTGGTTCCTGGTCCCCAACACATAGAAGGTCTGGGCTGGAATAGAAGCTGTTTTAAGATACAATCCCAATCTAAAAATGCGTAATTATATACATGCATATTTTCATTGGAGTACATCTACTAAAAAGTGATTATGTTTATTTGGGCAGTGGAGTGTATCTTTAAGGGTGTTTTACAGTTACTGAGGCCATTCGCAAACATTACTTTTGGCACACATTTTTCGCACTGTAGCTTGCCACTTACCAATTAAATGCACTCACACACTATTTATCACTGTTTGAAGGACAGAGAGAGCTTTCGTTCACTTATGTTTGTATGTACACATAGTACAACATTACATACATATAAATAAAATATTTTAAGGATTCTATAGTGTAGGAATACAAACCTGTATTCCTTACACTATTGTTTCCCCTGCCCCCTACCCCCCTCCCTCGTGGCACACCCCCCTGGCTCAGAAAGGATTTACAAACCCTTGCTGTACTCACCCGATTCCAGCACCGATCTTCCTCGGCACTCTGCCCCTTTCGATGTGGGGCTGGTGCGCATGTGTGGCAAGCGCATTAGGCCCACCCCATAGAAAAGGGTTTCAATTATTTTTGTTAGTTATGTGATTGCCAGCCACTAGAGATAGTCTTAATCCTGCTATGTAATTATTGCAGTTTCTCTGGAACTGGACATTGCATCCAGTCCACTTCAATCAGCTGAAGCCTGGGTGCCCTTAGGGTCCCTTTAACAAATAAGGGGAAACAAAAATACATTTAATTTATTTTTTTAATTGTTTTGCTTATAATGTCTACACAACTTGTGCAAACTAAAATTGATTTACTTTACAAGTCTTGATTGCTAAAATGCCATTTTTGTTAGTTATTGGACAAATATTGCAACAAGTGAATTATGGTTTAAAAAAATAAACATTTGCAAAATTTAATCTGCTGACTACTGCTTTAATAGCAGTGAATGAATCCAAAACCGCTACACAAGAGTATATATTTATAGAAATTAGACCCCCTGAAGGTAATTAAGAGCATGTTGACACTTTTTATTTAACCAACCTCTGCCAAGTCTGTTGATTATATTTAATTAAAGTCATTTTTTTGGGGTTTTCACTAGACTTGTGCGAACAAATCAAATTCCTTTTGGCTTATGTCCAAAACAAATTAATATGTCCAAGACGTATCAATTTGTTCAGGTGAAGATTAAAATTCTATTTGTTTATACTGCCAGAAACATCTTTGTGCACAAATCTAATTTTCACACTTTATATTTTTGTGGGTAAAGACCTTGTGTCCTGCTACTGTACAGAGCCAAGACTTGTATTCTGCTACTGCTCCTGAGTACATCAATACCAAATTAAAAAACCAAAATTGAATCGATTGATTTATTTGGGTCATTGTAACTTTTGATACCAAATATTAGCCCTCAACTGGACTTTAACCCAACCATGGTATAGGTTGTTATGTAAAAGAAAAGAACTTGGGCAATTTTATATGAGGCATTTTTGAGTCTTTTCATTTAATTATTTCATCGCTGGTTTCAGATCCCTGATCTGTATGTGTCACCAACATGAATTAAAACATTAATGCCGGGGGCGTGGCCAAGCGATTGGGCCGCATGGCCGAGAGCTCCGAGATACCACAAGACGACCGTGGAAGCAGGAGATAGACTTGCACCACAATATGGGTCGGAAGAATAAAAAGATAAAGCCCAACAAATCCCGGTTGAGCCACGACATTGGTGTGCTCCTGAGACAAGCACAACAGGCCAGCGGGCCCAAAATGGCCGACTACCCTGAGGCCTATTCCGACCTGTCTGACGAACTGTATCTGGACGAGGACGAAATACCGGCTAGACCAGCACCAGCCGCAAAAACGGTTGGCCCAGGGAAAGACCCAGTGACAACAGCGGTGCTTAAAAGCCTGCTGGCAGACTTACAAAACAATATCCTGGCAGATGTGGCAAACCTGCGCGCTGACCTCCGAGGCCTGACGAGCCGTATCGGAACTGTGGAATCCGCCACAGGGGAGCACGCTCAACAACTTGCCACTATGCAGCAAACAATTCTGGGGCTCCAGAAACAAAACGAAACATACGACAATAAATTTGCGATAATGGAAGACATGCGGAGGCCATACCCACAGAGGAACTGCCACACATGCTGAGGCATCTCATGGTGGCGTTACTCTCCCCACGACAGGCCAAATCTATATCTATGGAGGACTGTTTTCGCATCCCAAAAGCACCAAAAGCCCCTACAGGAGCATCGAGAGACCTAATAGTCCACTTCCGCAATGGTAGGGACAAAGCGGCAATACTCACAGCTATCAAGGACCAGGACCTCTACAACTTCAAGGGTATGCAACTTACCATTTACCCAGATCTCTCGGGAGGCACCTTGGCGTGGCGGAGGTCCTTCAAACCATTCACCGCTCTCCTCCGACTGAAAGGCATTCAATACCGCTGGCAGCTGTCACGTACCCTACTGATCCTCCACGGCGAGGCCCGGCACGCAGTCCATGACATCATGGAAGCAAGGACTCTATTGCCCACACTGGGACTCCCGATGGACTCACTGCCTCCAGGAGGACCTCAAAGGATTGAACCTACAAACCAACGCTGGGACCCGGCGAAAGTGACCGCATTTGTTCCAAGGAAACCTCCTCCGGCACAGACCGCATTGGTCACCACCTGAACTCTTGATTGGGTCATGTTATGCTTACCACCCACAGTTACCCTAACTCGCCATCAGTTATATAACTAGGTTTTACCAGTTCTTATACACACTAGGTTTAACTGAAAGTTCAGCAACCCATCTACACTCTCATAGAGCGGTCACCTGACCGCATACTAATACCCCCCACAAATCGCATTAGCGATTGAACCACTTACTGAACAACACAAGCAGCCCCTTAGCCTGGCGCTGCACCCCTAGATCCAGCAATAGATCTTGCGACACTGACGAACACCCGTAATACAGACCTAGCAGATTAGCAATGTGGCTCTGACATCATATACTAGCGAGAAACTATATCTGCAGGTATGACACACAAGTTAAATTTACTTTGCCTTATTCTTACCCACGACTAAGATTGTAATCCTCTATTATCATAACTATACTCTATTGGTATGCCCGGCTTAACAGATACACATTAGCTTTGTTATGGCACACATACCCCATTAGACCAAATGCTATCTAACTTATACATATATAAAAATGTGCAGAACTATTGTTAGCCACGCTGAAAATATTTATCAATGTTTAGCCCTGGACTGCTGTTGTGGCACCAAGGGCCAGTTTGTTATAACTTGCACATCAAAAATAAAGAATATAAAAAAAAAACGAATTCCATTTCTAACACCATCTAACCATAACAATGAACTCTTTCTAAGGTTGATCCAGCTGCACAATCACAGTAATCAAATTGCCTTAAAGGGACACTGTAGGCACTCAGACCACTTCAGCTCATTTAAGTGGTCTGGGAGCCAACTCCCATCACCCTTAACCCTAGAGTTTTTTATAAATGGCAATAATTACTGGCTAGGGTTAGCAGGTTACTTTTTTTATTATTATTTATTTTTGCAGTGCATAGGTTAGTTAACAGGATTACAGTGACATTTTTAAATGAAAAAGACCATGAGGTTAAAAGCAAGATTGTCGGAAAATATCAGAGATACAGCACTTTTTAAAAATATAACAGGAAAAATAATGATGAAAATATATACCGTTCATAAGGGTAATAATGAAATAGGTTCTGTTAAAGCAATTGCATTTCCTAGGCACTGATATTGACTGCCACAAATAATGACAAGCATAGCCAAAGTAAATAACTAGATTATGAGAATCAAGCTAAAATCATGAGATAATAACAAATATGATTACCACCGGGTGTCAGCCACAGAATTGTGTGTCAAAGAAGAGATAACTATAGACAGAACTGTCCAAAAATAATACAGCAGAGTGAGCCTAAACCGAGGCATGGAAGGTGTTACCGAGTAGACAGATTAATTAGCCTATGTCTGACAGTTGATGTGTGCTGCCCACGCTATGAATGAGGACTTCCAGCGTCGCCAGAATCCCCATAGGAAAGCATTGAATAATGCTTTCCTATGGGGAGATCTTAATGCGAGTGCGGCCATTGGCGTGCATGCGCATTAGGTCTCCCCTCCCGGCAGACGTCGGCAGGGGAGGAATGTGGGCGGAACTGACCAGCGCCGAGGGACAGCTGGGCTGGACCCGGGTAAGTGACTGAAGGGGTTAATAACCCCTTCAGCGCCGCGGGAGGAGGCCTTGACAAAGGGGAAAGCTATAGGGCTGTGAGTGGTTCCATGGGTGATCAGACAGCCCATCGACATAGCCCAGTTCCAAAGGATTCTGGGATGCACTGCTGCTGCCGAACATCAGCTATCAGTCATAGCGTAGGACAGCTGTGATTGGCTATATTCTTACATAAAAAGAAATAAACACACAACACAGACACTGAACTTATATAAAAAATTTAATTTCACAGTCATCCAATTATAATTTTTAAAAAGAGATATATTTATATTTAACAGGATTTAACTTTGAGGCGACAGCACTTTAAGGTATTAAAACCGAGAGTAGGCGTTTCTTTGCTGTTGCACTGGTTGTTGAGGCTGCTGTTGTTGCTGTTGCTGCTGTAAGCGAATCTGCTGTGAATAAGGATCTTCCAATGATTTAACTATAATCATACTCTTTGGGCCAGTCTTCCAGAGGATCCCATTACAGTCAATCACAGATGACTCCACGGTGATCTGGTGTGTTCCCAACACAGAGAAGTTCAGTAGGAACTGGGTGCTGAAGTAATCATTGTGAGGCTCCACTCTCTGCTCCATTTCACTCCGTACACCCTCTGTAGGAATCTAGATATAAAACGTTTTTGCAAGTAATTATCTGCACAGAATTAGAAAAATGTACATAACTGTATATGTAAAATATACAATATTGCATTCACTCTAGAATATTGTGAATTTTAAAACATCACAATCAACAATATATTTATTTCACACTTCTACCACCCAAATGATAAAACCCTACTCAAGCTGCTACAATAAAACAAAAACCTAAAACAAAAATAAAAAAAAATACAAAACCGCCACCTTATCTGAAACATTTAACCCCTTAAGGACACATGACGTGTGACATGTCATGATTCCCTTTTATTCCAGAAGTTTGGTCCTTAAGGGGTTAATCATTAGCAGAAGGTTTATCTGTATTCTGCTTATTTTCTGGCTTGTTACAAACACAACTGGATGCGAATGATGTATGCAAACCCCCATAATGACATACTTCGATGTTCACTAAAAGTCTAATAATTCTCACATTAGTATTTAGCAATTAAACAGTATTCAGGGTCAGCATCAGATCTCTAAATTTGAACTATGTGAGCAGACCAAGACTAAATATAGTGTTACAAAACCAGTAAACACTTTGGCTAAATATGTACCACTCACAGGTTATGACATTCAATGGTGTTCCAGCTGATCTCTGTTATCACCAAGGGACCAAACATGAAGTATGAATTTGCTATCAGCAAATAATTTTAAAAGTCCCTACATATTTTATTCTAGTACATCAGTTACCAATGACTTTATAAAAAGCACACTTGAAGTGGACTTATCATTCACAAATTTAAAGGCAAATGTACTTTTTCAGTAATATTCAAAAATAAAGGTTTGTGGTCAAAGTATATGAACACACAATGTTTTGTGCAGCCCACACAGACTAGCACAATGCATTGATGAAAGTATGTCCTCTGTAAAGTGTTACAATGTAATAATCTTACGGCACTGGTTATCCGTTTCTGTAATCGGAATTTCTTTTACACCATCCTAAAGCCCTTTAAAAACGGCCTACACCTTGCACGGATTATTTTAATAATTCTATTCAGCATTTTGGAAACCAGAGAAAAAATTTCTAACTCTTGTATTTAACATGGACTAGATTGACAGAATCTATATTCCAATAGAAAATGTAGCTAGATTTCGTAAATGAGAGCCTGATCCTTCATACATTCTTTGGATGTCATTTAAATAGTTAGCATTTTTTAATAACCCATGATGCACAGCGGGATGCTGGGAGCTACTGAACAAATCACACATTCTGATTGGCTTTTGCAGCCTTGTTTTCCTTATCACTCACGTTTCCTAAGGGTTTGAATATAGTAATTAATTTCCAAGGTGACAGTGTCCGAAATGAAAAACTGTAAGGCCTTTAGGTGGTAATTACAGTCTGGTTAGAAAAAAAACACACCAATTTGTTGAACTATTTAAATTGATACAAGGAAGGACCATTTAGTTAGCATTGCAATACTACAGAGTTACAAAGATTCTAAGAACCATCTGAAAAACTTTTACTGTTTAAGCCGTGTTTTATGTGGTTTTTACTGTGGAAGACACATAAAACACAAACTAATTGGTATTCAATTAGGCAAATGTTGCATGCCACAAACAAAATATAAAACTACCCCATTGTATAACGCTATGGAATTTGCTGGCGCTATATAAATAATAAAATAATAATAATTTGACTGCGCGTACCTTATAATCCTGGCCAGGTTTACTCTGCAGGGAAGATGAAACATTGAGGCAGACGGACTGGATCTTCCGGAACATACCCGGTTTGGTGCCATGCTGCACCACACCTTCTACTTTTAAGGCCAATTGTTGATTGCTCTGTACAGGGATTGGCTCTGCAGGATTGCGTGGAGATGGGGACAGGGCAAGCTGAAAAGGAGAAACATTAATTACCATTAGCTGGCAGGGAACAAATTAAAAATCAGGTAAGACAAAAAAAATAAATAAAAAAAGCTGAAGAGGTATGTCAGGAAAATAATGCCATCTGCGTATCTACAAAGCATCCATAAAACATGGCATTATATTCCCATAATACACCCCCCCCCCCCACCCCTTACACTCATGTTGAAAGAGGAATTTCTACACGAAATACAAAATAAACAAAAGCAATGTGTTTTTGATCCACCCACAAGTAGTCCATATACACAAGGTTATTATACATATTACATATACCTACTATGCAATCTAGCAGGCACTACATAGTGGTGCTTTTTATGCTTCTAGTTTGAAAAGAGTATTGGTTTGATTCACTAAACAACAAATTGGTAACGAAGCTGAGAAATGGCATGCAGAATTTAGGAATGATTTCCATCTCATTACAACTGAGCAATTAATGTGTCATCTTACCAAACTCATCGTTTCATGGGTAAATCCAATACCAGAAAAAAAAAGGGATCAACAATAAACATTCCTGAAAGTCCCATTCTGCCTACAGCACACAAACACTGTGGGTAGCTGTAACAAATGCAGCTGCAGAGGTTTCTTGGTATTTTCCGTAATTTTCACTGCACATCCGTGTGAGCATACTGGAGGCTGGCACAACATTTACAGAAGGTATCCTTTAGGGATGTTTCATAAATAGATAGCATAATGTAAATTAGATTTCCTGTTCAAATGTATTAGGAATTATTCTGCGGACACAGAAAGTTGAAATCCAGGAAAAATGGCCTGGTTACTACGGACAATGTCAAGTAATAATGAGAATGTTTCTCAGTAACAGAGATCCATGTGATTCCTGAGTGTAGACTTTTCATGAAGGGTAGAACATTCAACATAAGTGACTGGCATTATGCCATTTTCAGGAGAAATATGAAAACCAAACTCTGGATTTCGTGTCATCATTTTACCCGAAGCATGAAAATTTTTACAAATTGATTTGCTGATTAAAATGCAGGCTGGAATGTTCACGTGTGATTTTCAATTTTTTTTTTTAAACATTCCTTTCTTATTAATCCAGTCAAAATCAATGAAAGAGTTCATACAAGAATGAAGTATATTCCTGATTCAATCCAGGCTCATAGTGTAAGGTTTGTATTATATTATTAGACATGTAGTCTGTTCATAAATAGTGTCAGAGTCTCTTCTTTTGATCTGAAGAATGTTTCAGCAGAGTTGGAAATGTCCGATGTACTAATGAAGTAGAGAGGAAACGCCAGGGAGTAGGAATAAGTGAAGATTGATGGCAATGTCACGGCTAAACAGAAGCTCTGTAAATGACATTTATAAGGAAAACAAGCAGGATATATCGGCAAAAGCTTGTTTGAGGGGTTTCAGAGAAACAAGTAAATGATCCCAGGTGTGGCACAGGTTCTTGAACTATCATTTATGATAGAAAAGTTGATACGGCAGCCACGTGTGATATCTCAGAGTCACATGCTTGATTCAAAGGTTGATAAAAGGAGTACCATTCAGGTGGGTAATTATAACATCTAAACTTGAAAATTTTTATTTTTTTTGTAAATATCGGTATCGACCGATAATACCAATAATGAATGGGTGGGCCGGCGCATCCATAAGGCGGCACAAGCGGCCACCTTAGGGCAGCGTGGCAGAGCGCAACGCGGTACAGGAACTTCTGTAGGGGAGTTCCTATCGCACATATTTACACACAAACACACTGCATCCACTAACAACACAAACACACACACTGCATCTACTACCCACACTGCATCGACTACACAAGCACACACAAACACTGCATCCATTACACAAACAAATCCACTACCAGGGCCGGTGCAAGGATTTTTGCCGCCCTAAGCAAACAAATATTTGCAGCCCCAACAAATATTTGCAGCCCCACCCATATGATCTGCCATATGAACTAACGCCAGTGCTGCACACAGTGTGTGTTTACATTAAAAGGCCTGCAGGGATAGGCTATAGACACCAGAACCACTACATCAAGCTGTAGATGGTTCTGGTGACTATATTGGCCCTTTAACGTGAGGTAAATTAGCAATTAGTGCCACTAATAATATACTGATGAGGACAAGAGGATGATGATGGGCTCAGGCTGCAGTCTGGCTCCACTGGTCTGGTTTTAAAACAGGCTCTCTGGAGGCAGTGCTCACACAAAAAAAAAAAATGAACAGGAAGCAGCTCCATTTTTTGGGGCCACTTACACAGATCACGGTCTGGGTCCCCAGGGCTGACCGTGAGTATGCCTACAAGGCCTGCCCATAAGTCCACCTACATGGCCCACACATAAGTTCGCTCACAGGGAGTGGAGTGTATGTGTGTACGGGATATGTTATGTGTTATAATAGAGGATGTAACGTGTGTGTGTTCTTATGGAATGTAATGTATAGGGATACCAATTTGTGTAAGGGATGTAGTGGGTGTGTATAGGGAATGCAGTGTGTGTTTGTGTGTAAAGAATGCCTTGTGTATTTCTGGGTGTGTGTGTGTAAGGGATGCATTGTGTGGATCTGTGTTTGTATGTGTAAGGGATGCATTGTATGTTTCAGTGTGTGTGTGTGTGTGTGTGAGAGTAGGGATGCATTCTGTGCACGTATGTTTCTGCGTATGTGTAATGATGCATTGTGTATGTGTGTAGTGTGAAAGAGAGGGTTTATGGGGTAGGGTAGGGGCTGAGGGGGGAGCAGTTTTTTTATTTTTACAATATTTACTTTGTTAATATAATTTTTTTGTATATATTTTTTAAGTTTTGTGTATCTCTTATCCCCTCCCCTCTTTGTATGTCTCCTACATCCTCCCAACCCCTCTATGTGTCTTACTCCCCCAAGTCCCTTTGTGTGTCTTTTCCTCCAGGCCCCTGTGTGTGTCTCCCTCACAAGTGACTCTGTATGTCTCCGTCTCCCCTACCAGCCCTTCTGTGCTTCTCTTTCACCCCTTCCTCAGCCGGTGTGTCTTTTAGTATCCTGTCCCTTAATGATCTCTACCACTTCCATCATCCCTTAGTGGTCTCAACTCACCTTCTCCCCCTGTCCCTCAGAGGTCTCCCATCCTCTCCTGTCCCTTAGTGCTCTCCCAGCCCCTGCTGTCCTTTAGTGCTCTCCCATCCCTTGGCGATCTCCCCTCCCCACCCCACGTGTCCCTTAGTGGTCTGTACTCCCACCCAGTGTCCCTTAGTGGTCTCTCCTCCTCCCCTTCTCCTTACCACTTAATAAAAAAATACGGTAAGTGTACAGAACATCGGTAAGCTATTGGCCTGAAAATTCATAGATTATCGGTATTGGCTCTAAAAAAAATCAATATCAGTCGATCCCTAGTTAAAACACCCTTACTCCACCTCCTTTGAAGTCAATCGACGGGGGACGCTAATGTGCATGTGCCAAGAATGCTGTGAGCACATTTGAGTTTTGCTTGACATTCTCAGTGTCTGATTGACAGCCACTACAGATAGTCTTAACACTGCAATGTAATGATTGCAGTTTCTCAGAAACTAATAATTACAATTGCAGGGTTAAGGCGACTGGGACACTGCACCCAGATCACTTCAATAAACTGAAGTCTTCTGTGTGCCTATAGTGTCCCTTTAACTGTAATTAAATATATATTTTTAAATATTAACCCCTTAAGGACACATGACATGTGTGACATGTCATGATTCCCTTTTATTCCAGAAGTTTGGTCCTTAAGGGGTTAAATATGAGGACAAGTATGATTTTTCTCTATGACGACACTAGTGCTGGTATTAGCTATGGTACACTGTACCATTATAGGTTTTCAACAAGGTAAGTAAAACTGATCATCGCACATTGACCTCATTACAACTCTCTGTTCATATCAGTCACCATTCTAACTTATTCATTTTCGTTCATTCGAGAACCAGTCATACTGTAAAAATACAGATTTTCACACAAAGTAAAATACATTTATTTCCTAGTATTTTTAGATTATTTTGTATAAGGATTGCACCAGGCTGGAGACTGAGATGACAGAATAGTATTAAACAGACAGAAGAATCTCAGGGGGATCTAAGTGCACAGTGAGAGAAAAATATAATCTGCAGAATATGGACACGATGGTAATGAAGACTCTTAAAAGCAGACTCAGCATAAATAAAAAAGGAGTCTGAAGACCGTAACTCAGAATGTACTAGATAGTATGTTGTCAGCTGCAAGGCCCTTTAATACTATTCTGGAACTATTTGTACATTATTCTGTGTAACAAAACGCATCCATAAATTAGCAGCCAGGAGGTAAGAAAGATCCGGTCAACAAGGGTCTGCAACAGAAAATACTGATGAATAAATCCCACTAAAGCTTTTGCAATCAAAGAGCCTTGTAAGGATGATATAAGATTGCTTACATATGGTTCCCCATGAATAGAAAAGTATTTATCAAGTTTATTTTTTTTTTTTATTGTCTAGCTGACAGAGAGGTCTGTCCGATAATGCGAGGTGTGATATTTCACCCACAACATCTGGCAATTAAATCCATGTCTTCACACTCTAGGTTGAAGCAAGGAGTCCGTCTGCATTTAACGAATTACCGGTATGTATACGGTAAGGGAAATTCTCGTCGAAAGTGATACAATAAGGGCTCTTCCACTTTCCTCAGTGAAAGAAGCAAGAAAAGATTCCAATTTAGAGAACAATTTTCAATCTCAAGTGATAAGAGAATAGGTTAAAGAACCCCTAACACAATATGCAGCCTCGCTTTCTCCATTTACATATATATAGAAAATCTCATTCTTGGCCAGGAACAGCATTCAGACACTTGCTTTGTTATATGAGCATGTGGAAAGCCATTTCAGTCTGCTTACCTTGATACTGGTGGACTGCAGTTTCTGGAAAAAGTACCTCTGAAATGAAAGGGGGACTTTTAACAGGCTGATGGCTGCGTTGCAGAGGCAAGAGGTGTGCTGGAAAAACAAACATTCAATTATTAATTAATTTGGGGAAAACAAGCAAACTGCCTAAATAACTGCAGTCTGCTCCTCAATCTATTTTTTTTTTTTTTTTAATCATGAATCGCTCTTTGGCTGTTTACGTGGAGAGAAAGCTGATACACGGATAAGGGTGTTGCCATAGCAACACAGCAATTTGCACAAAGGCAACTGAAGGTGATATAATAGTGCCTTATACAGGTGCACATTGCTGAGGCTGCCTTGCCAACAAGTGCATGGATAAAGCAACACTGTATCAACTTTAGTTGCCCTAGAACATTCACAAAGACATCTGCAGACTATATCATCAACACAACTTTATATTCTTAAAGGATCACTATAGGGTCAGGAACACAAACATGTATTCCTGACCCAATAGTGCTAAACCCACCATTTAGGTGGCTAGCCCACCTATAAAAGTTTGGAGCATACTGTCGCATGCAGATTTACCAGCCATTACCGAGTAAACATGTTTTACTTGTATGTTGCCAATTACATAAAATATCGGACCATTCTCTGCCAGAGGAAAAAATTATAATGTTGGATTAAATACCTACACCCACCTATAACCATAATTGCCACTTGAAGGAGCTTTAGTCCCAGTGCCCAAACACACAGACTGCAAACTGAAAGTGTTCTAGTATTAGTGGGACTACTTTCTAATGATCAGATATCGGAGTATTACTATGCACAAACACCGTCATTTCTGCCCAGCGTGACACCGTTAAACACTGTAAAATCTTGTTATTAACGTAATAATTAAAACTGGTAAACGTTCCCTTGACAGTATCCCAAGGGCTCTACCTGGGTACATCTGTTCGTGGGCCTTTGGGTAAATCAGAGCTGCTGACTTGCGGTTAACAGACACAATATTATTAATAATACTTCTCCCCAAAGACTCATTTAATTTGAGCTTAATGTTAATTTCATTTAGTCATTCACCAGTATAGATATGCCATGCAGAGCTTATTGCACAGACTTTAGCTGTAAAATTACACATCAACTACTACTTCTGCATTGTGAAAACACTTTATATGAGTCATGTGACTCTTTTGTAAATAATATGAACATTCAATTAAAAATATCGCAAAGCCGTACTACAAATTACTTTGTAATTATATATAGCTCTTCCATCCTGCTCAGGTTTCAAGCCTCTTGTTCATCAATTCCTATGTAATAAAATAGGAGTCAAAAAGTGTATATGAAAAATCATCTTGACAGCGGTGTTATAAAAAGGCTATTATATGCAGAGATCCCTGGCTGCACTCCCTCCTCCCATCTCTTATAGCATCTCTTTCCCCAGGTCTTATATCCACTTTATCTGGGTATTTTCATTACCTCTAGAGGGCCATCTAGAGGATCAGGTCTATACAGGTCTACACAGACTGTATTTGTATCTCAAATGTATTCACACCTCAAATTGGCTTATATTAAAACTGCAAATATAAAGCACAGCGATGCCTGTCAAACTGATTTCACACCTCTTGGCTATACATTGTAAGGCATACACTTTGGTTGAGTATCAAGTGACCTTTGGTGTAATGACACTAAACCACTCCCAGCAGGGACCTTACCAGGTAAGAGATAGGGGGGTATTTTCTACTGAGAAGTTCCACTTCCTCCAGTACATGATTAAAGACAGACATCATCTTTCTCTCGTACTCGCTGTCAGCCTGACCAGATCCACTAAAGCTGCATTCCTGGAAACTGCATATACATTCGAAAAAAGTAGAAAGAAAGAAAACTAAATTTGGTGAACAGCGGGGCAACGTTGTAATAGGTCAAAATGTTTTGGAATGCATATTGTATAGCATCATATTGAATATTCCATCCATACAGCCAGGAGTTAAACAAGCTTCATAACAGCATGTCTGACATGTTAAACACCATAAGCACAATATAAAGGGTTTTAACTATAATGAAGCTGGCCGGAAATTTTTTTTTCTAAATATTTGGTCATACATCATTTTGCTCCCCCCAGACCACAAGTTGTTAAAATGAATATTAATGGAGGACATAACAATGCAGTCCTTACCTGCAAGATTCGGGATCCAAAATAAGGGCCTCAATGGTATAGGATATCAAAAGGCAGCTCTGTTGTTGCCTGTTACAATAGAGGAGTTAAGGCATATAGCACATTTTTGACATCAAATAAAAAGACTGATCTATTTTTTAGCCTCCTTTGTTTCTGTTCTATAAACAGCATAATACAACCATAGAACAGCTTCACGCCATGTGTCTCTACACTGTAAGCGTTGACAACCAACAATGTTTGTTAGTAGAGTCATTTGTGTGTTTACAAATTTACATATATCACATGAGAAGAAATCAGTGTTTAGCTGATCTCCCCAGAAATGAGTTGTAAAAAAAGACAATCAGACAAGAATAAAAAAAATAGAAAAATAACATAAGTCATAACGTTCTATTTTCCCAGTGCTTACCTGGATTTTTTTTTTTTATTCTGAACACCATTAAGATAACTTAGACCACTATTACCTAATGCATTGACTGTGGTAAAGTCCATTTGGCATCTGTCAAACCAACTGCCCAGTTGGAGACATAACGAATAAATCTATTTCTATTTATGATCTACTCAAAACATTACTATAGCACAAGCTTGCATTGCGAAAGGCTGTGAGTATTGGGATATTGGGAGAATTGAGAAACTTTATCATTAACACTTTCAGTACTGCTCCTTGTGCCAGTCTGACGGAACAAACAGGGTAGATGGTGAGTTGCTGCGACTAAAAAGCCTTCTTTACATTATTATGATGTCTCTAAATAAAAGGTCTGGGCTTACATTGTTATGGAATCCCGTTTTTGTAAAAATGCTTGAAAAAAGATTGAACTAAAACCAGAGGGACTTCACATATAACCTGCTTGTAGCATAAGTGCTTTCAGTTGCAGTGGTTATGGTATGCGGAGTGTCTACTTAATAAATGGGAGTAAGTCTCCAGAGGGATCCGAGTTTGACACGTACAATAGGTTACTTATGGATTTATATTGTACATAAACAGTTCAAGCCTGAAAGGAAAAAGAAATGTCAAACATAGATACCTGGAGCATGCACTTATGAAGATCTCAGAGACCTTCGTGTGTCTTCTTGGATGGATTCACCAACATACACATTGCAGTTGAACTGTGGTGACATTACATTCTCAAAATTAGAATCCAGACCCTCTCAAAGGAGAATCCAGACCCTCTCAAAGGAGAATCCAGACCCTCTCAAAGGAGAATCCAGACCCTCTCAAAGGAGAATCCAGACCCTCTCAAAGGAGAGCTGGATTGCACTACAAATTCACATGAAGAACACGGCTATATGCATGAAAATATTTGACCTACCAATGAGGACTATGGCAAGAAAAAGATACACACATATTGTATCCTGGTGTATTCTAATCATTTTTAAACCAACACATTAGGTTTAGATCAGTACTTCGGAAAAAAGGAAACAAAAATGTATAAAATGCCCATACACCCATATATTTCTATTTTATTATTCACTGTTTTGAAAAAAAGAATAGTGGATTACCAGGTTCCAGGGAAACCAAATGTCTCCCATTCTTTCCATGATAAACTATTCTGTCTCTCTTATGATTTATTTGACTAATTCAAACAAAAACTGGTGGTTATATGGGATTCATTTTCAGTTTAATAACGATTCCAGTCTTGGTGACAGAATAACAACAAAACAATTAAAATATGAAAGATGTAAACAATAAAAAGGATGCAATTCTATGTTCCTCAAAGTAGCAGAATCAGCATCGAATGAAGACCGATACAGGTCACTATAGCGTGTAGCAAGATCTTTGAATTCTTCCATGGACTGTTTCATCTACCAAATAAAAACATGGCAGCAGTGAGATACTTCAACGGCAAGGGAAAGCAACATTTGTGTGTGTGAAATGTACAAAAACATTATTCAATCAGTTTGATAATATAGAAAATACTTTGATAACAAATTCTGAAGTCGTTAAGAGCTACCTATTTACCAGAGTGCAGCCCAGTGCAATGCAAACATTGTGCTCTGTTAACCAATAAAAGTGCCCAAATATGTGCCAGTTACACTCACTTTGACTAAAGTAATAGCACGCTGTACTACAAGTAGGTGAGAGGGGAGACCATAATGGGTTAACAGAGAAGCAGCACAACTGGTAGACTGGTCCTGAGTTGGCTGGAAAAAAGAAGAAATTAACTGCTTTATTACCATAAAATCCACTAATTACACTGTCCAGCTCACAAGTTTTCCTCTGCTATATCTCTACAAGTGTGTATTCCTGTGAGTCCCAATATGTTACGCCTTCAAGGGACACTGTATTCACTGTAACTGTTGTACTGTATGGAGTCCGGGACAGTGTCAGGGACTCCAGGCACTATAACCAATCCGATTAGATGAAATGGCCTGCAGAGTCCCTTTAAGGTTAACTCATTAAGGTGCAAGAGTGATTGCTATCTGTTCCCTTCTTAAATAGCCACACATATATTGTATATCATGAACATTAACCTCTTTTCACCTCAAAAAATATAAACAAATAGAAGAAAAATGTTTAAAAAGGAAAACTTGTTACACACCGGTCTTTTTGATAAAAAAGCATTCAACATAAAATGAACAGAAAAATAGCAATACATAACATAGTAAAGAGCAAACTACGTTTAGATACACAAATAACAAATGAAATGCAATCACTAGAGGTTGAATTGATTGTGGTCCATCTCCCCCCCATGCAACGTTTATTTCATAAACCATTTCTTTCGCTGAGATTATTTATTGCAGGATGCACATACATGCCAGTGCAATTTTAAAGGAAATCAGGGCTCAAAATGTAAAATCTGACTAACCAGACTTTAACCCCTTAAGGACCAAACTTCTGAAATAAAAGGGAATCATGACATGTCACACATGTCATGTGTACTTAAGGGGTTAAATTTACTCATCCACACAAACACCATTATTTTAATATAAATTTTGTTAATAACATGGTGTGTCCCTGTGAATTCAGAGGGTGAATTTATATCTCCTTTCCTACCAATGTACACAGCAAGTGTTTTGAGAAAAAAAAAAAAGTTAAAGGACCGCTATAGTGCCAGGAAAACAAACTCGTTTTCCTGGCAATATAGGGTCTATAGGTCCCCCCCCACCCTCAAGGTCCCACTCCCGCTGGGCAGAAGAAGGCTGAAGAGGTTAAACACTTACCTTTCTCCAGCGCCGACGTCAGCGTTGAATGCGCATGCGTGGCAAGAGCCACGCGCGCATTCAAACAGTCCATAGGAAAGCATTTCTCAATGCTTTCCTATGGACATCCAGCATCTTCTAACTGTGATTTTCACAGTAAGAATCGCGGGAGCGCCTCTAGCGGCTGTCAGTGAGACAGCCACTAGAGGCTGCATTAACCCTAGTGTAAACATAGTAGTTTCTCTGAAACTGCTATGTTTACAGCTGCAGGGTTAACACTAGAAGGACTTGGCACCCAGACTACTTTATTGAGCTGAAGTGGTCTGGGTGCCTATAGTGGTCCTTTAAAGATTCAACACGACGAGCACAAACAAATAACTAACGAACTATGTTTAAGTCAGGTAAACTGTGCCAGAAGGCAAGCAGAGCGTCATGTGAGATGTATACTACAACAGCCCTAGAGAGACAGATGAACAAAGCAAGAGAGGTAGATTGAAGATTATACCACTGACTTGAATGAGATATTATTAGTGTTTCAAAGAAGAAATTGAAGTTGTTCAGTTTTGGAGGGATTTGATAAGGAGTTCTAGTCAGGATGAGTTTGGGGAAGAGATATAGAGAGATTACAAATGATCGCAAATAACCATCAATACAGTAATAAATATAAAGTTTTAATACCTGGGTTGAAATGCGCCCACAACGCTGGAGATCATTGCCCGAAGTCATAGCAATGGTGGAGGCAATGGCAGGAGGGGGGCTGGTTTTCAGACTGTTACAGGTGCAGATTAACTGAGAGAAAGCATGAAGGAGATCTATCCGCAGCTTCACAAATTCACACTGAAAACTTAAAGGATTCATAGGTGTACTAGCAGCCTAAAATAAACAAAAACATGTAAAAGGTAACAAATACTGATAAGGTGTAAGTTTGAACACATCTTTAAGCAGTGTGAAACAATGAAAAACGAAGACACCCTTCTGCATCAGCCGCATCCAAAAAATAAATAAATAAATAAATAAATAAAATAAAAAAGGTAACAAGGTGGTGAAGTGTACAATTCATACAGTGCAAAAAATCGAATATCACTAAAAATCAGGTAATAGTCTAGAAACCATTCAGTTATTTATACTGACACCAGATAGTTTCTTGGAAATATTTTACAGGACGTTAAAAAAGTTGAAGAACCCATACTGATCACTTTTAAATACATTTCAGCAAAATCTTACAAAATAAATAAAATCATTATAATTTACCTTACTAACTGTGTACACAGTAAAGAATCTGCATCCTCAGAGCATTTAAACAACAATTTCCTATACTGCACACAATAGAATACTGGCGTTAGTCAGCACGGCTCTGGCACTTGCAAGTTCTGATTGGTTGAGGACTTTGCATGTTGCTTTTTTCCCCCCAGTAAAGTACAATAAAAATAGTACATGACATTTAGAAACATTGATTGAGGAGACACACTTGGTGAATAAGCAGTAGTTTAAAAATACATAAATAAAAAAATAGCAAGTATTAAACATAAACGTTTACTCAGAATCTACTACATAAGGACTCGAGTTTCAGGCATGTGTGAAAATAGAGGAGAGTGGAGGATGTAGTAGAGTAAGGATATGAATTAGGTAAGAGACTGGATACACCTGGTCCAGTCAAGCCTGGCCATCACAAAGTCATCAATTATGCCATAATCAACCTAACAAAGAAAGTCATGTTTGTCGCCAGGTAGTTGATTTATGGGTACAAGAAGATGGTAGTATGGTTTTCGTGGTTTCTCTGAGAGAGATAGTCAAGGCTTCAATGAAGCAGATGCCTTCCATCTTCTGCCTTCATTGCTCTGTCAGGAGGTCTCACTAAGGATTTATTAAACAGAGAGAATAAGGTCTGCATGTGATACAAGAAAGGGCTTTGGGGGAGGATAGAAGGGGTCTCCAAAATTCTGGCCCATATGAGCATGTGCTAGTTTCCAGTAGGACTCTGAATGGCCAGTGCCACCAGAGATGAAATATGAATCCTACTGCTCCCCAGCAATGCCAACATTGATCAGGTATATTCACAATCTGGAGCAGCTACTGTGTGGGCCTGTATTTATAAAACAGTTATTTGCACGGTTTATATGATAATGTGCGATCTAGAGCCTCATCCCACTGGGCCTGTAAGTGTATTGGGATTTTATTGGTTATCTGGAGAAAACACCTGGTATAAGAAAGAGACGCTGGTGTCCAGATTCTCATCTTATTTGCACAAGAGATTAAAACATGTAAGATGTATGTGTTTGTTTTTTTTTGTTAAATTTGGATTATGATCATGAGGTGATAAGAGCATAGCAGTAGATCTCTAGAAATACAGGATTTCTCTGTGCTGGAAGAACAGCTAGTGTCTGGAATCAATTGTCAATCACTACCCCGGCGCTGAAGAAAGGTAAGTGTTTTAACCCCTCCAGCACAGCGGTAGTGGGACCATTAGGGTGCAGGGGGGCCTAAAGACCCTATAAGTTTGTTTTCCTGGCACTATAGTGGTCCTTTAAGGCCACCCAGTGGGCATTGCTGAACAAGGGCCCGGTCTGCTACTGTGGCCGTTTAAGACCACGACCGGGCCCCTGTAGTGTGGGATGTTGGGCGGAAGTTGTAGCGCAGCCTGTAACTTCCTCCCAGGCATTAAGAGTGCTGCACTGGATGTAAAGATTGTGGAGTGAGCTGCTGCAAGCAGAGGATCACTGTGCTGGCCAGGAGTGAGTGACAGAGAGGTTGGTGAGTAAACCTCCCACAATACACAACATGAATGGGAAGGCTCTGAGTGGCTGGCTGAGGATCATAGGAACTCCATGCCTAGCCATCATTGAGCTCCAGGGATCCACAGAAAGCCAGTGTAAATTCAGCCATCATCCAGTTAGCTAGTGTAAATTCAGGGGAGATTTATCAAAGTCCATTTTGGGGTTGCAAAATCTCTTCCAATTTATTAAATTAACCCTGCAACCACAAAAAAAAACACTAAATATAAAAATCATGACCCGTGTGTGTGTGTGTATCAAGTTGTGTGCATTTTTCACTGTGTATCTGAGTGTGTGTGTGTGTGCCAGTGTGTGGGTATCTGGGTGCGTATGTGTCAGAGTGTGTATATCAAGTTGTGTGTATTTGTCACTGTGTGTATATATGTGCATGTGTGTGTGTGTCAGAGTTTGTATATCAAGTTGTGTGTATTTGTCACTGTATGTATCTGTGTATGTATATATGTGCCAGTGTGTGTGTGTGTGTGTGTGTCAGAGTTTGTATATTTGTGTCAGTGTGTGTATGTGCCAGTGTCTGTGTGTCAAGGTGTATATATGTGTCACTTTGTGTATCTGAGTGTGCCTATATTTGTGTGCCAGTGTGTGTATCTTTATGTCAGGTTGCATATCTGAGTGAGAGAGTGTGCCAGTGCCTGAGTATATTGGTGTGTAAATGTGCCACTGTGTGTATCTGAGTGTCTGTATCTGTGTGTGTATGAGTGTATGTGTGTGTGTATGTATGTGCCAGCGTGTGTATCTGTGTGTCAGTGTGTGTGTATGTATCTGGGTGTGTATGTGCCAGAGTGTGTATGTGCCAGTGTGTGTATATGTGTGCGAATCTGTGTGCCAGTGAGGGTGAATGTGCCAGTTTGTGTATCTGTATGTCTGTGTATTTGTCAAGGTGTTTGCATCTTTGTGTATGTATTTGTCAGTGTGAATGTATGTATGTCCACATATCCCAGCAATGAAACAGCAATACAACATGCAAACACATCCCTGCAAACAGAAACATTACGTACAAAAACACCCCAGCATTTAAACTCCAAAATAATATACAAACTCTCAAAGACACTCTTCACTCAAATACCAATACTACACACAAATGTACATCTGCATTTAAAAGCCAACACTACATCCAAACACAGCAATGCACCAAAATGCAAACATTACATACAAACACACAAATGTATTAAAATACTAAAATTATACACAAACACCAACTCTACACATAAAAACACACACCCCCAAGTACTACATTCTGTTTACTATAAATATACACACACAACATTTTTGGGGGCGTTCCACGATGTTTGTACACTATGTCAGAGGGTTCCACGGGAAAAATTAATTGGGAACCCCTGCTCTAAAATGGTATATGAAAAGGTAGATTCAGAACACAGAGCTCCCTTAATACAAATTCTTATGGTATGATAGAAATAAATCTATGATTATCTTGCAGTAATAATGTTGCTTTAGAAACGCACTCGCTCTCTGTGCAAGTTGGAACATGCCTAAAAACAAATTATATGAAATCTATGAAAGTTAAGGTACTAACGGTAAGTGAAGCAATCCCCTTGTGGTAAGATTTTAGTGCATCAGCGATAGACGACAAGGCAGAGCTGTAATCATCCTCTTCCAGCACTGTGAGAGACTGCTCTGCCAGAGAGAATTCCTTCAGGCTGTTTAACCAAAAGTAGAAATGTTCCGAGGCCACCTGTGTTAGCAGGCTCTGATAGAGATCCTTTGCCATATCATGGTTACCCTGCCAAAATCAAAGAGAGTGAATTAGAGAGAAACTCTGCAAAATTACAAAAATGCAATTGCATTACTTATTTGCAACAGATACACTTTAGGAGTTCCAACCATTGATCCAAGTGTTCGTTCCTAGTATCTATAAATGGTGAAAGGGAAAAAAACGAAACAAAAAACAACCCAACCCAGTCTACAAAGAGTGGAGCGGTGCAGAAGACTCTCAGGAAATGAGCTAGTCCCACACTGTAGGGCTAAGGTCAGGAGAGCTAAAAGAAGATCCTATGCAGGAACTTCCAGCTGTCTGCTGTAGTGTAGGCGGGGAGCAGCGATCAGGGGATCTCAGTAGTCAAACTCCATTTTACAGTTTAGCTGTCTGGGCACCCCTGGTGTCATTGCAATGGTTATGGTGTTTGAAGTGTTCCTATTGATCTATTGTGTATAGGTCAGCACTATTGATTTCATTTGTGGAGATGCTACATTGTAACAGGGCATTACGTGTCATCCTGCCACATTCTACTTACCATTCTAGATGCTTGCCTGGCAATCCTATACACAGTCCAACCATTGGACACGTTTTCCAGCTGCTGTTTAATGATGGTCTTTACTTCTGGAGAGAGGGCTTTCTGACTTGAAACAAATATAACTGTGGCCAGGCAGACCTGTACAGAAAACAACACCCATTAGATTTAATGTTCCAAACCTGAATAGCACGTTATAGATTACATTACAAAAACAGAACTACGTCTTAGGACCCGTGTAATGCAGAATGGACTAGAGGTCAATTACGGAGTCAGTCTTCACTTTATCGTATTCACGAGACCACATGTACTAAGGACTGATCAAATGAGTCTGGAGGTCTCCTACAAGTCAGGCTGTAAAGGTGGTCCAAATCTAAAGTATGCCTTCATTGGCAACATATACACGGTTAGCTCGTCCAAAGGTTAAAGCTTAACCTTAACCGAAGAAGCTCAAAAATATGGTCTCAAAGTCTCATTGTTGGAGCCTTACTCAGTAAGAGAGGGACTTCAAGTCCTTGAAAGAATGATAAACTTGGAAATTTGTCACCTACAGTTAAAGGGACACTATAGTCACCCAAACAACTACAGCTTATTGAATGTGTTCTGGTGAGTAGAATCATTACCTTCAGGCTTTTTGCTGTAAACACTGTCTTTTCAGAGAAAATGCAGTGTTTACATTACAGCCTAGTGATAACTTCACTGGCGACTCCTCAGATGGCTGTTAGAGATCCTTCCTAGAAATGCATTGATTGAATTCATCTCTATGAGGAGATTCTGATTGGCCAGGGCTGTGTTTGAATTATGCTGGCTCTGCCCCTGATCTGCCTCTTTGCCAGTCTCAGCCAATCCTATGGGGAAGCATTGTGATTGGATCAGGCTACCACTTCTGCTGATGTCAGCAGGCAGGTCTAAAGGAAACAGGGACAAAGTAAGCAGCTGCAGACTTGCATACAAGTAAGATTTTACTATATTTAGGGAGGCATGAGGGGGACAGGGTGGCTAGATGGTGCTTTTAACCATACAGGGTCATGAATACATGTTTGTGTTCCTGACCCTATAGTGCTCATTTAAGCTACATATTATGGAACTTTCAAAGCCCAAAATGCCACTTTTCTCAACATCATTAGTTCGTAGTGAATGTAGTGTGTAACAGTGTTTTCCTGGTGCAGGCTATTGAAGGTATAGAGATTAGCTGCAAGGTGAAAGACAATACTAACATAACAAGGTCAGCTTTAATATTCTACAACCAAAAAGGCCACTGGTATGTATGGTAAATCCAGAGATCCCCAGTGACTGGGTGAATTAAAAAAGAAAAAGAAAATAGGGCACAAGGAGTGTTCCTACGCATTTTATGCTATATGTAGAGTTTATCCTCTTGTTCAGAATATAGTACTAAAGAGGAAAGTGTTGGCTTCTTTTCCTCTTTATCAAAGTTACACCCAGCAGTCTTTAGCTTTGTGGACGATGCACAGATACACTAAAACTCCTGGGTCACTCCTTTTGATATTTTTCCCAACATTTTTTAATCAAGACATTACTGAGAGCTTGTTGTGTATCAACTACTAAGACTTTAAAGTAGGCTTTTGTTTACATTTTGAAAACATTATTCCAGCCAGAGAACTCTTCTAAACGATTTATAGCTTCGGAAATTCCTGAGGAAGTGGGGGCAATACTCACAAACATCTGATTCATGGAACAGGCACATTACAAGTGAATGCATGGAACCCTGTGTACATTCACTAATAACATACAGTCTGGTTTACCCTGCATACAACTTTACAATGTACTTTTTAAGCTGCGACCTAGATGAGCTGTATAGTTAGTGCTTGAAATAAGCAACATACATTGTGAGTATATTTATTGTGTCTCCTGGTAATTTTACCCTTTCCTTTTAGTTATACTGACATTACAGGAATTTAAATAAACCATCAGTACTTCTTTCTGTGGCAGATTAACTCACAGCATTGTTTAGTAGTGAGAAAAATATATTTATTACACGGGGCATGGTGATTTCAGCACTACAAACAGTTGGAAGCGGTTTGTTATTGTGTGTGTGTATATATATATATATATATATATTTTATTTTTTTTAAATGTAACATTTTTTTAATTCATACATTTTGGTGGCCATGTCCCTACACAGAGAAACAAGAAAAATAATTCTCCTCTGTTTACACTTTCTAGTTCAAACAGAAACCTATTTTCCTTTGTTGACCGAAAGGCAGGTCATCACTGAAGGGGACTGGTCTGAAATATTTATAAACTCAAATTATTACTGCTTGTATAAGTTACCATCAACCCACCTTCCCCTTCTTCTCTTATTTGTTGACACTGAAATTTGCATAGGAAGCAGAGTGTCAGTAGAAACATAGCATAAAATAACAGATGCAAAGCCAAAAGTAAACCATCATTACTTTTCGTTGTTTCTTACCAGAAGTTCTTGCTGCTTGTCAGTAGATGATCGTCCAATCAACTTGTAAAGCTCCACAATGTCTCCCAGCATCCCGTCCCCCAAGACTGGCAGTTGCATGGCAACAGAAGCCAGACAATGACACATGAGTATTCTGGCAGAATCCTGCGCGCTGTGAAGCTGTGTTAGGAGAGACTCCACCACTGACTGGCTGAGATATGGTCGGCTCTTTGCCAGCTTAACCATGCAGGATAAAGCAATCTGAATAAACAAATACAACACATTAAGTACTTCCAACAGCTCTATTTTTCATATTTGATCAATTCTGAAGACTTCTCTGGCAACATGCCTAAAGTGGAACTGTCATTTCACTAAAAATTATACTATTGAATAAACATTGAAAATCACTTTTAACTTATGTGAACAGATTTCTTTTTAAAGCAAAACCTAATTCTCAACCGCTACATCTCATTGAAGTGGTCAGGGTGAAGGGCCTGTTCTGTTAACATTGCAACGTAAAACATTGCAGTTTCAGAGACAGTTCCAGACAGTCACGAGAAGTGTTTCTTGCATTCTCAAGGAGATTTGCTCCTGGAAATGACGTTGGAAGTCCTTGCTCTTTGCATGAAGGCATCCAGAGTCTTCAAAATCCCCATAGGAAAGCAGTGATTTAATGTTTTCCTATGAGGAAGCTCTAATGTGCGAGCAGCATGCTGTGCATGTCATTATATGCATGACACTATAGTAGTCCTTCCAAGTATGTATCAATCGATATCACATTCAGTTCTGGCATGGCCAGGGCACACATTGCATTGGAGGAGAAAGGAATACATTGGGAGAGATTTTTCGAAGAGGCTCTGTTCTAAAAGTTGTGCAATCACTATGGAAACTATTGGAACAATAAGACACATTCCATTGAGGATTCATCCACTTTTATGTTTTTGCACCAATATTTCTATTCCTTCTCCTCTCATTGCTGGTTTGGGTGTCTATAGTGTCCAGGTATCAGACAGGGCAGAGCTTATAACACATAGCCAAGATTAGGGTGATGAGTTCCAAGATAGCATTATATATAGTGGTGTGGATTTCTTAATTTGAAGGGAACTCTAATCACTTAATCACTACACCTAATAGTCTCAGACAATAAATAAAATACACAAAAATTGATACAGCTAATGCTCAAGTATGATGCTTTAGGATATCAGTGCAGACTGGAGAACTAAGGGCACCTGACAGAGCCAAAAAGGTGTGAAACTGTTCATGAACGGTTTAAAAACCTACCATGGTAAGGAGAGTGGAAATGCCTGGCACCATGCCCACTACAGGCCACATACAAGCTCTAAACCACTATTTTTAAGACATTGTGTCTATTCACCTCCTTCATCAGGCATGCTATACATTTTTATACTTTCTCAAGTAAGATTGATGTGCTTTCCCCCTGTCTCCATCCTCAGCTGTGTTTCTACCCCACCTTCCTCTATCCTTAGCCGTGTTTCTACCCCACCTTCCTCTATCCTTAGCCGTGTTTCTACCCCACCTTCCTCTATCCTTAGCCATGTGTCTATGCCCCTATTTCCTCCATCCTCAGCTATGTGTCTATTCCTCCATCCTCAGCTATGTGTCTATTCCTCCATCTTCAGCTATGGGTCTATTCCTCCATCTTCAGCTATGGGTCTATTCCTCCATCTTCAGCTATGGGTCTATTCCTCCATCTTCAGCTATGGGTCTATTCCTCCATCTTCAGCTATGGGTCTATTCCTCCCACCTCCATCTTCAGCTATGGGTCTATTCCTCCCACCTCCATCCCCAGCTATGGGTCTATTCCTCCCACCTCCATCCTCAGCTATGGGTCTATTCCTCCCACCTCCATCCTCAGCTATGGGTCTATTCCTCCCACCTCCAGCCTCAGCTATGGGTCTATTCCTCCCACCTCCATCTTGAGCTATGGGTCTATTCCTCCATCTTCAGCTATGGGTCTATTCCTCCATCTTCAGCTATGGGTCTATTCCTCCCACCTCCATCCTCAGCTATGGGTCTATTCCTCCCACCTCCATCCTCAGCTATGGGTCTTTTCCTCCCACCTCCATCCTCAGCTATGGGTCTTTTCCTCCCACCTCCATCCTTAGCTATGGGTCTATTCCTCCCACCTCCATCCTCAGCTATGGGTCTATTCCTCCCACCTCCATCCTCAGCTATGGGTCTATTCCTCCATCTTCAGCTATGGGTCTATTCCTCCCACGGCCATCTTCAGCTATGGGTCTATTCCTCCCACGTCCATCCTCAGCTATGGGTCTATTCCTCCATCTTCAGCTATGGGTCTATTCCTCCATCTTCAGCTATGGGTCTATTCCTCCACCCTCAATCCTCAGCTATGAGTCTATTCCTCCCGCTTCCATCCTCTGCCATGCTGTCTGTTTACCCTATCCCCATCAGCCATGCTGTCTATTCCCTATGACACCCTGTAATCCCATTTTCCTCATCATCCATGTTGCCCCTCCCCACACTAACTGTAGCAAGCTGTCAAAAATCCTGGTTACCAAGGGGAGGTTTCAAGGACTGGGGAATTAAAACTGCTCCCACTGCCTTCTGCCACCTTATCAACATTGCCTTCCATCCCCTAGCTTTAAAACCCCCACCAGAATGAAGCTTATAGGGTACCTTGCAGAAGACTTAAAAGGTAACAGTTTAAACCCAATGCATGTTTACACTACTCTGGCCTCTCCTACCTAAAACCTAAAATAGGACATCCTTATTTCTATAATTGTTTTAACTGATTGTGCTCTTTTTAGTAGGGAACCTTACACACAAACCTTTAATGTTAACTGAGCTCCTGCACTATTATCTTGGCTGCAAAGGACAAGGAGTGATTCAAGCCCAAACACTGCATCTTTTTCCAGACCCAAATTATCTGAATAAAAGAAAATGCAAAATTAGAGTCAGCATTTTGCAAAACAAAACAATAAAACACAACAAATGGTTCAATAGTTAGTTGGTTAAATTAGCACGATTAATAAACTTCAACACCATTAAACATATATGACAAGAAAATATTGCACTAAATCCATCAATGCAAATTTGGAGCATATTAAAGATACAAGTAACGGGGAGCAAAGAACAGACAACATTCCATTGTTGGTTATGGAGTTGATCAGAAGTCTACACCACATCGTCTATGCACAATGTGGTGTTTTAAAGGGAACCAAAAGTCCATACTCTAAGTTCCCTTCAATCACTGTGACCACTGTTCAGGTTCAGTTAATAAAAGATTACTGACATCATTATCAGAGCGGAGACTCCTCAGTAGACATTACAACACTGGTCGATGTCTTCCGCAATCTCATCTAAACAAATGCTTCTTAGAGAGAAGCACTGGTTGACGAGATGCAAATGCGTAGCCAAACAGTGTACTCCTCCAATCAAATGCAATTAAGCCGCATTTGAATGCAGGACCGAGCTTGACGCAGCTCCCAAGGCTGAAATGCCTCTAGCGGCTATGAAAAGGATGGCCACTAGAGGTGTATTTAACCCTTCAATGTAAACATTGCTATTTCTCCAAAACAGCAATTTATTTATACACTGAAGGGTTATTATGGCAGGACCACTGCACCCAGACCACTTCATTAACATGAAGTGGTCTGGGTGATTTTAATGGTGCTTTAATGTGACACTCAAGGCAGAATCTACCCCCATAGTGCATTAAAAATGTAAAAATATTAAAAGTAATACAAATAAAACAATCACATGAGGTGTGATATAAATCTACATGCTCTGCAGCATCTGAAGTAAGCTCGGATTAAGCAGGAATTTACTACGTATGAATTAACACGGCTGATCTTATTAACAGTGATTTATTGGCACAGCAAAAGTCATGACATGTATGGCAGTGTTTTTAGAGCAGAATTGGAAATGTTGAATGTTCGGAAGAAGGGGAAGAAAAGGTGGGATTACGGAGCAAATATCATTATTGTTAAACTGGAGTTAGTTATTTAAAAAAACATGCTGTGCTGCAGCTGCATTAAACCTAGATGCAGGGAGATCTGAGTAATACTGGTATTAAATCAATGAAACATTAAAAATAATTTAAGTTTAGGAAAGGAAGGAAAAAAAAAAACATAATTCATATTATACATTCATTGCAAACTCACCTTTATCCTGGCAGGAAGACACAATATTTGTCAGAACAGTCACACCATGAGCTGCAATACCCCGGTTACTATGGTAACTGCACTCCTGTGCAAGTTTAATTAAATCTGAATACCTTGCAGGGCTGGGTTTGGTGCCTAGAATAAGAAGGAAAATAAAATAAATGTTATCCTGGTAGAAAAAGGTCAATCCCTATAAAATAGGAAATTTAAAAATGCTGGGTTTTAACGTACATCATGAAAAGATGAAAAATACATCAGTGAACTACATAGGGCAATTTTTAATAAATCATTGATCAGTATTAGTCAAAAGATGTACACGTGTTAGACACATGCAGGAGCAGTGAGGAAACATTGTTACGACATTGGGTAACACAACTCAGAGATTTGTAAGAAGCCATATAGAGTTAGTAAGCCTTGTTCCAACACACAGCTGGGTGGTGACACAATAGTCAGACATCTTACAATCAATAATAAACATGGTAATATTAAAATAGCACAGCGAGCAGATGTGATTTGGTTTGTATAGTGCCTACCAGTGGAAATATTTTTGAACCGATGGCTAAATGTGTGGATCACTATTGCAAAACTAGTGTGGATACTTTACCTTTCTGCCTGAAAGATACCCAGGATTTCATTAACAAGATTAAACAAATCTTTTTCACATGACTCCATTATTATACTGCGGATATTAAGTACTTGTCACCGTGATTCCACATATGGAGGGGATACAGGGACCATGGATGATGCAATCACAATCAATTAATTTCTTCTAGAATTCATGGAGCTACTACTCATATCCAATTACTTCAAATTTTATAAACTATTTTATTTTCAAATTGCCGGGACCACTATGGGTGCATGCCCATAGCACCCTCCTATGCCAATTGCTTTATGCATTTGTGGGGGGATTATAGGTAAATTCAAGGATAAATTGATTTCTTACAATAGGTATGTGGATGACATTTTAATGGGTTGGAGGGGCACTAAAACAGAATTTACACAGATGATTGAGCATACCAACCAGTTGGATTCTCTAATCAAGCCAACATTATCTTAATGACTTACAAAGATTTTGCTTTCTGGATGTTGAAGTATGCAAATTCCATGACCATCTAGGATATATTTTATGTACGAAAACCTCTGACAGGGATACACTACTTCATTACAATAGTTTTTGCACTCAAGAAATCCCTACCAATCTCACAGTTTCTTAGAGTAATTAGAAACAACGATGATCAAGTTAATAATACTCGACAGTTGGAAGAGATGAGATTGAAATTTGCTGCCGGGGGTTACCACAAGGATGTGGTAGCACAGGCTTTTTCTCACGCTTGGGATATTTTTGTTTCCAATAAAAGTGCTCCTAAACCACATATACCCACACAATCTGGATCCATTAAAAATACATGGGACCTGTCGTCTACCGATTTGAATTTATCCACTGTGATTTTCACACCCCTTCTTACTGCTTATAAAAGGGGTGAGAACATCAGATATTTTAGACAAAACAGAACTGATGCCACCTAAGATCGATTCACATAATAAAGGAATTTATAGGTGTGTGACATGTAGTCCCATGTCATCTGGAAAAACGCTAACTCACCCTACTCTGGCAGAATGTTTGACATTAAGCACTTGTACTACTGTTTTCACAAGACCCATCTTTCTCATATGATAGCTTTGGTATTTGAGGGACTCATCTTCTCTGCTTGAGTGCAGTGCCTAGCTCATTTGCAAGGAAATCACAATATAGTTACTCACATCTGAAGTCAAAATAGTATGGGAAGGGGCGAAGTAGTTATGGTGCTTGGAGTGTTCCTTTAAGCAAGTAGAAGGATACTAATACAGGCTAAAGCCGAGGTGGCCAAAAAGTCGGTTCCTTGCTGCTGTAGAACTACACCCATAAATGCTTTGCAATGAGCATCACAGGAGCTGCAGCTCTAAAATAGTTGTGGGATACCCTTTTGGTCACCCCTGTTCAACAATAAGGATGTGGAATTCTCTGCCTGAAGAAGTGGTTTTATCAGAGTCCATACAGATGTTCAAACAGCTACTAGATGCAAACTTGCAAAAACAGAATATTCAAGGATATAATCTTTCAATGTAGGGTAATACCTTCTTGATCCAAGGATAAATCTGACTGCCATTCTGGGGTCAAGAAGGAATTTTTTTCCTAGCTTGTTCCAAAATTGGAAGCGCTTCAAACTGGGTTTTTTGCCTTCTTTTGGATCAACAGCAAAAAACAAATGTGAGGTAGGCTGAACTTGATGGACGCAAGTCTCTTTTCAGCTATGTAACTATGTAACTATGTAACTTAAAAAGCAAAGAATTATGGGAGTGCTAACTATACGTTTTAATTGCTCAACAATTGAAAACATTTTTTTTTTAATGTAGGCTATAAAAAACGAAGTGATTACAACAAATGCAAGTCCTTGAGAAGCGTTCACATTTCCGCATACATTAAGAAACGTATATATTATGGCTTCAGTGAATGCAGCCATTTATTAAATCTGGTGTTCATGTTACAGACTTACCTGGAACAGCATTGAAGAACTGTTTGATGGCTATGCTCCCTGACAGAGTGGAGAGAACCGTAAGCATACCAAGCTTCAGACTGTCATACGGTGTTTGAAGTGCACATTCGCAGAGAGCCTGCAAAAGAAAATACAAACTTAGAATATAAATCACGCACACCGCTAGACTTTTATGATGATATTAATCAAGGGATGAAAAAATACAGCTGAAAGAGACAAATGACCAACACTCTAACATTTTTAAATAACAAAAATAATATCCAATGAGACACACTAGAATAATAGAGGAATGTAAACATATCATTCCTGGTTACATTATTTAATTTTGCAATAAGGCAACACACGTACGTACTTACATACCTGAATATTTTCTCTGCTCCATGTGTGGGGGGTTTTGTTGGCCAATAACTTCAGGTCCTGAATAGCGAGTCTTTTCACTGCTCTTCTGGGGTCATTTTTTAAATATTGCAACAACAGTTGAATCTGCAAAGAAATTGAGCCTACAGTTTGGAAGGAGTTATATAAAAACAAACAACCCCCCAAACTTCAAGAGCACCAGTTAAGGATAAAACAACTTACCTTAAAGCGCCCCCTCAAAATATTGAATACATCATAAATCATTATAAATGTTGTATTTAATGTAAATCATTGATATCTTAACATCCATGCCAGCGCCATCTTCTGAGCTTTGGGTGTTACTGACGTCTGTGATTTGCTCTGCACCCCACGAGTTGTCCAGTCAATTTCCTTTCTATATGATATATGTCTGTTATGCACTGGTCCTGCCTATATCATTTTCCAACCAAGGGATACCTGTTCTAGACTAGCACCAGGTCAATCTGCAGGCTCCTTGGGCACAGAAACCCCTTCATAGGATGCCATTGTTGACTAGCAACGTAAACAAGCTCTATCAGGTGGGACACAAAATTTGACTTCTAATAATCTTGGTCTGGTTTCCCATAAACTGTCTTCTAGCTACATAAGTGTTTAGAATTACGGTCCCTAATGATTCTTGGAAGCTGCAGCATTAAAATCTATTTCAATTCATGGTCGCCAGGCACCGTATTTACATGAATCAACTTTCATTAATGCCACAAGCTTTGAGTGTGAAAGGATAAAATCAATTTTCCTAATCCACAGTGTCTATGTGAAAGCTGGTAAGTGGACTCCTGTCTCTAGGGTAACCAATTAAGCCATGCTTGTAAAAGCTTACAGATACTTTTATAACTGATTGACATTTGTGATTTTTCCTTTGGGCTCCTTTCTCTATCTTGTCCTGGTCTGCAAGGAGGCTGTGTATTTATGAATGAAATTGAAAGATGTTTTGTATCATTAATATTACATTCACTAATGTAAGCTGAGTTGATTTCATGAATAAGGAAAGTGGAAAGCTATGTATGATTCAAGGTCGGAGTGAAATATTCAATTTTCTTTTCCCTTTTAGCGAACCAAGTCCCAAAAGGATGTGGTTGCGGTATTTGTGTGTAAAATAGAACAAACATTTACATATATTTTCTCACTGGACTGTTAAAAACTCCTATTAAATTATTAGGCACCCCATGATGCATTGCTCTTGTCTGAAACATTTGCAAACACACCCCTTCTAGCCCCACCCAGACTTTCTGTGGCTGTCCAATCACAGACTTCCCAATGCAGCTCAATGAGAAGTCTTTGCAATGAAGGTGTTCTGGGTAATTGCCTGCCTCTTGCGTTTAGCTCTACTAAGCGAAACAACCAGGAAGTAACAGGACTGATTGCCTGATAGCCAGAGGGGTGTAACAAATTAAATTTATAAAAGTGCCAAATTCTATTGAAAACAAACACTCTTCACATATAAAACATTTCAGAAAAAGCTAAAGTGCTTCAGGGGTCTGGAGGATCCCTTCAAGTTAAATGTATTTATTTTATTGCATTGGGCCAAAATATGGTGGAAAATGTATTTTTTTAAGTGATATTGTTAAAGGGGACCAGTCATGCCCAAAACCACCCATGCTCTTTTGAAATAGCATGGAAATTTAATCTATATATCGTGCTAGCAGTTTTACTAACAAATGTACAGAGTAAGAGAAAAAACTATTTAAACGTAGGTCTTTCTCCCACTTCTCAATCAAAGAATGGAGCAAGTGGTAGACTGTAACTGTAATGGCATCTTTGCGATGAATGACATCCATAGGAGGATATGTGGTTAAATTAATCATATTTTGTCTCTATTCTCCATTGGTTTTAATTTTTTGGAATTCACATTTTTTGTGTTATAGGTTTTGTATGGGGAGTTTGATCTATGACAATGGGCAAAGTTTAAGTTCCCATTCAGTTGCTAAACTAATTTACAGATGATCAATTAAAAGAATACCACAGAAGGGCACATAGACATCTTGGAGAGCATATGAACAAAATGATGGAATCTGTATATTGAGACCTGAAAAAAAAACAAACAAAAAAAAAAAAAAACACGCAGCAAAGGGGAGAGATAAGAAAGGAAATTGGGGTAAAAAACAAACCAACGCCAAAACAACCTTAACAGGGGTGACAGTGTCATGACAGGTTCACATTACATGGGATTATTGCAGGGTCGGACTGGGAAAAATAATTCGGCCCGGCATTTTTTTAATCACAGCCGCCACTGAGGAGGGAGCAGGGCCGGAGGGGGTGTGTTTTGTCATCACCAATGGCAAACATGCCCCCTCTCAAAGTTAGCATGTTGGTTCAATGCTCTTGCAGGGTAGACCATGCACAGAGCTCTGCTGAAGAGCTCTAGCATGAGAAAAAGGCCCTGTATTTGTTCTGCGCAGCGCATGCATTTTTATTAACATGCTTGTGCTGTGTTTGCTTGTAACTTGTCTCTGGTGTCTCCATAAGTGGGATACCAGGAGACAAAAAGGGCCAGGAAACAATATTGTGCATGTGTTTGGAGCCTGCTTGTGGGATTGCCTGTGTGTAGCGAGAGCGGATTGTGGTGTGATGTTGCGTAAATAGGTCGGTTTCAGTTGTGTGGTGTTTGTAGGGTAATGTGTGGCTAGGGGTTGTAAAGAGTGAGAGAGTGCGTATAGGGAGCAAATGTAGTATGTGTTTGCTTACAAGGAATCTAGTGTGTGCATAGGGGATCCAGAGTTTGTATGTCAGGAATATAGTGTGTGTGTGTGTGTGAAGGTGATCTATTGTGTGTTTGAAGTGCCCAGAGTGTGAATAGGAGATCTAGTGTGTGTTTGTGTGCATAGAGGATTCAGAATATATATAGGGATTTAGTGTGTGTAGATGATCCAGAGTTGTGTAAGGGATCTAGTGTGTGTCTGGAATGTAATGTGTGTATGAGGGGTGCTGTGTGTGTTTGCGCGCGAGTGGTGCAGTGTGCAAGAGTGCGCTTTGTGTGTGTGAGAGGTGTGCTGCGTGTGTGTGAGAGGGGGGAGGGAATCTGTGTTAGGGTGCTGTGTGTGTGGTGGGGGGAAGGATATATTAATGTAACTATATACCTGTATTTTTTATTTATTTATTTTTAAATTTAAAAAAGCACTTTATCCATGCAGCCATTCCTGGTGGTCCTAGTGTTGAGAGTGAATTCTAGCCTGCAGGGCTAGAATTCACTCTCGCGAGATCAGAGCATTGCCATGGTAACCGCAGCAACGCTCCGACCTCGCGAGAGGAACCCGGCAGAGCTGCAAACCAGATCTCCCTGGGTCCTCCTCTCCCTCCGCAGCTGGCGGTCGCTTGTCAGTGCCTGTGAGGGAGATCTTTGATCTCCCCACCGGACCATGAAGGCACACAGCAGGGAAGGTGCTCGGATAGTGCTTGTAACGGCACCCCGGACATAAAAGGGGTTAAACGCCGTTTAGAGGATATTCCCCTTACAGATACACAGGCAGCTACCAAAGACACCAATCTGCCGAACAGGAAACCATATGAATGCCGTTAACAGCTGAACCGGAACCATACGAATGCTGTAAACAGCCGAATAGGAAAAACCATACGAATAGGTTTACACTCCTAGCAATCAAACTGGAACAGCATACAATAAATCCCCCCCAAGAACGAGACAAGGCTCCGTTTTGAGGGTCAAGCAGGAACAGACCAGAGCTGTGGGTTTATTGTTCTTATATACACATTCTTACACATTAGTACCACCCACAGGGTTTTGTAAAACAACCAATAAACATGTACAATACACTCAGACACTCCCACACAAAATCCTCCCCTCTGCCTGTGATACAATTGCCTTACACAATGGGTTAATGTAATTATCACAGGCAGAGAAATACAGTTTTTCCACGTTATTCCTAACTTGAAAAGTATGCATCACATTCAGATAAAACTTAAATTTTCAGAATCAGCATACTCCAATACAAACATACGTCAAAATCATACAAATTAGTCCAGTGGTTCAAAAGATAGATCGTAGTCCTTTGTGACCAAATGAAGCATTGCTTTTCTGCCCCAAACCAGTTCCACAGAGTCTTCTATCCTGGAGATAATTGGGAAGTAATCCAATTATCTCCAAGGACAGAGGCAAAACTCCATTGAACACATGGCAGCAAAAGACAATAAAATACATAAAAATATATAACTGTGCAGCTATTGCATAAAACAGGTACATACATATCCCCAGATAGCTTAGATCTGAGCGCATATTATTACTGAATGGCGCTCAGATCACATACATATAGATCAATTGCCATGGAGCCAAAGTATTTCACAGTCTTTCGTTATACAAATGGGCTCCATGGCATAGCTATCTGGGGTATCACTGTTCAAATAGGGGAAAATCAAGCGTTTCAACATGGGGCCATAGTCTAAAGGCAGCAGGCGGGCAACCAGGCTCCTCCAATGCACAGTGGCGAGATTGGTCTCGACACAGTGCTGGTTCTGCATGGTCCGACAGGGGAGATCTTTTAATCTCCCCTGTTGGCCTGGCCCATGGCCATCGCGTCCCACCGGGCATTTGCCCAGTATGCCCGATTGCCAGTCCAGGCCTGGATTAATGTGATAATAAAATATATGAGAGCACCACAAGAAAGTTGGCAATGGAAATTTATTATGGGTGCAGTTTGGAGAAATTGCTAAATATTTCACATCAGATGACAACAAAAGCCACCAAAAGTAGCGAGAAGTAGAGCATGTCTTGATTACTTAAAGGCAATTGGGTACCTTGGGGCACTGAAGAATCGTAAGCAGAAACACACTGTTGTTTCCAGAGTCAGAAAATTTGCTAGTGGGGCAATTGAGGGAGCTTTGTCTTATGGTCTGCAAATGTACTCAGAAACCAGATCTACATTTGATAGTGAACTAAAGAGTTGTTCTACTTTTAAAGTACATTATAAATTTTGCCAATTTTAAATTTGAGACTGGAGCAGGGGCCCAATACACTATATACGGTCAAGTGCTAAAAATACTATGGATTTTATAAGACTGTAGTCTGCCTTCACTTAATTGTGATCTGTGCTTCATTGTTCACGACCTGAGAGGTTTTTCCACGAAACCTCCATCAGAATGACCTGCACATCATCATGGAGCACTGAGAGATCTGAGCAAGCCTAAATAGCAGACTGTTTCCCAAAACTCCATTGCCACCAATTACAACCAGAATGTCGTGAATGTCACAAGCACTCTCTCATCTTACCCTACAGTCACCCATAAACACCAGTCCAGACCTGCGGAACAATGAGCTTATGGTCAAACAGCCCAAGCACAAACTGATACAATGCTGAGCTAACTTGCATAATTCCAGCCTGTTGCCTCACTTCTGCACACTCTGACAGTAGACCTTTGACAAACGTACTCCTCTTCTAACCCATAGAAGCATGGCAAGAGAATAAGAGGACTTGGCAGTCCTCCCACATCATATGGTACAATTATATTAGTATGCATCACATCAAACTACTCCCAGAAAGTTCAAAACACAAACACTTGTTTCCCCTCTTTTTCTTTGTGGTTTAAGATTTACAGGTCAAAAAAAGTTCTTATTACCTGTTTTGGAATATCTACCAAGGAAGATGCAGCCAGCAGTGTAAAGGTGTGCAGCGTTACAATAACCATCTTCGTAGAAGGATAGGAGGTTACCAACTGCTGCAGAAGTTGACGACTGTTGGATGCCAAAATGGCATCATGGTGCATGTGCTGGAGAATTGGAATTAGCTTCAACTTCAAGTCTACAGGGGTGGCCAAGCCTACACATGACAATAAGAGAGAACAGCAATAATCACTTGAAATGAAGTATGTGTTAAACAGCAGGACCGTAAGACAGCTAGACATATCCAGGTTTCTTTATGGTCTGTACTCTGCCTGGACAATCTTGTGGTTTGAATAATTACAAGATTGTAATCAATAATTACAAGATTTTCCATAATCTATGGAACCAAGCAATGCTGTGGAAAAAACAACCATACTGACAATCATTTTTCAAACACTACAACCACCTGGATTATTTAACATCATGAAACACTATCTTACTTTCAGTTTTGATCCATTAAGTTTTCTTTTACCTCTAACAGAGCTCAGCCTCAATAATGTCATTTGGATTTCAATTTACTACAGTCTGAAGTTTAGTGAAATTTTTTTTTTTTTTTTTAAACCAAATCACAATTGTGCATGAAAGCATTCATGTGACACTTTTCAATTTATTATATTTTTGTTTCAGGCTACGGCCGATGGTCAACTTATGAGGCTCTTAAAAGGCCATATATTTCAAGCTCTTTACTACTTGCCAGACCAGGAAGGAGCCCTCCAGACACCATAACAACCTAATAGAAATTACGTTTCTATGGTGTCAGGAACTCATGAAAAGTTTAACCCCAAAATCTCCTCGCCCGAGCCATTTCGCTCTGCCCCATCCAACATCCACTTTCTGAAAATCTTTAAAAAAAACAAACTGAAACCTTGTACTGCTGTGTGCAGGGGGGCGCAAACTGGCTTTAAAATGGCTCAGTAGCTCTTTATTCATAAAATGACTTTAAAAAAATAAAAAATGTATGTGCAAGGGATGGGGGCACTATAGCTTCCCTTTATTATGATATTTGACTCCTTAACATGGCATTGAGGAGGTCACATAATGATTTCAACATTTCAGAGCTGTTATTAACTAGGTAGCAGTGATTCAAATACTAAGAATGTGGATCTCCAAATAAAAGTCACATCTAGCTGGCAACTATAAATATAGGTTACATGAAAAACAAACACCAACACAACATAAAACCACAAATACATACCTTGGATCATTTCACCAATTTTGTTACAGATTCCTGTAGCAAAGTCCCTGGTAAGAATATAAAGCAAGCAAAGGGAGACACAAATATTCGAAGTGTTAAACATTCTTAAAGCACACTGTATCCACAGATATTCATCCTAACATGTAAACAATTCATCTTTACTTTAATCGCAAACAAAGGCAAATCATGGCAATCACAAATGGAATTAAAAAATAGCCATATCATAGCAGACATTTAGCACAATGGAATATATTAAGCATTATTTTAATAGTCCAATGCGAATTTACATTAACAAACATTTTCATATTTTATAGCAAAAAAAAAAAAAAGTATTCACTAAAAAGCATGATCATAGTCATTACAAATGTGTAGCCAGTGAAATGCCAATACACATAAATATGCTCAAGCTCACTCACATTCCAAAATACTTACTTTGACTGTGCCGAGAAGTGAGCAGCAGCAAAAATAGCGGCCTCAACCTCCACATTGTCATGGGAATCTAAACTCTGCCGTATACTGTGATGTGCATTTTTACGATCCGGTATTATGGAGGCCATGCTGCCTAGCATTCTGCAAAACAGTAGAGGATACAGGTAAAGCAAAAGAAGAGAAACACACTACAGGAGAGCACACTACAGGAGGAAACTGCAAATTGTTACAAGCAGTACAATACAGTAGCAAGATACAAGGTAGGCATTTATATTTCGGTTCCAACATAAAAATAGGATTTAGAATATTCCAACTCCGATTGCTACAATAGATGAACATTAATGTTTATCTCGCAATTTGTTGGTGAAAAGTATTTATGAGTTTATATAAAGTTATTACCTCAGTGTAATTGCTCTGGCAACAGGGTCGTTGCTGTGAATGACAGAGAAGATCCTTTTCACGAACTCATCCACATTTAGGATTTTTTCCAAGTGTTTCTCACTCTGTTGGGTGACTTTCAGCACACAGAGACGAAGAAAATTGTTCCTGAAAGATAAATTAGAATACTCACAAAGTGCACAATATTACAAGCATCTGTGACATAAAATTTGCAGACAAATATATTTTGTGAAAGAACTAAATGGGAATTCATTGTCTGATATTCGAAGAAAAAAAAAAAAAAGAACAATTGCAGCACTCAATTTTTTTTTTCTCCTTATTGGAATTTTAAATATAAAACACAAGACAAAAACCATACATTAACACAATTATCTACCATAAATATAAAATCGGTCACATAATGCTTAATAATATTTTGTTTAGTTATTGTTAACAAAAGACTGAGCATTTGGTCAATCTATATTTACGATTATAATAGTACATGTAGACAGAACATAAGACTGAAACCAAATTATAAAACATAACACTAGACATAAATAGACATATCTACAATACAAATATCGTGCTCTCGTTCGAGGGGATCAGTGAGTAGCGGAGGAAGGGGGGGAGGTTTGTGCCTTTTTACTAGACTTCATTTAGATTTATAAGATATTTAATTTTAGCATATTGATTTTTCTTATTGATTCGTCCCAAAAAACAGTATATCTAAGTGTTTTATTATTAAGAGTCGGAATATGTTTTTCCATATTTAGTTGATAACATAATTGATGTTTAATTAAGCACCAGTCAGGTTTTGATGGATGGGCTTTTCCAATTTCTAGCTTTAATTAATTTGGCTGCAGTCAACATGTGGAGTAACAAGATCAAATCTTTTTTTCTCATACTAGGTATATTAATATGTAGAAGCATGAGATCTGGTCCAAGAGCTATCGTAGTATTTAATATTTTATTTATCTTTCTTCCAACATCCTGCCATAGTTCTTTAATGATCGAACACTCCCACCATATATGTAAATAATCTGCTTCTTTTACCCCGCATCTCCAACATTCAGAGGAGTGGTTAGGAAATATTCTACTGATCTATTTAGGAACCAAGTGCCATCTGTTTAAAATCTTATAATGTAACTCATTTAAATTCAGACAGTGAAGATTTTTATTTAAAAACAGGATTGATCTACACCACTCTTTATGGGAGATTTGAAGACCCAAGTCATTACTCCATTTCGCTGCAACACTCAACTTTTAAATAAGTGGCTTCATGCCTGAAAAAACAAGGTCAGAAAATACCTACCCAACTCTGAACACATCAGCAAGCTTAAGGAATGCGGAATTGATCAGGATGGGGAATGGATATTTTTGAAATAATCTTGGAAAACGCACAACTGCTTCACACTGCTCACCAAGCTTCCCAGATCTTAATCCTGAGAAAAAGAAGAAAAATTGTAATTTATTTATTGTACATTTGTGGCATATCAATCATGTTATCTGTCATATATCATATAATGTATATGAAATATGAATACCACACAGTTGCACAGAGCACCACACATTCTTACTAGTTAATGCAAAAATCAGTATTATGGTTTAAAGGGACACTATAGTCACCTGAGTAACTTTAGCTTAATGAAGCAGTTGTGGTGTATAGAACATGCCCCTGCAGCCTCACTGCTCAATCCTCTGCCATTTAGGAGTTAAATCCCTTTGTTTATGAACCCTAGTCACACCTCCCTGCATGTGACTTGCACAGCCTTCCATAAACACTTCCTGTAAAGAGAGCCCTATTTAGGCTTTCTTTATTGCAAGTTCTGTTTAATTAAGATTTTCTTATCCCCTGCTATGTTAATAACTTGCTAGACCCTGCAAGAGCCTCCTGTATGTGATTAAAGTTCAATTTAGAGATTGAGATACAATTATTTAAGGTAAATTACATCTGTTTGAAAGTGAAACCAGTTTTTTTTTCATGCAGGCTCTGTCAATCATATCCAGGGGAGGTGTGGCTAGGGCTGCATAAACAGAAACAAAGTGATTTAACTCCTAAATGGCAGTGAATTGAGCAGTGAAATTGCAGGGGAATGATCTATACACTAAAACTGCTTTATTTAGCTAAAGTAATTTAGGTGACTATAGTGTTACTTTAAACAGAGAGATGTATTAGACAAAAAATTATATGAGAAAGCTGCAGGTTGAATTCTAACTTTCCCAATGTACTGAAGGTACAATAGACCTATTATGACGTTATCAGTAACGTGGTTCTAGAAATTGGGTATTTTACATGGATTACGGAGACGTCTCCATGCAATCTACAATTATAATAAAAGGTTTCACATACATTTTGGGGATCTAGATCACTTATTAAGATACATTTAAGTATCTGCATTTGTTTCACAAGCTTTACATTTCTAGTCACACTTTGCAGGGTTGCTCACTAAATTCCAAAATATAGTGAATTTAAATCTGTGATGGAAAACTGAAGGAAGACTATTCTATCTGTGACTAAATCTGAGTGGAAGAGTCTTTGCAGATCAGCTATTTGTTGCTCGGTTTTGCAATTTAGATTTTAAACCTGTAATATTCGGAGTTGGGTTAATAATCATATATGGGGGTTTACTCACTAAGCATCGAATTGTGATCAATTGAAAACTGAAGTGCAAATTTCAGGGGGGAAAAAAAGTTTTTGAAAATTTGCCAATTCTTTTCTAGTCATAACTAGGAATAGATTTATCCTTTATTTTGCAATTTAGTTTCAATTCATTATAATTTGCGGTTTAGTGAACACACCAGTTGTTTCTTCATTGTTTGAGTATGTCAATCACATTTTGTTAGAATTTAGTGTCTGTTTTGTTTACATATTGTGGAATATGTCTGCGCTACATAAATAATTGTAAATGTAAATCCAAAATTGTGAACCTAGTACTTTGACAACCAAATTGCTAAACTGGACTGATTAGGAAAAAATGTCCAACTTAGCTATAGTTGTAATCAGCAAGGAAGGAATCTGCGTACTTCTAATATTTATTTATTACTAGGTTTATAAAGCTCCAACATATTCCGCACCGCTGTACAACATTATTATTGATATAGCGCAAGTTTATTCCGCAGTGCTTTACAATAGGAGAGGAATTTACCAAATGAGACAATAACAAAATGTAACAGGAACAATAGGTAGCTGAGGACCCTGCTCAAACAAGCTAACAGTCTAGAGGAGGTGGGGTATAAAAACACTATTGGAAGGGTATTGAGGGAGACCGCAAATAGACATGGTGGGAAAGTAGCAGAACTGGAGGTGAGAGTGGAGTGTGGCCCATTAGTAGAGAGCAAGAGGAAGGTTTGAGAGATAGAAGTTACTCTTGGAGATCATAAGCATTCCTGAAAAGATGGGTTTTGAGGTACATCTTAGATGATTGAAGACTAGGGGAGAGTCTGACAGGGGTAGGCAGGCTGTTCCAAAGGAAAGGAGCTGCCCGTGAGAAATCTTGCAGGCGTGAATTTGCAGTAAGGGTGCGTGCAGCAGACAGGATAAGGTCACCAGTAGAGTGGAGAGACCGAGAGGGGGCATACTTATGAATCTGTGAAGAAATGTAAGAGGGGCTAGAGTTGGTCAGTTCTTTATAGATAAGGGTTAGTATTTTAAATTGGCATCTGTAGGGTACAGGAAACTAGTGTAAGGATTGACACAGGGGTAAGGTGTGAGAGGAGAGACAGGAAAGAAATATCAGCCTGGCAGCAGCATTCTCCACAGATTGTAGGGGGGCAGTACGGCTTCTGGGGAGACCAATTAGGAGGGAATTACAGTAATCCATGTGAGAGATTACTAGAGCATGAACAAGCTCCTTGGCAGCATCTTGCCTAAGAAAAGGGCGTATGTGGGTGCACAGCTGGACCTGAGGCTGGCAAACCCAATGCATAAAAGTAAAACGCAACGTGACCCAGGCGCTCAGGGTAATAACGAGGTGTTTATTAATCACATTGAGTGCTTGGGTCACATTGCTTGTTATAAGTCGGCTATGGTGAGAGCTGGGCTGTTTCGGTGTGAGTTTTACAGTTCTTTCCCTAGATCATGGGTCCTCGAACGCCGGCCCCCCCAGATGTTGCTGAACTACAACTCAGATGATTCTCTGGCTATCTATGTAATTCAAAGAATCATGGGAGTTGTAATTCAGCAACATCTGGAGCGGAGTTTGAGGACCCATGATCTAGATAAGACATAGGGAGTCCTTTGGCACTCCAGATGTTTTGGACTACACCTCCCATGATGCTTTGCCAGCATTATCGGTGCAAAGGCATTATGGGAGATGTAGTCCAAAACATGTGTAGTGCCGAAGGCTGCCTATCTCTGATCTATCTGGATGTGGCCGCTCAGTATAATAACATCACTGCATGGCCAGCCATCCCCAGCCATTCCCAGCATGCTCTGCGGCTACCTTTGTCCAGCTCCATCAGGGCCGAATTGGCATCCAGTTCCTGCTCCCCATAACCAGCGTCCGCCAAAAAGGACCTAGCCCCTCCGCTGCCAGACGCCATCCTCCCGGTAACCCCCGGTAACCACTGGTTACGATTCAGCCACGCAAAAAAAAAAAAACTACACTTTACGCCGCCATCACGCGCAAACACTGCGCATGCGCGAGCGGCGGGCGCCCTGCTGATGACGTGCGGAAACAGCTGAGAAACCGCTCGCTGATTGGCCGAGCCCAGCCCTGTCGCGCGCTGTCCTTCGTAGCGCGTCGTGGTTGGGTGGAGGGCCCTCGGCCAATCGGGAGCGTCGCTGGGTTTTCGCGGGAGTTTCTGGTGTTGGCGCCCCCCGTGTTTTCGCGCGAGCCCGGGAGATCATTGCTGTGTGTGTCCGGCACCGCCAGCTGTATCGAACCTCCGCCATGCTCTTCCAGTCAGTAGTGAGCAGACCCAGGCTGGGATGGAGACACAGAGGTGAATATCGCGATAACGCGGCGGGTGAATGAATGGGATATTTACTAAAGTGCGATTTATTGGCGAGCTGAGGGGCTATTTACTAAAGGGAATCTCGCATCTATGGCCAGAGGAGCCAAAATCAACGCATAGCTGACTGAGAGTATATATTAACCAATTCTGGCTATTTTATCATTGAATTTAAATTCACAATTATTATTATTTTTATTTTTTTTTGAATGAATGAATAAACTTGTCTGGTTGCAATTACATGTCTGTTCGTCCACCCATTGTAAAGCGCTGCGGAATTTGATGGCGCTCTATAAATAACATAATAATTATAGTAAAAAAATAGCTCACTTCTGGGCCAAGACACGTCCACAAACTGTGGAAGGTGGCAGAAGACTTCGAGGCAGGTAGACCTGTGTGGTGGAGGGCATTCGGGACATATGGACTGACACCCATTGTCTCTGCTACTCTTAACGAACGACGACGACTTCCCACCCGGACTTTACCCGAACGCCTTTAGGGACATAATTCGCACTACTAATCCCAGACTTCACCACGTTGACACTCAGGAGGGATGTAAACAGCTTGACTAACTCCTGGGGGGGCGATGCCCCTACAGTTCTATAGACTTTTAAATATAAACAGTTGACAAACTTCATTGACACCCTCCCCAAAGGACAAGCGCTCACCAGACAACCGACCACATTTGAGGACCTAGGCGCTCGTTGCACCAGAATCACTATAGCCTCATGTAGTAGTTATGGTTCCAGGAGTGACCTGGCTCCTCCAGAGTAATTTATCAGGCCATTTTAGAATGTTTGACAACTTAACTGGTTCCCAAAGGGCATAAGCTGAACATCCTCTGCCAATGGGTGCAGACCTGCTTAGCTAGTGAAGACATCAGGATGTGATACAGGAGCTTGCCAGGTAAGATGTCAAACCATTCTAAAATGGTTTGGCAGATCACACATGGACAGCACCAGGTCATTCCTGGCACCTTAACCACAAAACTAGACTTCAGTGGCTATGGTGCTGGGAGTGTTTATATAAAAACCAAAAATAAGCACACATGTTTATCAGAGTTCGTATACTTGTATTAATAACCATATTTTCCTTAAATTGTAGGCTCCACTGGGTACCCTCTCTATTCTCTCTTGGAAGATTACCAATGTGTCAGACCTGATGAGCATACTTCCTATGGTGAATTGGGCATGCCAGTGCCTCCATTTGGGTGCTCGTTCAGTGCAGGTAAACAGATTTTTTTTACATTTATTTATATTTTTGTTAGCAGGTAAAGGAACATGCCACTACAGCCTTTTGGTGGTTATAGTGCAAGCAGTGCCCTGGCACCCTCCCAGTGTAAGTAATCAAAACTTACCTGAGATCCAGTGGTCACCGCCTCCTCTTCAATTCGATGCAGGGTGTAGCTGATTGCTCAGCTGAAACTCTAAACCAATGAGCTCTGCAGGGCTTAGCTCAACAGAGCTGTCAGAAGTTCTTTGCAGGAGCTTCTGGGCTCCGGAGGAAGTGAACGACTCCTGGCAGACCCACAGTGAATTGTCAAACTGTTTGCAAACGTTTTACTATTGCAATAGACTGCATTAAAGTGGCACTGTCATGCTGAAATTACCTTTCCCCAATCGCTTCCTCTTCTTTCAGTTTCTCAGGATCTGTTCTTCATTTCTTCCTATCTGATCTAGTTTTCTTTAAAACATAAGTCAAAGTAGAGGGACTACTTTGTCTTATGTACATTTCCTACGCTTGACCTGCTCTGACCCACTTCATGTGCATGTCCACTAAACAGTGGGCAGCCTGTGGCTGCTCACTGTTTAAAAAAAGAAAACTACTATCCGGCCCTAAAAAACAATAAGGGCGCAGACTGAGCTCTCCATGGCGGGGGGAAGGCTTATAAAGCCTTGCCACGCCCTGCAATTAGGCTAAGAACACTCTGGTTGGTTTAAGCCAATCAGAGTGCTCTTTGTCATTTTACACAGCATGGGAAAATTCCAAAGAACTTTCCCACACTGTGTAAAATGACAGAGCACTGTGATTGGATGGATTTCAAGCCACCCAATCAGAGTGCTCTGTGTTATTTTACACAGCGTGGGAAAGTTCTTTGGAATTTTCCCTCGCTGTGTAAAATGATACAGAGCACCGTGATTGGCTTAAACCAACCAATCAGTGTTCTTAGCCTAATTGCAGGGCGGGGCAAGGCTTTATAAGAGCGCTCCATGGGTGAAGATAGATTAATTTTTTTAGCGTCTGGGTTTTTTCTTTTTTGTCGGGATTTTTTTTTTTTTTTTTTGCACTCTGGGTTTTTATTTTAAGTTTGGCGGGTATGATGGCTTTTTATTTGGCCTTTTTGGGGGCTGAAAAATGAAGATTTTAGAAAAAAGAAGACATCAAATGGTAAGTTTAATTTTTGTTTACAGGTTATTTTATTCTTCCCCCCCCTCCCCAGTTGTCATTTAGGGCCCCCACCTGTCGCCCATGGGTGGGGACCGGGTGGAGGACAATAGGTGTGTCCCCCCCTAATTGTTTTTTAGGGGGGGTGGTGGTTAGTAGAATCTTTTTATTTATTTTTTATAACAGTGAGCAGCCACTGTTTAATAGACATGCCCCTACTCGCGGTATAGCGAGTAGGGGCAGAATTTACTAATACTAAGTAATCTTTACTTAGTATTACTAAATTTGGCTGAAAGACCAATTTAGGTCTTTCCGCATTTTAGTAGATAACTCCCTGATACCATGGGAATTAGGGAGTTATCTACTAAGCGGCTGCAAGATGCAGCCATAGCACGAATAGGATCGGAGTTTCATTCATTCGAATGAAATTGCGATCCGAACAAAGTCCCGAATTGCATCCTAACACGAATGGAGAAACTGTTAGGTTGCAATTCGGCAGTTTTGTCGGCGTTCTGTCTAAGTGACAGGACGTTCGGCAATACTGACAGGAAGCATCATGGGAACAGGGAGGAAAGCTAAGGATCATGGGAAAATTGCTCTGACCAGCGGAAATGAAGCACACTTTGCTCCTCCGCTGGTCAAGCGGAGGAAACCTCCATAAGGCAAAGAGTCCCTACTTTGTCTTATGATTTTAAAGAAAACTAAAGAAGAGAGGAAGAAAAGAAGAACAGATCCTGAGAGGGGGGGAGAAGAGGAAGAGATTGAGGAAAGGTAAGTTCGGCATGACAGTGCCGCTTTAATGAAATTCTGGTCTGTGCTGCGGCTACATCTTGTGGTATCAGGGTGCTATCTATTAAAAGACTGAAAGACCAAGATTAGTCTTTTAGCCAACTTCACGAATACTAAGTAAAAAATTACTTTGTATTAGTAATTTATCTTCCCCTTATCACTATACTGTGAGTAGGGGCGTGTCTACTAAACTGTGAGCGGCCTGTGACATGATTTCAATCCCCCTTGTGTAAATATGGGGGTCATATTGACCCCTATAGAGTGAGAGGACGACATAGGGGGCTTAGGAAGTGGTAAAGGAACATGCACTGCTTCCTGCTGCTTCTATTTTTACATATTACAAGGAGGGAGCTGTGCGCTGTTAGCTCACTCTTTGTAATAAACTGAACGAACGAACACAGATATTTGGTGTTTGTTTGTTCGTCTGAAATTTCTATTCATTCCTTCGTCTTTCTGACTAATAAATAAATAGATGAAATTCCCGTCCGAATTTCGGACAATAGTAAATGCCCAAGTGTTTAACTGGGCATGCCTGGGAATTTCACAGCGCTATCTAGTGTGGGCAGATGACGTGTCCCACAGATGGTGGTGCCCAGGACCTATGTCCGGGCATAAAATAATCATGAAAAAATAGGTAATATGGGGGCTTTGGGGGGACAATTAGATGTAGTGGAATCAGGAGGGGGTAAAAAATAAATTTAAAAAAACTGGATTCGTCTATGACAGTGCCGCTTTACCACTGAAATAGACTGTAGTGGTCGTGTTGTATAAAGAAGTGTTTCTTTAAGTGCAGTTGCCAGGGTATGCCAGTCTTGCTATAGTAATGACACATTCCTAGTAAAGCGATGTTTCCTTCTCATAAAACAAAGTAGTCTTGTAATACTTGTGTGGTAATCCTTTACTATTTTCAGTATATGGATTGCCTTGTGTAAAATCACTTTGTTTTAAGTTTAGATTGTTTTATTTTACAGCGTCAGATATTCCTCAAGTTCTTGCTGTGGCTAATGAAGAAGGCATTGTTCGGTTGTATGACACTGAATGCCAAGATACCAAGAAACTGGTTGTGAAAGGTGAGCCTTCTTCAACATATTTTCTTATTCAGTTTATTCACTTTTAAAGAAATTGTTGTCCATAACAAGCTCCTTATATAGCTTTTTTTATTATTTTTTTATCGCAAAGTAACTCCATCTATACACTGCACTGTTGAATTATAGTAGATGCATATATGTGAAATTATAAAAAGTTATATAACCCACATCCTGTTCCTGGATTTGCACAGAAGTTGCCACTTTGAAGTTCACCACGTAACCTTGCAACCCCCTTGAACTGTCCCAAATACTGTGTACTCAGATCAGATATAGTGGTGTGTTCACCCACAGAAGATCTGTGCTTTTATGTTCTCTGGCACCTAAATTAATCTCAAAGCCAGTTCTATCATGCATAGCAATCCAGAGTGACACATATATCTTGCATATATTATCTTAATGTAAAGTATTACTGCAGAGAAAGGTGTATTTCCTTATCCTTTTTTGGTAATTTACTTATTTCTAAATCCAGCATGCACAGATTATGGTTCAAATAAAATACAAATATCAGTATGTCACCCAGGTTTATAGCAACGTTACAAATTACTTAGAATACATGTTCAGCTGTATTATTGTTGTTATTATTATAAACACACTAAGTTGCATTTGGCTCAAAGGTGTATAATTTATTTTACTCTTTATTTAGAATGGATGGCCCACACAAATGCGGTTTTTGACATTGCTTGGGTTCCCGGAGAACACAAAATTGTAAGTAACATCTGCTTTTATTTTATCAATATGTTTTAACAAAATGTGTGAGTAAATTCCCGCAGTAGGAAGTTTTGCAGACTTGATGATTGTCTAGTTTTGTTTTATGCACATGTTTACCTAAAGTCAATTTTTTATATCTTTAGCGGCCTCCCTTTGCAACTTTATAATGTTACATGTAAGTCTAGTTTTCTCTTTATTTCCAAAGCACAGATAACGGATTTAAACTTTTAAGGTAAAAATAGCTTTTCTAAATGTGTATCCCCCACACCACCACAACCTCAACCTGTTTTCTGAGTTTGTGATGCATCTCTTTTCAGGTTACAGCTTCAGGGGATCAGACCGCTAAGCTTTGGGATGTGAAAGCTAGTGAGGTCATCGGAGTGTGCAGAGGACATCAATGTAGCCTGAAATCTGTTGCTTTCTCGAAGTTTGAAACAGGTATCCGTAATTTTATTGCATATTCATGAGCACCACTGACTGTATTTGGTTAATTCCTTGTTCATATTTATTTTTCTTAATAATTAAAATGCTTTGAAATCATCAACATAACATCACTTTGCTATTTCCCCATTCATTGAATGCTCATAGAGTACAGATCTATATCATATAAGTTGTATTTTTTTTTAAATTTGTTGTAAACAATTATGTCTTGGAAATGTCTTTAAAGAGCTACTAGAACATCTTTTTTCTCTCCCTCCATGTATTTGATATGTTATCCCGCCCTCTTCCCTAAAATGAGTAAATAAGATCTAGTTAAGATCTCTCCTTTTTGAATTGTTTTGGTATTTAATCAAGCTTCTTGTACAGTATTAACAGGGAGTGACTATATTTCTCACTCTGTTACAGAGACACTCTAAGCACCTAACCCAATACATCTTAATGCATTGGTTTTGGTGCAAAGACTTTTCCTTTCAGTCTGACTAATGTAAATTTTGCCATTCCTGTGAGAGAGCACACACCCCTATTGACTGTCTGAGATCACACCTCTAGTGCTGGTCAGAGAGAGAGAGACATTCTAAAACACCTCTAGTGGCTGTCATTAACACCTTCAAATAGGTGTTTGCTTGCAGCATTGTCACCTCCAGCATGAATATCATGAACACTGCTAATTCTTCTCATAGAGAAGCATTGGGATTATAAGAAGCTTCTGAATAGTGCAGCAGTGATTGCTGCACATGCGCTATAGCTCCTGATGCTTCTTTGTCATTACTATTGGATTGTGATGGAAATGATCAGTACTATTGATCTCACAGACCAAGTGGCTGCCACGACAAGAGCAAGACGGCACTAAGCACTAAACGGCACTAAAGGTGAGTTTAGTTTTTAAAGAGGGCCCTAAATCTAAAAGTTAAAGTGAACACTCAAACATAACTAGAGTTTGCAGAAAGGGTTGTGGCTTTATATCAAGAAAATATTTTTTCCTATCTGAAACTTCCCTACATAACACAGACTAATTGTTGCAGTGGCCTAGGACATTGATTTTTGCCTGATTACTAAGCATCTTGATTTTCTTGTGTCTTAGTATTTCTATGTGCTACACTGTAAACCCCTTTTTTTCAGTAGAGATAACTGTGTATTTTATTTTCTGTGCAGCTGTGTTCAGCACTGGTGGGAGAGATGGAAACATCATGGTCTGGGATACACGATGCAACAAGAAAGGTAATTTATTCACTCTGGTATTACAGTTCTGATTTTATGAATCATTTTTATACGTCTGCAAACATTTATTGAAACTGTAAAATAGCATTTTGGAACATGTTACAATGTATTTCTGTATGTGTATTGTAGATGGTTTTTATAGACACGTGAACCAAATAGCCGGGGCTCATAATGCTCTGGAAAAGCAAACGCCATCTAAAACATCAAAGAAGAAGAAGCCAGCTATCAGAGGACTCGCTCCGTCTGTGGTAAATAAATGTTTTTGTTTAAATGTTGGAATTATGCAAAATGTACTATATCTAAACCTGGTGAACTTCTGAATAAATATCATCCTCCAATCCTAGTGCCATTCACTTTTTTTAGATTTATTTTTCTCTTTACCACTGTCCCCTCCAGTGTTCTTGTTTGTGTTCAGTATTCAAAGTAAAAGCGTGTGGGCGGACTAGTTTTAGTTTGTTTTTTTTTTTGTTTGTTTATATATAATGAATTTGGTTTAATGTTTAATGATAAACAGAAAGCACTATAAAAAATGTTCTGGAAAAACAATCACCTTTTTTTTTTTTTCCTCTAGGATTTTCAGCAAAGTGTGACTGTAGTAATCTTCCAAGATGAGCAAACAATTATTTCTGCAGGAGCAGTTGATGGGTAAGTTGGACACTGACAACTTCATATGAACCTGTAGAATTATTCCATTTCCCCTTTAGCATATGCCATTTATGACAAAATGATAGATACAATTTAAAGAGAAGAAATCCATCTGTAGGTAAAAAAAAAAAAAGTCAACCCCAGATGGAAAAATAACCTTTTTCTTTCTCAGATTTGGTGTGTTTTATTTCACACTTTAGACAGCCTTTTTTTGTTCGTCAATAAATGTAAACCTCTTGTTACATCCTAGCATTGTGAAAGTGTGGGACTTGAGAAAAAATTACACTGTATACAGACAAGATCCAATACCGTCTAAAATCTTTCCCTATCCTGGAAATAGTACACGAAAACTCGGTATGTATCTGTTTCTTTTACAAACTTTATGTTGGTGTGTATGATAACATGATAACCGAGCACTCAAATTACCATAAACAATACAGGCCACTGCAGTGGTTATGTAGCCAGGAGTGACCTGGTGCTATTTCAGTATAACTGTCAAAATGTTTTGCTTGGTTTAACACTTACCTGGGTTGTGCTGCTTGTCTGCTCTGCTTTTAGTCTTGTGGAACAAGAGAAGCTGGATTCTGATACAGGTGTTCATTGAGTGGCATAGAGCATGAGCCAGTGAAAAGGTTAAATGTATTTTTGTATTGAATAAACAATCGTTTCTCCAGCTTTGAGAATACTGAAAGCAGAGCGTGTGCATTGCAGGATTGAGGCAAGTGTCAAACTGTGCTAAAGCAGTTTGATGGAGTATGCTAGATTGGTGCCAGGATACTCCTGGCTAGTGCAGGCTGTAGTGGTTATGGTTCTTATTGTTCATCTAATATGTGCAATCCTAGTAGTTTAAAGAATAAGAATTTTTTTTAATTCTATTCTATGTACATAACTGCTCACCTTTTTATTTTTTGCATTGAATCAGACACATCTATTAGAGAAACAATGGATGTAGACTATCTTTTTGCATGCTGCATTATATTATTTAATCTAATTGCGCAGGCTGCCCCTGAATGCTATGTGTGTGACAACCACTAGTTAGGTGTGACTTCTCCGAAATAGTACTGTTTTAATTTGCAAGGCTACAGGGGCTGTAGATTAAGTGATTTGAGAGCCAAGACAGTCCCTTTAAATATAGCAAGCTAAATGTCAAATAATTATAAACATTTGACATATGTTTTCAGAAAGTGGCTACTGACCTGGGACAGTGCAAGATGTGGGAGTTGTTTTCTCTCTGTTACCATAAAAGGGATTGGTCATCAAAGCTCTAGTCTAAACTCCAACAAATGGGTTCTATAATTACTGGTTCAACTTGATCTCTGCTCTAATGCTGATCATTATGTTACTGAGAAAGTATATAGCTTTTAGCTGCTGACTGGTGGGTTACCATTATTTCTATTTATATTATGTACAACAAATTTGTGAAGGAAGATAACTTAATAGAAATATTACTAGTCTTAATTTTGAACCCTTTCAATACAATATAAGACAAAAAAATTTAAAACAACCTATGGTGACCCATGCCTCTTAGCCTACATGGGTTGTTGCAAACATTGCTGTGCTTATACAGCTCATCCTCCATTTACCACCATTTCTCACTTTTTAGTAGCATGTTCACTTACCTGGCAATAAATTTTATTTATTTGCTTTGTCAGGATATACCAGCCTTGTATTGGACTCAACTGGAACAAATTTGTTTGCAAATTGCACTGATGACAATATCTACATGTTTAATGCAACAGGACTGAGGTCTGACCCAGGTGAGACACTACTTTTAAAGACTGTATTTTCATGTACTGGCACATTCCCAGAGGATCCTGTTAGGTTACATCACAGATAAACATTCCGTTTCCATCCATGAATTTTATTTCCAATATTTTTTTCTGTGCTTTTTTTTTTTTTTTTTTTTACAGGATTAGTAAAGGGCTCCATGCAAGGGGGGTAATTACATTCCATTCAACCTTGAGTACAATTGGAACCCAATAAACTTGAGTACATGTAAATGTTTAGTATGTCTAAATGTAGTTCGTGACAGAGATAATATGTAATTGAACAATGAAATGTCAATTACCTTTGTCCTGTGGTTAAAAACACCCATCATTAACTCCATGGAGCTAACTGAAAAGTGGAAAGAAATACTCCATTGCTCTCAGATTGGCAGCCTGGGGAGCTGTTTCTGGCATGATTTATAAAAATGGCAATTTCAAATGGAAATCAAAACTCTTATACACTGCAATTTAATTGAGATGCTCCTTACACACAGCACTTAAGCAAGCTGAAGTTTTTGGTGTCCTTGGTAAGGCCACTGACAGCAGGTGTAAGTTTCTTTTGCCTTAAATAATTAGCTGCTGTTAACTTATGTGTTTGGCATACTGGAGTTTATTCACTAAATACCCAATTGCAAAATCTCTCTTTAGAAAAATTCTCCAACTCCGACCTAGTCACAGCTTTGCCATTTTAAATTAAATTGTGTAATTTGGTTTTCAGTTTACTAAAATTCTGGGTTTGGCGAATTGCTGCACAATGCTCCCAAGTCAGAACAAAACATGAGCCAATGCCACCTCTTAGGTCAAACAAGGGCTGTAAGATTTTAGAAAAACAAATGAGATGGGTGTAAAAAGATTTATCTTATCATACTGACATGCACTTGTAGGAAAGAAAAACAAATCTTTTTGTATTTAATAATGCAATATAAAAATCTGCTTGATTTACATTTACTCTTGATTTTTGAAATCTAGTTCACTGTGCACGAACAATCCTAGACAGGAGAGGGCGCCTGACACTGTATTGTATAAATGTAGCTCTAAGTTTTGACACTGTCTTAACATGTAAACTCTCGGAGGTATGATTAGTGAGTTTGGTGTCATGGCTCTGCAGGAATGTGAAGCTGTGAACTCTGCTGAATTGTTTTATGATACAGGAATTCCTTAGCTGGGCAGAGCATGTAAAAATGCGGCTAACTTACTATGTTTTAAGGCTGGGTTTTTCTTCACCACTTCCTGTGTATGCATTGCAAGACTCATTTACCTTTTGTGCTTCTGGCAATGTTGAGTTTTCAGAAATTTAAATACGCATGTTTGCCTGCCTTTGTCCATCAAAATGTGCTTTTAGTAATATGCATGTTTTCCATTTGACCCATTTTACTTCTTTAATGCGATTTATTTTTTTCCTTTAAGAGTGTTTTGTAGAAAAGTGTTTGCTCACCCATTTCACGGGAATGTGACTTATGTATGTCTGAGTTGGGAATGTGTAAAATAGGGAATGATGGCCACTTTTTTTGTATGGGGTTATTTCAGCTGAAGTGCATGAAGGCAATTACTTAGACTTGCTTCTGTGCAGGTGGTGGGTTTATTTACATGGAACTGCAGAGCGTGCTGCATCGCAGGGTCAATGGCAAGATGTAACAGTGTTCACAGAAATAGAGTTTAAAGGACAGAAACTTTCATTTGTACAGATTAATATTTTTTCCATTTGACAATTTGTATTGTTTTTTTTTTTTTTTATATCAAACCACTATTATTTATATAGTGCCAGCTTATTCCGCAGCGCTTTACAAAAAGAGGGGAATTTACCAAATGAGACAATCACTAAATTTAGCAGGAACAATAGGTAGTTCAGGACCCTGCTCAAACAAGCTTACAGTCTAGAGGAGGTGGGGAATAAAAACACAATAGGAAGGGTATTGAGGGAGATCATGGTGGGAAAGTAGCAGGAGTGGAGTGTGGCCCGTTAGGAGAGAGCAAGAGGAAGGTTTGAGAGATAGAAGTTACTCTTGGAGATCATAAGCATTCCTGAAAAGATGGGTTTTGAGGTACTTCTTAGATGATTGAAGACTAGGGGAGAGTCTGACAGGGGTAGGCAGGCTGTTCCAAAGGAAAGGAGCTGCCCGTGAGAAATCTTGCAGGCATGAATTTGCAGTAAGGGTGTGTGCAGCAGACAGGAGAAGGTCACCAGTAGAGCGGAGCGAACAAGAGGGGGCATACCTATGAATCTGCGAAGAAATGTAAGAGGGGCTAGAGTTGGTTAGAGCTTTATAGGTAAAGGTTAGTTTTTTGTTTTTTTTTTCTTCTTATTTGCGTTTTGAGTTTTCACACAAGGGGTCAAGGAGAGAGTTGGAATTGAGGAAGCAAGTCAGACGGGTAAAGACAAGTCTTTCCAAAAGCTTTGAGGAGAAAGGGAGCAGGGATATGGGACGATAGTTGGAAGGGGAGGTTGGGTCAAAAGATGGCTTTTTGAGGACAGGTGCAACAGTAGCCTGTTTAAAGGGAGCTGGGACAACACCGGAAGAAAGAGTGCAGTTGAAGATGTTCGTTAACGACTTCCCTAGACGAGGGGCGTGAGATCTGATGAGGTGGGACAGGATTGGTTTAAGTGGACACGTGGTGGGACAAGAGGAAAGGAGAAGCACAGCCACCTCCTGTTCAGTAGCTGGAGAGAAGTCTTGGAGGATAGGGATGGTATGGTCCAAGTGAGGTTGAGATAGTAGTGGAGAGAATTAATTCCTTAAGTGTTTAATCTTGTCAGTAAAGTAACATGCAAAGCTATCAGCTGAAAGATTCGTTTGTGGGGTGGCCACAGCAGGGCAAAGAAGAGAGTTAAAGGTATTAGAGATGACTAGGATTGCAGGAACATGAACTAATGAGAGAAGAAAAGTAAGACTGTTTAGCAAGAGTGAGGGCTGTGCTGTATGAACGCAAGAAAAATGTATAGTGTAGAAAGTCTGACATGGTGTGAGACTTCCTCAAGCAGCATTCAGCTAAACCAGAGCATCTCTGCAGGTAGCATGTTGACTTAGTGTGCCACAGATGGAGGCACGCCCTCCTTGAGGTGCGTGCTTGGAGCAGGGCTGCAGCGTCTAGGGTAGAGGTGAGGGTAGCGTTTTACGAGGAGATAGCTGGAGAGGGTAGGGATGGATGAGAGTTCAGAATGGAAATCAGTCAAGAGCTGCTGGAGATCAAGATAATTCAAATTCCTCCTGAGTTCAGGGGGATTAAGTTGAGCATATTGGGTGTGGGGGCACTCAATAACAAATGTTAGGAGGTGGTGGTATGATAGAGGAAATGGAGTATTACAGAGATTGAAAACTGAGCATGCATTTGAAAAAGTAAAATCTAGGGTATTGCCAGCTACATGTGTGAGAATTAGCCTATTGCGATAGCCCAAAGGAGGTGATTGAAATAAATTTTGAGGCTACTGAGGACAAGGGTGGCTTAATGGGAATGTTGAAATCCCCAAGAATTAGGGATGGGATATTGTTTGAAAGGAAGGAAGAAATCTAGGCAGCAAAATGGTCAAGGAAGACACGAGGAGAACCAGGGGGCCGATCTACCCAGATAAATCATTTGGGGTTACATTATTGTTAGTTGTCTAGGTGATTAGCACTTTGTCCTATGATTGAATAGATCTTGGTCTCTACCCTCTAGGAGCTTAATTTGTTTCTGAAACAGGCATGCGATCATTTAGAACAAGTAAACAAATGGCTAAACACAAATTGTGGGTTAAAGGGTGGGTATACCACTCCTCCACACATTCTCTTGTGTTCAGGTTCTCATTATGTTCCATCTCTGTCTGGGTATCCATATGCCCTTGCTTTATATGGCCAATTTCAGGATATCTCCTGGAAAACGCTCCATGCGAGTGGGGTCCTGTTAGATTTCCAGAGCCTGACTATTAGGGTGTTAGCTTTAATGATAACCAGATACGTCGGCTTTAGGGATAATTTAGTCATATCACTTGGATACATAAGATAGACTTTGCTAAGGTGTAGATTTGATTTAATACTACCAGAAGATATCCTTGTAATATATCCTCGTCTAAAACTTACACTAACTCTGTAAGTCAGGTGAGATTGTCTTTTTGACAAAATAATACACAGAAGGTAAATTGTGGAGCTTGCATTACTTTGATGAAATATTGTTGATATAGGTTGAATCTTTTGGATTACATCACATTTAGAAAGGTATAACTGCCATCTGTTGCAAATTCTAAGCACCTAACATTTCACAAATATTGTTGACACATATGGCTAATATGAGACAACAGTCAATCTTTTATTTAAGTTTTATTTTCGTCTATTCTAATCTTCTACCCTCATGATCACACTTCAGTTATAAGCTCATTATTACAAGCATCTAAAACTACACTGATATACACATTTGCTCTGTATCCTACGATGTAACTGTTCCTCCTTTGTTCCTTTATTTATTAGTGTCTGTCTTCAGTGGCCACCAGAATTCCACTTTTTATATCAAGTCCAGCGTTAGTCCTGATGGTCACTTTCTGCTGAGTGGATCCAGTGACTCCAGTGCATACATCTGGCAGGTACGTCACATGTGTTGTGTTGTATAATGGAATTCAAAGCATGTGCAAGGAAGACATTTTATGTTTCATGATATATCTACTTGTCTTTCTGACCATTATTACGCAGCTATAAATTCAGTGGTCCTTGCAAACTTATTTAATAATCAGTAGTGCTGGCAACAGAGTTATTTGTGTGTGTGTAAGTAGAGGCAAGTCAAGTTCCTGGAGCACAGTCTGACAAATCAAAAACCATCTTATTTCCCTTAACATCTTGTGGAGTTGGGAGTCTTTAAAGGGATTCTATGGTGTTAGAAATACAAGTTTTTAAAAGGGTTTTAAAAATAAATGCTTTATTTACTCACACAGTGTCCCTCTGTGCTCTGCCAACATCATCTGATGGGGGGGATCTCATGCATGGCAAGGGTGTTTTAGACCCCCCCCTCCATAGGAAAGCATTGCCTCTCCTCTGGTGGCTGTGTGACACAGCCACTGGAGGCAGTCTTGGTCTTGCAAGATAATTATTGCAGTTTCTCAAAAACTGCATTAATTTACATTGCAGGACTAAGTGCAACAGGAACACTGCACCCAGAACACTTCAATAAGATGAAGTGATATGAATGCCTGTCTTGGGAAGTGTACGTGCTTGACACCCTGGATTTAACACAATATGCTACAGCTTTATTCTGTAGATTAGTGAATGGGCAGTTAACTGGAACTGATTGACTCTATAGAACGTACACTTAAGGTGGTTTCAGTAGCTATGCTAATATATGATTCATATGCTCACTTGCTAAAGGCATGCAAGTCAGTGATTCAAATTCACTAGAGCTCAAAATATTCCTCTTTAGAAAGGGGATACTGGTTTCATTATATCCAATAAATGGAAGATTGTAAATTATTGCACAAAATACTAAATAATGTGAGCAGAATTTCTATCTTTACTGTTTTCGAAGTACAGAATGCCATGGCAGTTAATATTTATTATTGGCCACAAAAGTACTGTTTATTGCTTTTTCTTTAATTAGTTTTGTATTGCCACAGTTTTGTTACTTTCATTGAGCGATTTGTATGTACATTCTCACGGTATGGATCAAATGGACCTTCTAGATTGAATCTCTTCCATTCTAAATAAATATATTTATTTATTTATGTAACTAACTATGTAATCTCTATATCACTGTGCTTTGTTTTGAAATGCTTGTCAAAGATTAGATTAAAGTTTATCAAACCTTTATAAACCGTTTGGGATCTGTAGCAATTGTTGCCATGAATCAGCATGCTTTTCTCTACACTTCTAGTAGGTTTGGGGTTTAAAATGTAGTTACCATTCATTACAATGACACTGTTACCACATTTAAAAAAGGGTTGTAATAGCGCAGGTTATTTTTCTACATTAATCAGCTGATGGTAGATGCAAGGTAGTATAAAACATATTGTCAAACTGTATAGAGTTCAAGGGTGACATACAAGCATTAGTTATAAAATAAATGAAATGAACTAATAAAAACTTTGTGAAAGAAAGTAAAGATGTGGAGACAGTTGTTCGATAGTAGCATAGCTTATAATGTGCAGTGTCATTGCAGCTGTAACTGCCTTCAAGGCATTATGGATTCTTCTATCACTGGCTGAGGATAATAATGACAGTTACAGCACATTGAAGGTTGTTATCACACTAAGCACTCTTAACCGTAGCTTCAGGACAATAATGATGCTATTTTTATTTTGAACCCTTTTTTTTTTTTTTACTTTCTCTAATCTATAAATGTCGACCATTTTTAATTAACTCACTGCCAGTGTCATTCTGATTAATACATATAATAGGATAAATGGTTATTGTCATGGCATGCAGCCTTGTTAATGAGATGTAAGCGCCAATACTCATCTTTTTCTTTCTGTGGTTAAATAAAGACATGTTTGCGGAGTCCAGTGACCTTCCCTAACCTAGTAACTCAGGGTGGGCATCTCGGATGTGGAACAAATGCAGCTCCTTCTCGCCCCCACAGCATACACTAATTGCATGGTAATGGCTTTCACACATCTATTAAACGAGTCATGAGTCACACTGCACATTGCTTCAGTGTATAGGTGATCTGCTTTAAGTAAGAAGGCAGATATCCTTTTTTGAAAGCATTTGCCATTGATCTGTGTTAAGCCTAAACCAGAAATATATTCTGGCAGTCTTTGCAAGAAGTTAAAACTTTTAAATTTGGAGCTAAAATGTGAACCTCCGTATCTACAAGCATTCCTAATCTAAAATGTATTTATTGTTCTTTTGTTTATTCAAGGGGTGTTTTTTTTTTTTTCTCTCTTTAAAAGGATTACAACTGCCGTAGATGCAGCTGGCGCACTACATAAAGTACTGTGAGGAAGTGGGTAGTGTTAGGTTTATATGCAAACCGATTTTGAAAAACTGAGGAGCTTTATGCCAGTGCTTGGAAATAGAAACTTTTCATTTACAAGCTAAAGATAATGACCACTGTTCCAAAAATGTAATTGTTTAATCTTAATCCAAATGTAAGTTGTTTGTATAATTCTAGTTGGGATGGATAGTGCTTGTTATGATAAAGTATGCACATTTTGCAGAGGAAACTGATTTTGTTGTGTAGACATGAATTTTCTTTTAATAGATATAGCTAATTCCTGAACTTGTTTAAAGAAACACTCTAGGCACTGTAACTGCTTCATCTCATTGAAGTGGTTATAGTCTGTGGAGTAGCCTGGTGAATTCCCTCTGTTCAGTGTTTAACTGTTTTGGGGGGAGGAGGGGGTTGTGTGGTTGTTTTTTTTTTTTTTTATGTTTTAGATTTTTTAGAATACTATAATAAAAATGTCATTAATAACCGCATATAAAATGATTAAAAGCATAATAAATTAGGCAGTTACAAATATCACGTAGCCTTATGAAACTCAACAAGGGTTACATATATTGTTCACAAACTAAGAGAGGTCCAGAGATAACACAATTGGCAAATGGATAGTAAGCAAATGAGTTGTTGTCACTACCAGATTATGACATTTTGGATGATACCTTGACAGAATCCAAAGATCTAAGAACTTGAATCCCAAAAGTCAGACAGACCGGCTCCGATAGTGGGACGATGAGGGTGGCTTAAACGGGGTTTAGTGCTAAACAAATGTCATTGGCAGCTGTGTTGTGCCATTCCTGCTCAGACTAACAAGCATTAATCTACCTTTGCAGCAATGGGCACCTGTGATTGGTTGAGAGAGTCTAGCTGACTGCTCACAGCTGCCTATTGCTCCCTTTAAAAATACTGTGAGATTTGTATGTACCTTTCAATCTACTCAACTTTTATTTTGCCTAAGACTGTTGGTCTGACAGCCACTAGAGGAAGTTCCTCATTAAAGGACCACTCTAGGCACCCAGACCACTTCAGCTTAATGAAGTGGTCTGGGTGCCAGGTCCTTCTAGGGTTAACCCATTTTTTCATAAACATAGCAGTTTCAGAGAAACTATGTTTGTGAATGGGTTAAGCCTTCCCCTATTTCCTCTAGTGGCTGTCTCATTGACGGCCACTAGAGGCGCTTGCGTGCTTCTCACTGTGATTTTCACAGTGAGAGCACGCCAGCGTCCATAGGAAAGCATTGTAAATGCTTTCCTATGAGACCGGCTGAATGCGCGCGCAGCTCTTGCCGCGCGTGCGCATTCAGCCGGCGGGGCGCAACGGAGGCGGAGAGGAGGAGGAGAGCTCTCCGCCCAGCGCTGGAAAAAGGTAAGTTTTTACCCCTTTCCCCCTTCCAGAGCCGGGCGGGAGGGGGACCCTGAGGGTGGGGGCACCCTCAGGGCACTATAGTGCCAGGAAAACGAGTATGTTTTCCTGGCACTATAGTGGTCCTTTAACGACTTCATGTTGGGTGTGATCGTACAAAGTATAGTGACATCAAACACTGCTGATGTTTCTCATAGAGAAGTATTGGACTGTCAAATTGCAGCAATTGCTTCTCATAGGGCATAGGTCCCAAATGTTTTGCATGAGAAGCATTGGATTGGACATAGATCATCAGTTCTGATCAACTCAAAAGACTGCGCAACTGCTGAAAGGATAGTGGCCTGCTACCGGCGGCTTTACACATTTAATTTTAAAATGGTGAACCAAATAAATAAACCAAAATATGAAATCGTCAATTTTGTAAAAATGTTTAATATATATATATATATATAATATTTTATTTTTTTGACGTTTTGTTCTTGGTCGAATTAAGCTTCCTGTTTTAGATGCATTTTGAGTTTTGTTGGTAGGTAATCTTGTGGTTAATTTGTTTCCTTTATATACATCTGTATATAAAGCTACTTTTTAAGCCTTCGTCTAAAGAGGAAATTATAAAATGTCTTCATAGTAGGCTAATGCAAATACAACTTAAAATTGATGGCTTTTGCCCCCATTCAGTCTGTTTCCATTATTGGTCATCCTTTCAACTGCCTGAGGATTCTGAGCTAAATCTGCGACATATTTACGATTAGCATGTCTGCCAGAAAGTATAGGCATAGAGCCTGGCTGGTTTCTGAGCTGTCATGTTTACCACTATGCTAGATATTACTGTTAGAGATGTCGCGAACTGTCCACCGGCGAACAATAGCGTGTTCGCGTTGGGCGAACATATCCGATTTCCGGTCCGCCCCTATACGTCATCATTGAGTAAACTTTGACCCGGAACCTCACAGCCAGCAGACACATTCCACCCAATCAGCAGCAGACCCTCCCTCCCAGGAAGTGTCTGCTGACTGTGAGGTTCCAGGTCAAAGTTTACTCAATGATGACGTATAGGGGGTGGACCGGAAATCTGATATGTTCGCCCAACGCGAACACGCTATTGTTCGCCGGCGGACAGTTCGCAACATCTCTAATTACTACCTGTATTTTGTGTCTGTTTCTGACCATGATCTGTCTTGGTTCATAATGTTTTTCATACCAGTGAAAATCTCTTTAAAATGCCTGGAGCAAAGTAAAAATTGGTATTTAAATAGAAAATGTTTCAGTGTTTCTTAGGCTAGCTGTATTTATCAAATGAGTTAAAGTTACAAAGTGCACTGACAAATTACTCATAAATATCACATAATGCTGAACTACCTCACCTGGTGAATTTTCACAGGCAAAAAATTGATCTCTTGCAGAAACTGAATGTCCTCTTAACCAATAATTTGCTAGATTTAACGAACATGTGTGTCATACAGGATTGTTCACTAAAACCCCATGTGGGGAATGCATATGCAAGGTGTGTCGGTCACAATAAATGACAAAGGTTGTGTAGAAATCTTCTGCAAGATTTATTATTGGTTATATCCTAAAGACACCCCTATACAAAGTGCATGCATTTGTATTAGTAATTTGTTACGATTATTTTTTTTTTATTTTTTTTTTTCACATTTAATTTGTAGGTTCAACAATAAAATCTTGCATGTTATTGTTTAGTTTTTGGATGATAATGCATTGGCAAAAACCAAAAGTAGTAAATACTCACTGGATTGTTCATCTAACACAATGTTCTCTCCTAATCTGCCTGCCTGAAGAGATGTATATATCCTAACTTGTTAGCTGATGCCTTTTTGTTTTCTATTTTCAGGTGTCGGATCCCCAGGTTGCTCCAGTAACATTGCAGGGACATAGTCTGGAAGTTACCTCTGTTACTTGGTGCCCATCGGACTTCACAAAGGTATTTGTAGATCTTTATGAGACTATGTCCTGTGATGCTCTTTTGGATGAAGTGTGTAATTATTTTTTGAGCTATTCCAATTTGCTTTTTAGCATCATGCAATGCAGTAATGATTTTTAATTCAGCTCTGCAGTAACTGCAGCTGGGGGACCTAATTTCCCCATGGCTAAAGGACATGCTTTGCATTTAGATTTTTAATGTATATATTATCGGAGGACTGATGTGTATTATCTGCATAAAAGCTTGTATTAAAAATGGAACCACTGATATTTTCACGTTTTGTCAAACTAACAATTTTGAAAAAACTTTTTTTTTTTTTTTATTCTTTATTTTTTCGCAGTCAACTTGTGACATTCAATAAAGCATAACATTGCGGTTAACCATTTACATGCGGTTGGTAGAATATCAATGTAGCCTGCGGTTTTTTATTTATTTATTGTAATGTAGCGTGTTACTGCCATATACCTGCCTCCACTGGTCGTGGTAGTGGGGGTAGATGTCTAAGGCATGTATGGCTGTTCGTTAGCAAAAATGAGTGAGAAGTTGTGTGTCTCTAGAGTGGACAAGACGTTATAGGAGTGCAGCTCCACATGGTTGAGTGGGTGTTAGTGGATACTAGCGTGGGGCTAGAGGGGGGGATGGGTAGGTGGTCTTTAGGGAGCCTGTGTTCCCGGGTTAATCCCAGTTGCGGCTCATTTAGGTTTGTCTGGTGGGAAAGATGGTTATGGTCCTTCCCTGCTTGTGTTGTATATAATGCGTAGCATTTAAGTGTTGTCTGAGTAAAGGAAAATACAATAATAACTAATAAGTTATGCTGTGCTAACTGTGCATCTGTAAGATGCTGGCCCCATGAGGCACTTATGTCGTAATAGGTGAGAAAGCAAGGTTTAAACGAAAATAAACAGAGAAAATAGTCTCCAGAGTCAAGTATTTGCTCGGCTGGGTAAACTCCTATTGGCCGGGATGAACGGGATAGCATTAGCCAGGTCCCAAGCTGTCGGTGCAGACGTTGCGGTGTGGTCAGTTGCCTTGATCTCCGATGCCTCAGTCACCCTGATCTCTGTGTTCTGATGCTGGATGAGTAGCATTCGTGTCGGGCCCCAGCGGTATTTGAGTCCCTTTGACGATAATATGGATGTGAGGGGACGTAGTGTTTTTCACCACTGTAGGGTCTGGTGGGAGAGATCGGAATAGAAGGTGATATCCATCTCCTCGAACCGGAACGGGGGTTTGCCTCGTACTGCGCTCATAACTGCTGTCTTGTCCTGGCCATTTTGAAATTTGACCAGTATGTCGCTGGTGTTGGAGGCTGTGGCTGAGGGAGGCCTGGGGAGCCGAAACATCCCATCCAGTGTAATGCCCCTGGCTTGTTTGGGAGAGAGAAGGGCTGTGAAGAGCCTGTGCAAGCAGTGTGGTAATTCTGCCTGGGTGATATTGTATGTGAGACCCCTGATTTTCAGGTGTTTCCACCTTCTTCTATCCTCCATGGCTGCAAGCTGGTGGCTTACAGTGTTGTGAGCTGTGGTGAGGGTGCCTATCTGGGTCTGTAGCTCCAGGATGTGGGCTGTATGTGTTGTGGTGGTGAATCCCTTAAGGTCCTCTCTAACCTGTGAGATTTCAGACAGACTTTGACGGAGGTCCGCCAGGAGGCCGGTAAGTATTTCTGTGGTGAGCAGTGCTGACCCTTTGGCTGCTGACTGGGCAGGTTTTGGAGGCTATATTCTCTGCTCCCCCAGATTGTGAAGGGAGTAGTCTTCCGATTCATCAGAGAAATCCTCCAGGTCCGCCGCCATGTCAGTTCAACCTGCTCCATACGGCCCTCTCAGGAGGTCGCCGATATCGGCGCAGAATCTGGGTCTATCTGGCCGGGTTTTTTTTTGTTTTCCTCCCCATCATTTGTGGTATCGTCTTGTGCTTATTGGGAGGGTATACACCCCGTATTTCAGCTGGTTGTAGGCTTTTTTTGCCTGTTAGTCAGAGCTCCGGGAGATTGCTACCGTTGCTGTTGAGTGCTAGCTCCGCCCGAAAAAACTTTAAGAGCAGTTTCAAACATGCTTGGCAGCCTTTAACCCCTTAAGGACCACATTTCTGGGATGAAAGGGAATCATGACATGTCACACATGTCATGTGTCCTTAAGGGGTTAAGATCAGGTAATAAGTTTTCAGGCTGCAGTTCAATAGTTTGATATGGTTGTGAAGCTCTATGTGCAGAAGTGGTATAGAAGCTTTGTACTGTGTAAGAATCATTCTGCTTTTAGTCTCCGGAGCATTTGAACATATCATGAAATGGTATTCAAAGTACTGGAATGTGTCCGTATTTATATTATGATGTCGGATTGTCTCACTTTTGTGACTGCTAAAACTAGTGTGCCCCCTGTGTAGATTGCGACCTGTTCAGATGACAACACTGTGAGAATATGGAGGTTAAAAAGAAATTCTGGAGAACAAAAAATGGGATCTGTTGGTTGGGCTTCTCAGAAGAAATCTAATGATCGCACAGGTAAGCATTAATTGTATGCAAATTGCACATTCTATACTGTAATTACCACAATAGGAGGGCTTGGTGCTTGTATTTTTCTCTGCTCATTGAACACAAATTTTAAAAAAATTAAAAATCAGAAGTTATCTACTGTGGTTTTATTTTTTTAATTCATGGGTATACTACATGATTATTTATAGGTTATTCATTGATTGATTAAAAGTGTGAAATGTTTTGCTGCCAGGGATACAATTAATGAGTTGTACTCAGTGGCCCAATTTTGTATTTTCTTTTCTTTTAGTGTGTTCTGCTGTTATAGTAACCTTTTGTAATGTGCAACCACTCCTACTATTCATTTGTGTTACTAGGAAAGGAAATGCAGTTTTGCTATATCAATGTAACTCATAGGTGCATAGCCAAAGATTACAGCTCTATGGTTAATGTAAACATTGTTAATCTTTCATCTGTAGTAAACCTTTTTTTATGTCGAGATATGAAGGGAGCTATTATGGTGCAACTTTCTAAAAGTATAACAGTTGATAGCAACATTCCTTTGCCCTCAAAGCTTTTCTTAACATTTGCTCTTTAACAAAACAAAAAAGATTAGAAACTGCTATATATTCTGTTTATAATTCAACATGCGCTTTTTTTTTTTCCTCCTTATAGCTGTGTCCAAACTTTGTTGTACTCCTGGTAAAACAACCTCAATCCATAGAAGTCCTGGAATTACTTCCCCAACACCAGCTAGTTGTGCTCCAAGTAATACAGGTGATCTCCCATTGCCTTCTGTCACAGCAGCATCCACCATGCTAATTTCAAAACTGCAGACTCCTACGAGGAAAAAGGTGGACAGTATCACAGGGTCTCCTAAACAGTTGTCCACTACAAAGATTTCTCTCAAGGACTGGGTCACTCGCACACCAAAGTCCTGCACATCAGGGACAGATTCAAAGACTCCTTCTCCTCGTAAAGCATTCACGCCCATAGAACAATACTCAACCGTACCAAGCTCAAGAGGCCCACCTCAGCATGAGAAAAGGGTTAAGAGGCGGCTTGAGACCAGCTCTGAAGACATGGAGCACGACTGTGTCAGCACTTGCAACTGTGTGACAGAACTGGAGCCTGGCCTGAAAAAATCCAAGCTGGATTTGTGTTCCTCAGATGGCAATACTGACATTGATCTGGGATGTTTAAGCCTTGCCACCTTAAGTAAAAACGGTGAGGGTAAGTCTGCTTCAAATCTTGAAAGTGTGGCTTTGGTAGAGGACATTGAAGTGCGCCCTGCTCTTGTATCTAGTGGACTTCCAGATAAGGAAAACAGCTCCCCTGAAAAGAACTGGCTTTCTGCCTTGGGTAACAAACTAAAGACTGACAAACCTTGTAACCAGAGCAAAATAAGCAGCAGTCCATCTTCAAGGAATGGTAGCGCAAAGAAGCATCAGACGAAGAGTATTACTAATTCACCCACAACTGTGAGTATTTTCATTATCGTCTAGTCATTCATTTAAGTTTGGAAATTTCCTTTAGCAAATGGTATTTGCGTTTTCTTAGCAGTTCTACAAATAGTTTTTTGTTTTGTCCGCATGACAGCCAATGACTGACTTAATGATTATAGGAAAGCTGTAATTCAGGTTTGCTACATTAGCCCCCTCATTACACATATTTGGTTTTATTTTGAAGAGTATATAAAAAGTGAAGTGAAGAAAGGTGCACTTTGGTTGCTGGCTCTATTGTAACACACAGAGTGTGTCCTAGATAGTGTCACCACCAGCATGCTGTTATCAATGCAAACTTACAAAAAAAGCTTATACTTTGGCTTTACAGTAAAGACACCTTTGGATATTATACATTTCCATGTATAGGTTAAGTCAGAGCATAATGATTACTGGCTAGAAGCGAGTGGAAAGTGTGAGGCCCGTTGCATGGTATGTATGCATGGGACACAGTATATACTTCTTCGGCACTGGTGAATCTTCCATTGAATGAATCACGCAATGTGCAACAAGATGCCCGTCGCTCACTAACATTGGCTGAGTGTTCATAAATATATCTCCTTATTTTGCCAACATTGGACTTTACCATAAGACAAAGTAGGGACTAGTTTGTGTGGTGTTTTTTTTGTTTGTTTGTTTTTGTAAATGTATGTTTATTAATGGAACACTATAGACATCCAGACCACTTCAACTTATTAAAGTGGTCTGTGTGAAGTGTACTTGTCCCTATAAGGCTGCAAGTGAAATGTTTACATTGCAGGGTTAAAATTGCCTGTAGCAATTGGGGGGTGGGGGATGTTTAACACATTAATCACCAGGTGGGGGGCGGGCCTATAGTTAATTGCAGGACACTATAGCATTGGCAATACAGTTTTGTATTCCGAACGCTATAGCTTTCCTTTAAGAGTTTTTAAAGAGATTAAAAAGACATGCAAAATCCATGAAAGAGACCTGGTGTAATGTACTTGCAAGTCTCAACATTTGCAGAAGGAAAGAAATCCTCTCCAGATTGGTGGCAGCATAGTCGAACAGCAGACATTGAGTATTTGGATAATGGTCTGAAAACCCTATCAAATAATTTCCCAATCACAAGGTGCTTATCAAAGGAAGTATACATAGAAAACCAAAATGGTAGGAATTGCTAACTTTTAGTCCCTGGCGGTGATCTTCACAAGATTCCCATTTCTTGATAAATGCATGGCTTTTTTATGTTAAAGGATTACGTCACGCATCGTGACTACTTCAGCAAAGTGGTCATAGTGACTGTTGTCTGTATGTGCAGTGTCACTGAGGTGTCATCAGCCACCCCAAAACTAGAGCCCCAGGCTGGTTAATTTCAAGTCGGGGGGTGAGGGGGCACACAGTTGCTAAACAATTTGTCCGCGTAATCCGGCTTAGGGTATTCCATAACCAGGCTTGGAGTAAAACCTTAAAATCCATAATGGAAAAAAAAAATAGTTGGGGATGGAAATTCTTTTCTTCCTGAAGTTTTTCTCCATTGCCTACCTTTTATAATATTTACTGCAATGCCTGTTGATACAGTGGGAGTTTGTTACTGCTATATCAACCCGGATTTGTTGCATCCACTTAGCAGTTCTTCCACAAGACAGACATTTTACAGTGAAGCCGTGTGCAAATTTTACAAATACTCTGCCAAATGGTGACTTGTGACCATTTTGCTTTAACATTTCTACTTCTTTTTATAGGCTTCAACTACGCCTCGTTCAATGAGGAAGATTTGCACCTACTTTGTCAAAAAGCCATCCGAGTAAGAACATGCAGAGAATGAAGAAATCTCCTGTTTTCAGGATATCTGTTTGTCCTCGGCTGTATCTGACAGTGGAGAAGTCTCTTTATTTCCAGAATTATTTTAAAAGAAATACTACTACAAATGTTTTTGTTTTTAGTTGAGATATCTCTGTTTTTGTCACTTCACATCTTACTTTTCTGCCACTCTGTCTTAAAAACTGAGAGTTCGGAAGGCTAGCTGCTGGATCACTCTCCGCCCTTGGTTGCTTAACTCTAATGCACCAGTCAACGTTCCATATTTGAATTTTGAAGTTGCACTCGTGGAGGGCCAGGGCTGAATTTTAATGTATTCAAACTTTAATCTATACAGTGCAAAATACATGTATAGAAGATCTTTTAAATACCAGCATTTTGTAGTGGCCATAATGTGAGAAGTTGCTGCAAAAAATGTTACGTCTGAGTCACAATACAAAGTATGTCCTTGAATAATGGATAGCATGCAACCACACTTTAGACATTGTGAGTGAAAAAGGATGTACTACTGGTGACTTAAGTTGTTCGGCTTTTTTTTCTGATGGCATTAAAGTATAAGCTAAAGATAGAATGTAGGAGTAACGGGTATTCCGTGCCATGTGGCTAGCGCAATATATAGGTATTGTGATGCCACACATAGTGTCACAATTTTGTATTTGTATGTTCTATATGTATCGAAATGTATGAAGACCGTTTGGTAAGCAAAGCACTTTTTATAAAATCAGAAACTGTGACAGCTAGAATAACATTTTACTTGGTAGTAACTGAATTTTAAATTTCAGCAGGTATATGCAAGCTATGTTAGACTTGTGAAGCAATGACCGCTTAATTATAGACAAAATCACATTACTTGTAGACAGCCACCATACCACATTTCAATCAGGGTTGTCCAACCTTTTGAACTACAGTTCCCATAATTTGTTGCCAGGCTGAGGTTGTAGATCTGATTTTTAATGTATGTTAGGTTTTAAGAACTCTGGGCATGGTTATCCAAAAATAGATTTTTACTGTTTTAAGGACTCCAATGTTCATGCATTTGTATAGAGTTTTGGGATGGAGAATTTTAAAAACTATAGAGTGGGCCATTTGTTACATGATGGCTTTTAACAATATTGGTTAGCTTATAAAATGTTTTATTTTTAAATTGTATACTGTTTTTCTGTGTAAATGAAGCACTGCTACAACATATTGATATTAACTTTGTAAATATAAATATTATGCAAATATTCTGTCTGGTTTTGTTCATGCAAATATATATTATACTTGCACTGCTTGAATACATCCAAAAGTGTTGTAAAGGGATTTCCGGGTGGACATCCAGTGTCTTCTAAAACCCCATAGGAAAGCATTGAGCAACGCTTTCCTGTGGGGTAGTACTAATAAGATCGCTGCACTCACCGCACATGTGCATTAAGTCCCCCCTGACAGTGAAGGCAGAGACTGACCCCGACCCCACGCTGAGGGATATCAGGCAAGTGAGTGACGGGTATTTAAACCTTCCAGCGCCACGGGGAGTGGAGTATTGTAAGTCACTGTAGTGCTAAGAAAACAACTTTATTTTCCTAGCACTATAGTTTTCCTTTAAGTATATGAATAGTCTAGATCATATGACTTATTCATGATTTATCAATAGGTACAATTATCTTACTTTAAGTGGAATGTAAACATGTGATCTTCCAGTCATTGCAGAACTGCATTATAGCAGAGGCTAACATACTTATAACAAAGCATTGCTAGTATATTTAATTACATATTGCTGTCTTGTGGCACAACAGCAAAAGTTGAAATATGAGGGTAAAATCTTTGGAATTCTATGTTACTGCCTTTTTAGCTCCTGCAAGAAGCCATGCATTAAGGGAAAACTGTTTATAATTAAAACCCCTTCTATCCAGAGACCCATGTAGTACATAAACAGGGCACACCGCTTTAATTTAATAAATTTAAGGTAGTTTAATTCAAAAACACCAATAACCATCTAGCTATATCCACTCTCACCACATTATGCTTTTAATGTAACTTCTCCCTAGGTGGGGGGGATAGCATGCATGTGCCATTGCAATGACCATTAAATGCACAAATGGGAAACAATTACTATTTTCTTTGAAAGCTTGTAAGTAAGCTCTTTCTATGTTAACAAAGCTGAATTATCACTCTAAGTTTGATTGCAAGTATCCAGAATTATGGGTCATGTATTACTGTAGTATGGCCTGAACTGCATTCTTGCAAAAATCACATGGCAATTTAAACCGCTAGCAGGCACACCATGTGCTTATACTGATTAACGAGCACTGGCTAACGCTTTAAATTCAGTTCATTACGTGAATGTGTGATTGCTATCTTGAGCCGGCCCCTACACTTTAATCTTGAAAATCTTAACCATGTACTGTGCCAACTATGAGCACAAATTAGTATTATAAATAACTTGTTTTCTGGCAAGTAATCACTTGTATGCCAGATGGTTAAAGATCTGTGGAATGCTGATTGGATTTAATACGCCACAATGTTCATTTTGTAATTATTCTAGAAACTTGACAGTACTTGTTGAGCTCAGCAATGTGCTCACCCCGATTAAGTTTTTATTTGTAAGGGTCTGTAGACCTCATGCAAACTATGATTTACGTAGTTGACTGGCAATGAATGGGTTCAGATAATGTGAATGGGTAAATAATACTGCAAATGATTAGCTAGGAAAGTAAAACTGGTGTCTGCCCTTGGCTGACTTTAATGAAATACTAATTTGCATAGCTAATCATCTGTATTTGTGTGGCTCCCCCAGCTGTATCCCACTAATCTGTTTTCTTATGTAACAGCATGAGATTTTATATTTTCACCCCTCCCCCTCTCCCATGTTAAGCACATAGTTTGTTATAATAGCAGGTATCGTATGCAGGAAATTTTTACTCTTTACACACTATACCAAATGGTATGTTTTAATCTATAGGAAATCTTTATCAGATTTTCAATTCACATTTTATTTTAAAGTTTATTTTTTTTATGATGTGTATTGATTTTTTTAATCTATTTGGAGAAAAATGGCTGAGCAGCTATGTTGGGTCAGTGTGCTGTTATCTGACCGATTGCTGTTCAACCTACTTTGCCTGCTGTTGCATGTTCACAGCAGCAGGCACCATGGGCTCAGCAGTTGGTCTGATAACAGTAGGATCTGACCCAACATGGCTGCTCAGCCTGATTTAAAAGACTAATATTTTTCTCAAAAACTTTCATTACTTTCCTTTAAAATAGATTTTTAACTCTTTAAGGACACATGTGTGATATGTCATGATTCCCTTTTATTCCAGAAGTTTGGTCCTTAAGGGGTTAAAAGAAGTGAAAATGTGATTGTTCATTAATTGCAAATATTATTTCACATTACCTAGGGAGTGTAAATCTGAGCCCCCACATAAAGAGAATGGAGTAAACATTAGATTGCATTTCATTGTTCCTTGTCTACCACCTACATTACTTTGAGACAAAAAGGCACTTTCTACGCTTACCAGTTTTCCTTGGTGTTGGAATATTTATAACAACCACACCTTACAGTATTCATAGGAACAAAAGATGTTCATGTTGGCATCAGGGTGTGGTTGTTGTGAGAATTCCTTTCTTAAAGGAAAACTTGTTTGTTTTTTATTCTAGAAAATAGATTTTCATGTATTATCGCCATTGTCTCATAATAATGTGTACATTAATTAAATAGCCTGAGTGTATTTTAAAGGACCACTATAATCATCCAGACCACTTCAGCTCAATTTAAGTGGCCAGGGTGCCAGATCCCCCAGATTTTAACCCTTCAGATGTAAACATAGTAGTTTCAGAGAAACTGCTATGTTTACATTGCAGGGTTAATCCAGCATTCAGCGTGCAGAACATCCATAGGAAAGCATTGAGAAATGCTCTCCTATAGGCGTTTTTAATGCACATTCCTCTCCTCTCGGGAGCTGACGCCGGGGTGGAGGGAGAGATCACCGGCGCTGGATTAAAGTAGAAGGGATTTTAACCCCTTCAGCCCAGCGGGAGGGTGGCCCTCAGGGTAGGGGTGTGACCTAAGGGTTATATAGTGTCAGGGAAAACAAGTTTGTTTTCCTGACACTAGAGTGATCCTTTAACCTCTTTCCACACAACCTGCACTCTTTTCTGACCACAGATCATGTGAGTAACTGGAGCTAGGGTGTATTTATTAGTCCAAGTCATTCTTATATTAATCACATCTAAAACAAGATCTTCTCCTGTTTCAGTAGTTCAAATTGCGTGTAAGGTCACACGAGTGGTGCTGCTGGAATGTCTAGGTGATTGCTCCCACAGAAAAAGGGATAGCAGGAGATAGACTAAAACAAGGTATTTATTGTAGTACACATTACAGCCAAAAACGGGCTTTGGTGAGAACACGGAGCATGGATTAAAGACCACTTCATTTTGACCTTTCATAGTTCAGGTCTCCTGCATCTTTTAGCTCACTTAGAAAGAAGAAAAGCTGGTTCAGTCTTATCCCACACACAAGGACAGTCTAGTTCTAAAACGCCAGCAGGTTCCCGCTGTAAAATAAAAAAAACAGACCAGGCCAAATGTAGTTTGGGCTTACTGTCTTTCATATTCCAAGGGAATCTGTAAGCATTTTGGATCTGAAAATGAGACGTGAACACAGACCCACCAAGGGACGATCTATCTGAGCTTTTGTCCGTTTTCATGTGCATTACAGAATAACGCTACAGTACGTGTAATTATTTAACTACAGTACATTACAATGGGAGATATGGTTATTTGGATGCTAGGAGTAACTATCACATAAGATTAATGACTTTCCTAAAAGCCGATACGTAAGAATACATATAAATTGTAACAACCAGAAGCTATGGAGAGTGAATTTAACATCCTAACAGATTTCTAGAAAAAGGCTATGACTTACAATTACTCAATAACACACCAACAACATAAGAAATAGGAGTAGAGTTTCATTTTCACATGCGATTTGTGCTGGTTAGACCATACAATCAAAGGTTGCTCTATGAAAAGCCTTTCATTGGATTGCGCAATGGCAGGCATGACATCAGGATGGGGTGTGCAGAGCAGTGCTGTATTTCAGGTAAGGTAAACTTGATTTTGAAACTTTTTATTTATTTATTTTATTTTATTTTTAAAGCCTTTTGGTACGGGGGACCTTAAGATATTTGTGGGTTGTTGTTTTGTTTTTTTGTTTGTTTATAAGTCAGAAGGGATGGAGTAACCACTTAAAGCGATGTGTCAGGCACCAATACATGTATTGCAGAATACTGAACCATAAACCTGCAGTTATAGCCCTGATATTCCTTTAAAAAAAAAACTTCCTTATCAAAAAGATATGCACACAGGTCAGCCCCAACAGCACTGAATGATTTGAACTATAAAACAACCTGCATTAGAAGGGGATGACACCCAGGGATACATATAGTAAGTATATCACTACATGTGTGTAGTTTCTCTGACTGTCTGCAACCAAGTTGTGACTAAAAAGCAACTCACTCACTGCTGTTGGAGTTAAGACTATGAGAATACATTTGATAAGGAAGTATTTCTGGCATGGGGGAGTGTGGCTAAGGATGCAGTTTTATGGTGCAGCATTCTGCAAAACATATTGCTGCCTGGAGTGGCCCTTTAAATGAAAGTAATAAAGTTGGGCGTGTTCCTTTATACACTGCCATGCCTTTTTCTTTTTTTTTTTTATTAAAAAAAAATTAGCATGAAGTCCCTGAGAAGCATAGCTGAAACCTAGCTTCTCTAGAAAATCACCTAACAAAGTTAATCTGGATATTTGTTTTCAGAGGAAAAAAAAAAAACCTTATTTGTACTATACAGCACAATTATACAAAGCCATATGACTATGTCCAAATCTGAAAAGTTATTAAATACCCAGGATCACTACTGTTTTCAGAATCAATCCAAACTCAAGAGATATATCGTCAATCTGAGCAAGGTTTTCGCCTTACAGTTGGGCCCTTCGTATACCGTGCCATGGAATTATTGTATATGGATTTAGTAACTTGTTTTCATGAAATGCTACCAACTGCTTAAGTGGAACTGTTAGGAGAGATGCACTTTCTAAAGCACAGCTGGAACACTTAGAACAGAATGTAACCTGCAAAATCGAAAGGCCATCTCATACTATTTATATAGAGTTTCGTCAAGGTTTTTTTATACAATGATTGTTAGAGATCTATGTAAACACAATTATCTCAGTTGTGCTCCTCTTCCC